CTTTTGGAAGGCAATTGGATCAGGAAGATGCTATAGTCATCAGTGGATTCATCCCCTGAAGAGTTTGTAGTTGAATGTGCAAAAGGAGATGTGTCACATAGTACATATCCTGGAGATCAATATCTATAAATATTGTTCAGTTGCAATGACTTTATATCCTTCTGCAAATTAATGAAACTCTATTTTCTTCCACTGTTAGTTTTTACTTTGATATAACATTTGTCAATTACCTATGAATTAAAAGTATTTAGTGCTCTAAGTTAGAGGTTAGCAAACTATTACTATCAAAGTAACAGGCTAAATTGGGCCAACTGCTTCCTGTTCTATTTTTAAATAGTTGGAAAAAATCAAAAGAAGATCAGTATTAAGTGACTTGTAAAAATTGTGTAAGATCTAGTTTGATTCCCATAAAGTTTTATTGAGACATAGCCATGCATTCCATTTATGTATTGCCTATGGTTACTTTCACTCTACAAACACATAGTTTGCCCCTACAGTGCTGAAAATATTTAATGTCTGGACTTTTACAGACAAAGTTTGTCACCCTTTGCCTTGCATCATTCTCCTTTAATTACGGTCAAAGTTTTGCTAGTTTTCTTTTATAAGTCAGGGGTATAACTTCATTTACTACCTTTTTCTGGCAGAGGAGATCATCTTAACCTTTCCTGATTAATCTGAGTTCATGCATCTTTTGTCAGTTCCTCCCTGACTTTACAACCCTTATTATGGGAAGAGAAATGTAGTGTGGGAAATCTTTTTAAGGTAAAGGGGGGAAAAACACAGCATAATAACTAGAGCTTGGCTATGATACAGTGAATTTAATGTGGAGCAGTGCCGCCCTAATCATAGCCCACACATTGCAGACATGCACTGAACTGCAGATCTTGTTTTATTGAGAAAGAAACACTTTTTTGGAATCGTATTTAGTTTTCAGTAAAATCACAAAAGAGTACTGTCTTACAGCTGTGGCAATTATAAGTCCTTATTTCATATAATTTTTTTCAATAATAAGGTTTTAAAAGTAAAAGTTGATGTTACTTTTCATGCCTTTACAACATTTTTCTTATGAATTAGGAAACAAAATCTTTATCTGAAGATTGATTAAATGCAAATATGGATGGAAGTATCAGAACCACAAGGGTTACATTTGTTGAATGAAGAAATTTATGAAGAAAGTAGTAGTTCAGGCTGGTGTAAACCTTATTATCTATTGAGATCAGGAACTAGGTGTTATTGGTTTTAGTAATGAAGATTCTGAATTAGGCAGTAATGAGAAATGTCAAGCTAATCAGAAATAGGAAAAATCGAGGAAAGTAGCAAGAGCCTTGAAACATTACTTATGCAACTGAAGTTGATATCATTGATCTAATTATATATGCTAACTTTAAGTTTTTGAACAAAAATATATAAGAAAATCATAATTAATACAATTTTCTCTGAGGAAAGACTACATGTTTTCCCATATGCAAGTGATTTTCCTAACTCCAGGGCATAGTTGGCAATCAGTGTCAACTGACACTTTTGATTTTCATAACTGGGAAGGGGGTTACTACTAGTATTTAGTGGATAGAGGACAGGATGCTGCTGTGCACAGAATAGCTCCAAATGAAAATATCATCCAGCCCAAAATGGCAACAATGCCAAGGTTAAGAAACTATGAGCTAGATTAAAGCTGAGAAGGTATAAAGTGTAGGTAAGAGGTCTTTGACTGGGCCCTTGTTTGGATGAACAATCTCTTCTTCCATGAAGTTACTCACTACACTAAATTAAAATGAGTTATATTCCATGGTGGCAACACTTGTAATTCCACCACTCTGGGAGATTAAGGCAGGAGGATCAGTAGTCTGAGCCCAAAAGGGGCAACTTAGTGACTTAGCAAGACCTTGTCTCAAAAATAATAAAAATAAAAAAGGACTGGGGATGTACCCCAGTGTCAAGGTGTGTGTGTGTGTGCATGTGTGGTATACATACATATGTATATTACATATACATATACACATACATTCCTTTAGATAAGTTTCAAAATTATTTATACATTCTGCTTAACAGACTTCGTGTGTACACACATTAACATGGGTGAATCCAAGAAAGATAATGTTGAATGGGAAAAGCAAGTCGAAGGAGAATATATGCACTATGATACCTTTATGTAAAGTTTGAAAATAAGAAAAACTAAACAGTATTTACATATGGAAATCCATAGTTATATGAAGAAATTAAGGAATGATAACACTAATTCAGAATAGTATTTATGTGTGCAAAAATATTTGAGCTTGAAGAAGAAAATGAGGAGTCTTTAAATATATTAAATTCTATTTTAAGTTTAGTTGGATTCTTTAGAGTTTTTACAATTGGAATTTATAATTTACATATTTGTCATGCATTCTTTCATAACAAAAATCTTATAAGAATAATAATAAAATTCAGTTATAAACAGTATGGGGAGGTGTCAATGAAGATTTTTCCTTTAAATTCTATCCCCACCTGCAGGTTAGAACTTGGCATTGCAAAAAGTACTTATTTATTCGTAGAAAACCTTTAAAACCAAAGTAATGAACATGAATAAATTCTGCACGGCATTAGGGATATAAAGAAATACAAGAGTAGAATTTCTGCTATATTTATACTTACAATTCATCTGTGGATAAAAAACATACAAGGTATATTAAAAGATAAATAATGTAACAAAATTTTAAGTAGAAAGTACCACCTGATCAATGATAAATATCAGTACTAAATATAAAAAAAAGAAACAAACATATTTTGCAGATTTGACAACTAATTCAGTTAATTAAAATCCAATTTGCTTCTCATTTAGTCTAACATTTCTCTAGCTCATTATCTTTGAACCTGTTGGAACTCTTCCTGCAACAGTTCCATAGGCTTTTGAACCACAAATATGGTCAGGTGCATCACACTCCTGGGATCACGTTTCTGTGTTAGTGGCTTAGTCACCTTTCTCGTCGCCGGGACAATCTTTCCCAACTCCCACATGGAGGAGGAGGAGAGGGTCCCAGTGCCCCAGCCACAGGCCCCGGCAGCTCTGCGGGCGGGAGAGTGGGAGCCCCACGCAGCCTCCTCTGCTAGGCTCCCACGCTCCTCAGCCTGCAGCTTGCAGGAGCCTCCTGGGCCGAAAGGTGCCAAAGGAGCGGCCAAGGGGGAGTCCAAGAGGAGACGGTGAGGTTGTCGGCTTACGGTGCTGCTGCAAAAGTGGAAGGAAACAAAGGCAGCGGAAAGGATAAATCTTTGAACAAAAAAGTGCAAGCAAAAGGGAAAAGGGAGCAAAGGGAAAACAGGCGCAGGTGGCTCATCAAGAATCCAAGAATTGCTTCAAGCTGTTTCTTTCTAATAAACTGACCATTTCACTGCCTAAGCTCTGAAATGGCCAACAGACCATAGAAAGATGTCTCTTTAGGCTCCTGCTTGAAACCAACAGCGAAGAAGCTGCGGCCTTGATTCAGGGCCCCAACGCTCCCTGCCGCGCCCCGCTGTGAGCTGCTGAGCTGGCAGGCTGCAGAGGCCAGGACTGGAGCCACCGGTGTCTGCTGGGCCCGGGCCATGCTGCGACCTGGAGCGCCAGGGAACCAGTGAAGCCCGCTGCCCTGGTAAGCGGCTGTGAGCGCGGAGGGTCTTGTGGCCCAGGACGAGAGCCACCAGCGTTTACAGGAACCCGCACCTTGCAGGGACCTGGAGGGCTGGGAACCAGGCATTCCCTCCCCTCTTGCCTGTTCTGTTTTGTTGAGCTTCAACATACATGATAGTATGGACAGCTATTTTGAAGAGAACGAGAGACTGCAACCACCATTAGTGACTTCCCTATTGTCTGGTTTTGAAGACCTAAAATACCTTCCTCATTCTGTTCGGATCAGTTTTATGCTATATTGTTTTGTATGAATTCTCTGTATGCGAAGACATGGACAACTACTTGAAAGAAAACAAGAGACAAAATGATAGATAGTGAAGATCTCAGGTCATCTAGCTTTGAAATTTATATCTCTTACATTGCTTTCTTATGTCCTATTTTGTTGTGTTTAATTTTACCCCCTTTAAAATAAAGACATTTTAAAAAAATCAAATCCTTTACTTGAAAAAAACAAAAGAAACCGAGGAAGATTTAACTCAGAAAACAGAGAAATGAAAAAGGAAGCGAGAGCAGCCTCTGACCAGGCAGAAGAGAAAGAAGCTGACTGATTAACTGTCTCCCTTCTTGTACAATCCAGCGGAATATTTTTATGAACTATTTTGTAAATGCAAGTTTTTTAGTAGCTCTAGAAGCGTTTCTTTAAAAAGGAGGGAATCCCACCTCATCACATTTTTAAGTGCAGATGATTTTTTAGAGGTGAAATCAGTTGCTGGTTCTTTATTTTTTGGTACAACCAAAAAAATAGGATATTGAATTACAGCAGGCTTTGGCTGCCTCGGGTGTCAGTTTAGCATTCCATAGATGGGGGTTAGTTTTATATCCTGCAATAAAAAGCATACTAAATGGCAATATGGAATAATGGTCATGCATTTAATGTGTCTCGGATATTTTAAATGACTTCTATTCCCATGTTGCTTGCGGTAGAATTGTTTCCTAAAGACAATTACTTCCTGATTGTTGCCCTGTCAGACATGTGCACTTCATAACATCTTTGGTCACGGTAGTTTGCCTAATTTTGTTAATGTGTTGTGAAAAGATGGAAACTTTGAGTATGTAGTGTGTATGTCACAAAACTGTGTATTAGTGGGACGTAAGTAACACTTCATCAACATTTGAAGATACTGATCCTTAATCCTTTTACTGGAAATCTGCCTCCAAATTTGAAGCTGGAAAGTCACTAGAATAACTGGAAAAAGAAGCAATATATGGCCTTTTAGACTTTTTGGTATGTGTGTTAAGAGTTGCGTACCAAGTGAAATATCTGTACTCATTTTCAACACAGCCAATAAAATCTCAAATGTGAAAGACCAAAAAAATTAAATAAATAAATGAGGAGAAGAGGTTTATTTTGGCTCACGGTTAGTAGATGTCCAGCCAGATCCAGGGAAGAAATGACATGGCAGAGGGTATAGAAGAAAGCTGCTCACATCATGACAGCTAGAAAGCAGAGTGAAGGGAGGAGACAGGAAGAGAAATATATTCTGCCAGGTCACTTGCCACACACAGTGACTTCCTCTAACTGCGTTACCCTTCATAACAGCAGGTCAGCTCTAGGCCTTCATAATTCAATCACCTTCCAAAATCCCTGCTGATGAGCACATGAAATACATGAAATATAAACCATAATGATTACCCTTATCATTACTGGGACCAAATACTTGACCCATACAATTTAAAGGAGAAGAGATGTATTTGGCTCACAGTTTTCAGAGGGTTCATTCCACAGTTTACTGGCTTCAAGGCAAAGATATCATGGTGAAAGGGCATGGCAAAGAAAGATGTTTGACCCATGGCACCCAGAAAGCAGAGGGTGAAGGGAGTGCTGGGGACAAGATTACATTCTTCCAGGTTATGCCTCCAGAGACCCACTTTGTCAAATTGGATCCTATTTCCTAAATAGCACATTCAGCTTTTAATCCAATCACTTCCTAAACCTCTGAATATCTGAGGGGGAACATTGTAGATCTTAACTATAACACAGGTATAATAGTATTGACATTTTGAGGAGTCATAAATTTAGAAAATGACAAGAGCTTAGCATCTATATACATTTTAAAAATATGTGTAAAACAAAATGGTGATAATAATATTTAGTGAGTTTACCATGTTAGTGCTTCTTTTCTTTTTGGCCAAAGGGGGATTGAACCCAGGGTTTTTGGATTAAGCTAAATCCCAAATCCTTTTATACTGAGACAGGATCTCACTAAATTATTGAATTATCTAGGCTGGCCTTAAATTTACAATCCTCCGAGCTCGCCCTCTCAAAGTTCTGGGATTACAGCCATGTCTGACTTACATTCTTTCTTAATAATAATAAATAAACATATATGTAAATAATAATAAATAATGAATAAACTTCAGCTTCAAGTTCTACCATGTGGAATTGCAGTAACTTTGATTTACTTTACTTCTCATTTGTAAAATGGTTTTTATGTAAAACTAATCTTTTCAAGGTTGTTGAGAGAATTAAGAAAAATATGATGAAGTTCTTAACATTGTTTGGTATTAAATAAACTAAGAAAAAAATGTTTAATCCTTTCAATGTGGGTATATAATATTCTTCTCTCTTCGGCTTCCATTTCACAGATGGGGCAATTGAGCTTTAAAAAAGTGACTTCACCAAGAGCTCCAAGTAGTAGGGATTAAGATAGTGTGTTCTAGCCTACACTGAACACCCAACTGATTAGCTTCCGTGTGCCCTGAGTTCCCATAGTACTTTTTATTGCAATACATAATTTATTCACATCATACCACACTTCCCCATCTTTCATTAAAATATGAGCTCTTCAAAGCCAGGGTCTAAATTTCTGTTATCTCAGTACTTACCTATTAGAAACACAGAATATTTTTTAAAAATATGATAAATCGGTATTTCCACTATTGCACTGATAGTCTTCAGAGTACTGATCAAACCTGAGTGCAGTAACAAATTACAGAAGTGCTTTATTCATCTGAGTTATGTTCTGAAATGCAGTTCTATTAACTGGTCTTGTAAACAATTTTTGTTGGTAATTGAGAACAACTTTTGGAATCCAGAAACCTGTTCCTCAGTTCTGCTTACCTTTATTTGGCATTAAAAACCTTATCCCATGATTATCAACTTTTAAAAAATACAACGCTCTTGAATGCAACTGCAATTGGCAAGTATTTTAGCGTTTCAGCGAGGAACACTTAAGGCTTGTCATGTTATCTAGTCATGTTTTAGCGATTACTTCTCAATTTACTAACCTTAATGGAGCAGATAGCAGAATATGAGTACGGGAATTTACAAACTTTAGGCTCAAAGACAATTTTCCAAGATTAAACAGTAAAGTAAGTAAAGTCATCTATTTCTACAGTGATATTAATAGTATTTTAGACACCCCACTGTGTATATGAAGCAAATTGCTTCATTACAGTGGATTTATCTCACTTCTTAAATTTAGGGAGGGTCTGCACTACTTTGTAAAAGTCCTTTTGTTCTTTTCTGAGTCACTGGTACGTGGGTGAGAAGGGACTAGATCAGAGATCCCAGTCTTTTCGCCTCTTTCCGGCACGATACAGGGCTCACACCCCCACGGAAGAGCAAAACGCGCCTCTACTCTTTTGCCAGTGGAGCCAGAGGTCAATTGACTTCCTCACAGGCCAGCAGAGGAAGGCGCACAGCATGCTGGGACTTGTAGTGCCGAGCCTGTGGCCAAACAGCGCGATCAACCTGGGTCACGTGCGCATTCTGGGATATGTAGTCTCTAGTTTTTAGTTTGTGTAATTCGTTCTGACTAAAGGACTAGAAGAGACGCCACAGACTCCCGCGGGGCACGTGACCTAAGTCTAGCATTTACAGAGATCGCATTGCGGCTCCCAATCCGGCTAGTTCTCTAACCCCCACCCCGGCGCGGCGGTTGCCAGGGAGACGGCGCAAGTCTCACCGCGCGTCGCCCCCTTTGCAGTCCCCCCGCCCCTTTTCTCCCACCACAATGAGATCCTAAGATGGCGGTGGCTGCGGCGGTTGATGCCGAGAAGCCGAAGTAGAAAATGGGGCCGTTGGGCTCCAGGCAGTCAGGGACCTTGTGAGCCTCCTCTGCAGTCTCTCAGAACGGGCCGCTGGCGGTGGCGGGCCGTGGGGCTGACCGCTGCTCCGCCCGTGGCAGGAGGGGCTGCTTCGCTAATAGGTAAAGCCTGCGCGTCCCGGCCCCTGGCAACCGAGGGCAGCGCGCCTTAGGGGCGGAAGAGCTAAGGGTTTGGGACTCTTGACAGTGTCGGGCCCGGCCTCAGGCCCACGCGACCTCTGTGGGTTCTTGGGTAGTCTTCGCTGTCCGCTTTTCGTCTCTTGGGCGGACAGAGCGCCTCTTCTCTAGGGACCAACCGACGCGATCTCCCGGGTGAGCACCTCAGGGACGCGTCGGCGACCGCACAGCGGCTTTCGGCCCTTCCGCTCCCGCCCCGGTGCCTGTCTCGTACCCGGGAGGAGGCCGCCCTGCACCCAGGTGCTCGGGATTGCCCCCCACGGGCGCTGTCGTCGAGTCAGGCGTTCTCCGAGGCGGTGGCCCGAGGTCCCGGGACCACCCCCCGCTGCCCTGGACCCTTCTGCGCGGCTGGGGGCGCCGGAGTCCCCCGAGGTGAAGGGCCGAGGAGGACAGCGCGAGGCTGAGCGGCAGCTTGCTGCTAGCCCAGATATTCTTAGAGCGGGGGGAGGAGGGGCGTTGCTGACTTCATCCAGAGTTGGTTTATCTTTGCGAAAGCAATGTTCATTTTATCGCTCCTTTATGGCTTCGTGCCTCCGGTGCCCCTTACTGCAGATCCAGTTAGGCTGAGGAGAGCGTTGCTTACTTGTGCAGAAATGAGGATTAGATATTAGGCCCGCTGGAGCGCCTGGTCGAGAGAACTTTTTGTCCTGCGGCCCACTCCTTTGGGGCTCGCCTTGTCTGACTTTTTTTTTTTTTTTTTTTTTTTCTTCTCTTCCTGGCTGGCTTGAGGTCCGTGTGGTGTGAACTGCGGGTAACAGATCGTGTTTTGGCGCTAGAAGAAGCGGCCTACTGGGCGTCCCTGGCGACCCCACTACCCCTAACTGCTTTCCAGACTCCTCCTCCTGCTATTTTCTGGTTACCCGAGTGCCTGTTGTGCAGCTTCTGGCGCACCTGCTCCTTTCTTTCCTTATCACCTTGGTGATAAGAGCGAGTAGTTGCCGTTATAATACTGAATTTTTAAATTAAAGGTGCACCCTGTGTTTATAGAGTGACACTTATTTTATTATGAAGTAGCTCTGTTTAAAATACGTTTTTCATCGTTAGGTATTCAGAGGTCTTTGAATACTTTGACAGAAGTTAAGGATTTAATCGATCAGAAGGGTAAACTTTTCTATAGATCTTTAGATGATGCGGTAGTTGGGCTTACTTCTTCATTTATAGGCCAGAATAAATGTTAACATATCTCTTTGCTGTTTGGTAGACCCAGAGGTTTGAGGAATTTAAGTATTAATGTGTATCCCATTGTTTTCCCAAAGGATTAAGGTAACTTGAGCTTAAAATATTAATAAGTGTATTTTTGCTCTTTACTAACTTCTGAACCCTTTTAGACTAGTGCAGTATTTGTTGTTGTATATTCTCAGTGTAAGAATTAACTGAATTTAAAAAAATCATTAGCAGACAACAACTTTGAAGTGTGCAGCAGGACAGGAGCTGATTCTGAGGCGCAAAAACTAGTTTCTAAAAAGGTAATTGACATCATTCTGTGTATTATTTTTCTTTGCATGATAGCTCAGAAACTATTGATGAAGACTGCTATCCAAATACCAATGCTTGATTGAGGGCCCATTCTGAGTTAAAAAAAAAAATATGGGTTTGTTGCCTTGTTCACGATTTCTTGGCATGCCACTTTGGTCTCTTTTTCTATCTTTGTCTCTTAACCATTCCTACAATGACTTATGCAGTAACTTTTTCATAGAATTTATTAAGCCCCTGTATGTTTGAATTTGCACTATGACTACCAGATGCATAGCTACTCCTTGTAATGCCAGGTTATCTCCTTCACATTTCTGTTGCAGTAATTGACTTAGTTGAGTTTTTTTTTTTAAGGAACTTTTCCTCTTTTTGAGTTTGCTATGCCTACATTTGACTTCTTTTAGTTGTCTAAAATTGCTTTGAATATTTCTTTTGTGTGTAATGCATTGCCACATGTTAAAAAGTCCCAGTGCTGGGAAATGCAAGTTTACTGATGGAAGGTTATGTGATTATTAAGGGCAGTCTAGAAAGTAAATGGCAGAAGATGAAAATGAGAAGAAATTTTGTTAAATGCATTTTAGACATAATTGCTGTTTAAAGATATCAATCTGAATTTCATTGTTAAATATTTAAGACTGTTTTCAAAATGCATTTAATACATTCTTGCTTTTCTACAAAAGCAGATTTTCCATTTATTTATTATTGGGGAGGGGGCGGTTCCAGGATAGAATTCACAACCTCACACATGCCAGGCAGGCGCTTGTGCCGCTGGACTATATCCTGGACCCCTAAAAACCGATTTTCAGCTTCCTTGTAAGGATCTGAAATGGAAGATGCCTTTTTTTTTGGTCTTTTTCCTTTTCATCGGTACCAGGGATCGAACTCACAACTACCTGCTTGCAGGGCAGGTGCTTATGCCCCTGAGCTAAATCCCCAGCCCCTTAAGGATCTGAAATGAAACTATCATTAGAAAATACAAATTGGTAGTTGATTTATATGTTAATTTTACATTTATATTTTCAGTGAGGTTTTTAAAATTTTTTTTTTCTGTGAGATAGAAACAAAATAGAACAACAAAAATGGAACATAGGAAAAGAAAAGTGGAGCTCAGGAAAGATCAAATGCGAGTGAGTTTCTAAAATATTAGGTGATTGCCTAATAGGCACTTAGTGAAATATTTCATAAAATTTGTCATAAAATAACTTTTAGTACATTAGGGAAGATTGATAGGAGGAATTAAAAAATTGAGTTAGTGCACACTGATTTTCTTAATAGGAGATAGGACCTTTTCTGAAGGAGGAAATAGATTTGAGACTTGAAAAACTAGAAATGATTTGGAGTAATCATGCTAGGGAATTTGAAGTAAATAGGAGATGCATAGTAAGCAATACATTTTACAGGTTCTAGTGCCTCCAATGTGCTGTGTAGTAACTGTCAGTACTAGAAGTAGGACAGTGAGCAAAAACATTTAGAGTATTTTATGGAGAAGCGAGCATATAATGCACCTTAATAGAATATAGCATACCTTAATAGTGGGTAGAATGTCATTTTATGACTATTTCCCCACCATTGACAATGTAAAGTGGAAGTGAAGAAAACCAGGTAGTTGGTTTATCTCAAGTTAACAGAAAGGGTAGTTGGTGAGAAAGTCAAGAATGCTAGCATTGTGTTTTTGGAATGGCTGGGTATGTTTTGTGTTTGGGTTTGAGTAAGGAATATACTCAAGGGAAGAATAACAATTGTGTGACGGGAAGTGTTTAAGAGAGCCAACAGCACGTTCAGCAGAAATGAGACAGAGAAGTAGAATGCATGATATCATGATCCAAAGTGGAATTTCAGGAGTTTAAGACCTTAAACACATTAGTGCAGGGTAAAAAAGGTACAAACATAAAGAAGATGAATGAACATTGGAATTGACACCAGAATCTTAGAAAAATCATTGCAAACGTTGTGTTCTAAAAGCAGGGAGTGATCTGGGGAGTGAAAGTGAGAGACAATTTTAGTCAAGAAAAGAGCAAACCATATTACTTAGGTCAGTAGAAAAGTGGTGCCCATTATCTAGAGAGGTTTTTTTTTGTCTTTTTGGGACAGGGTCTCTATGCAGTTCAGGCTGACCTTGGGCTCACTTTGTAGCCCAGGCTGGTCTCGAACTCGCAACAATCCTCCTGCCTCAGCCTCATAAGTGCTGGGATTACAGGCATGAGCCACCATGCCTGGCTGGCTAATTTTTCAAAAAAATATTAGTTAAATAAAAATGGTCTTGATAATATCCTTTTTCCATAAATCTAGGAGAGTAGAAAGAGTAGCATCTTATTTTAGAAATAGTTGCTTGGAAAATGGTGCTTTTAAAGGGATTTGTGATTTTACTTAAGTCAAAGAAGTAGGAGTAATGTTTAGGAATGGATGGAGGATACAGTGAGTTTGTAAAACTTCCCAGGTAGGAAGAGCTGTTCCCAGTGGGTGTGGAATAGAATAGAGTTAGAGATTTGCGTTTGATGGCCATAGCAAAGCTGAATGATTTTGTTTTGGGAGAAATAATGTAATTAGGGTAAGGAAACTGGACTTTGAACATGCTTATACGGAAGGCAGAGGTTCTAGCAAGCATAATTTTGTGGATTGAGAAAGTAATTTGCCTCAGGGTTTGAGACAGGGTCTCACTCTGGTTAAGACTAGGCATGAACTTGCTATGTAGCCCTTTCTGGCCTTGAACTCACAGGGATCTTCTTAGCTTAACCTCCTGAATGCTGGAATTAAAGGTGCAGGTCATCACACCAAGTTTACATTTACTTTTGTAGGAAGCAAGGATATATTAAAATTTTTTTGCTAGTATAAAAATGTTTTACATAAGTAATGATTAAAAAATAAATTTGTACCATAAAGAAATGTTTGAGAAGATATGTTAACCTCATTTAAACATTATCTACATTAATACGTACAATTTTTGTTTTTCTATATCAGTTAAATATTTTTTAATTAAAAAGATAAATGCACTTATAAGTAATTACCATAAAATAGACCTGATACAATACTTGGTACATGGTATAGTGAATGTTTTGTTGATTCAAATAGAGTGGTATATTTAGTTCCATTTACATATCTACTTTCCTCCAGTTTATTCAGAGTTTTAGTTTAATTTTAAGAGCATTGAGAGGTATCACAATTCTAGTGCCATCCCACATAAAAGTTAATTCGTAGTAAATAATAAAGTTTAATTCTTTTCAAATAGATAAATGCTGCTTATATCAGGTGACTAGATTAAAATAGGAAGAAAATAGGTAAGAAAAGCTTATATAAATAAGATTAGGCAAACAAAAAATAGCATAGACTTAAAAACATGTAATTTACTATTGTGAGAAAATAGTAGCACTGCTCATTTTTCTGTGTTCTGTGATTAAGATGTCAGTTAAAGATGTTTAGGCTCTACATAAATTTTTATATTAGAATTTTTGATAGCATGTGTTTGCAGTATTCTAAATAAACCTTTTAAAAAGCTGTTAGCAAGTTACCCAGTCAATTGAGTAAACCTGCATCACAGAATTATAAGAATAAAATGATGTAATGTGTGTAAAATGTTTAGGATGGTGATTGTCCTATAGTAAATAAAATAAATATTAGCAGTGATTAATTTATCCTATTAATTTTTTTAAATTGGGTATATTTGAATATTTTCTTTCTTTGGCTATTACCAATTTTACTGTATAAATACTTATGGCTAGGTATCTTGGATTTTTTTCTACCTTCCTGACTTCTATTTTAGCTCTTCTTTTACAGATACTAAATTTTTTTGACCTTTTCTTCCAAATGAATTTCACTATCATTTTGTCATTTTTCTATGAACATCTCAGTGGCATTTTTTAAAATTGGAACTACATCATGCCAATATATTAGAAAAAATATATTTGTAATTTTTAGTCTTCTCATTAGTGGAGATAGTTTGGTTTTTCTTTATTTTATTTATTTATTTATTTATTTATTTATTTGAAACAGGGTCTCACTGTGCAGTTCAGGCTGGCCTTGAACTCACTTTGTAGCCCAGGCGGGCCATCACTCAGCAATCCTCCTCCTCATCTTGGCATCCCAAATGCTGGGATTTCAGGCGGGTACCACCACCCTTGGCCTGGTTTTTCTACTTCAGATTTTCTCTTACATTGTTTACTAGCATTTTAATACTTTGTTCACATGGGACAAAATTATATTATTCCTAGATATTTTATATTTTGTCACTATTTTAAGTGGCATCATTATATTTTAAAATAGTTACAGGCAATATTTTGAAGTTGTTTAAATTTTTTAAATGCCTCTTAAGATACCAGTTTTTTCTTCTTAATATTAATGTTTGTTTCATATTGTTCTCCTTGATGGAACTTTAGAAACACTGTTAAGTAACTGATATCTGACTTTCCTATGTTAATCTAATTTTAATAGGACTAATATATTTTAAATTATTTAATATTTATTCTTGGTTTAAGATATACTGTACTCAGCTCTTTAGTGAATTATTACAGTAAGATATGCCCAGTGGAAAAAAATAGAAGCAATATTAAAATATTGTGAACAAGTGTTAGTGTATATTTGTACTAAGATTTTTCAAATTAGAATTGTGTTGGACTTTATCTCAGCACTTTTTATTTTGAATTGATAAAGTTTAATTTGGTATATAATCTCTTAATGTAATACATTAGCCTAATAGATATCCTAAAATGTAAACATCCATGGAATAAATCCTGCTTGGTCTTGGAGGATAATCCTTTGATACGCTGTAGTAAAAAGGGATGAATTAGGATCTTACAATCAATGCAGTTTGGGTTTTTATCCTTTTTTGTCCTTGAATTAAATGACCTTGGTAAAGTTACGTACTTCTTTTGAATATTGTTTTATTCATAGTCTAATGTCTTTTCCTGCCCCTTGAATTTTATATAAAACCATCTCAACCTCTCCTTCACCTATCCTTCCTCCAATCTGCACGCTTACAGCTGGGGGAAATCTATAGTCCTTCATAAGATAATACAGAAATCTTTTCTCTTGAACGTTTCTCCTTCTGACCCTCTTTCACTGTTGCTGTTTTTCTTCCTCATCTCTTTGACCCGGTATAGCATTAAGTCCCTTATTTTCATGTGCACAAGCAAAAGCTCCACTGGGGGGAATTTGTAGTTTTAGTAGACTTTAGCAAGATTGGGAAAACTTAGAGGTACAGAAATAGGCTTCATTTTTCTTAAAATGTGTTTTAGCCGCTGCACTCATGGGTTTTCTTGGCTCTTCACCCTACCTTGGTTTAATTCTCTCTCAGCATCTCATCATCTTACCTTTACTGATGGACTTTCCTTCCATTAAAGCAAGAGCTCTCCCCTTGTTTCATCAGTGCATTTAAAACTTCTAGATCTTTGACATAAAACTTACACCCCCATTCTTGGGGTGTCAGTTATAAATATTCCAAATTCATTATCAAAACAGAGACACTTTCCTTCCTAAGAGAAGTTCTGATTCTGTTTAACTTTTTTCTGCCTTATTATTTTACCTTTTAGAACTTTAAAATGCAGGCCAGTGTAGCTTTTGGATATAGAAGGATGGCTTTCCCCTCTCTATGACTCCAGCTATTTAACTCATGTTATCATAATATTCTAATAGCAACTAAATCACTTTGTGACAGTGCCTTTTTTATTGCATAAAATTAGTGCTTCAGAGATTTATTTGTATTTCTATTTCAAGAAATGATTTTAAGTTTGAAGTTTCATGTCTTAAAAAGCATAGTTTTTATTGTTTTGCAGAAAATTAATTGTTACAAGCCAGTATGGCCACAGGAGGTGGACCTTTTGAAGAAGGCATGAATGATCAGGATTTACCAAATTGGAGCAATGAGAGTATTGATGACCGACTCAACAATATGGTATAATATCTTAGTACTGATCGTGTATTGTTGACTGATAATGTTAAAATCCAACTTGGGAGGATTTTGGGGATGTGGTTCAGTGGTAGAGCTCTTGCCTTGCAAGCACAAGGATCTGGATTTGATCCCCAGCAACACACACACACACACACACACACACTGTCTCTCTAAATAAATAAATAAAAATAAAATTGAACTTTCTTCTCACCAAATCTTACTCACTAAAACTCTTCGTAAACACAGTTAGCTAACATATTAAGGGACTTTGGGCTGTTAATAACTAGTTGAAGACATTTTTGTTTTCAACTATCAGAAATCAACTTGGGTTAGTTTAAACCAAAAAAGGAGATTTATCATAAGGACATAAAGGTGTTTTGTGGAAATAGTGATAAAGGGTTTTAGGAAGGACTAGAAAAAAGACCTAGAAAGTTATCAGAAATTACTGTATCATTACCCTGCTTACTTCTCAGTGCCTCTCCTTACCATAACTTTCTCTTCCCAGATCAGCATTTTCTCCTTTTCTGGTCCATGTGATATACATTAGTGCCTCATTATATCGACTAGTTATCTTTTAGTTTTAAATTTGAATTTAAAAATATCCTAATTTGGATTAGAGATACATTTGTTTTCCAACCAGAAAGGGGTAAGGGAAGTAGTATTTGAATTTGGCAGGAACACTCATACATGGATTGGGGAGGAGGACCAGTTCATAAAGAAATGAGTTTTATTATAAATAAAAAGGAAAATATCCTAAATGATTTTATTAAAACAGTCACTAAAATATCTTCCAGTAGAAATAAAGTACAAATTTATAGATGTTTTAGAGAATGAATTAGGTGGGTATGATTAAGTAATACATTTTCTAGTTTAAGTATTCAGCATTTTTTTGTCATTTTATATTGGGTGTTAGGTATAATTTTGCCTATAAAATAGTAATAGTTACAGTTGTTGCTTATTAAATGCTATACACTATACCAGCTGTTTGTTATTTTTAATTTTATTTTAAAGATAACACTATTTTAGAAATTGGGAAATTGAGAGTTTGGGAAGTTAGATACATTACCTAGGGTCAGAAAACAGTAGTTCCCAGGGCCATTTTTAGATCTGTCTTGTTTTCATCATACATACTGACTTCATAGGAGGTAAGTAAATAATTTATTTCACTCTTTAATTTAGAAATGGACAAAAACAATTTTTAAAAAGTATTAAGAATATTTAGAGTGCCGTGGATTTAGCTCAGTGGCATAAGTGTCTGCCTGGCAAGTGTGAGGTTGTAAATTCAATCCTCGGTACCCCCCCCCCCAAGAAAAGAATATATAGATTAATTCTAGGTTGAGATTTGGGGATTTATATTTGTTACTTACCTGTAAAATGAGAAATTATTATGTTTCCTGAAGGATAGGCTGTTACATTAGGATAGATGTAATGAAGAGAAAAATGGTGACTGTAAAAGACATTAAGAATGTTTATGTAAAAAAAGTTTTATCACTTTAATCTTAAGATGATCAGTTTAAATCTTGATCAGTTTTTTAAGCATACCAAATTTTTTTTTCCTGGTTCAATAAAGGACAGATTAACTGTGCTCTTTCTTTCTTTCTTTCTTTTTCTTTTTTTCTAAAGGATTGGGGTTGCCAACAGAAGAAGGCAAATAGATCATCAGAAAAGAATAAGAAAAAGTTTGGTGTGGAAAGTGATAAAAGAGTAACTAATGATATTTCTCCAGAGTCATCACCAGGAGTTGGAAGGCGAAGAACAAAGACTCCACATACACTTCCACACAGTAGATACATGACTCAGATGTCTGTCCCAGAGCAGGCAGAGTTAGAGAAACTTAAACAGCGGATAAACTTCAGTGATTTAGATCAGGTTTGTGAATTATTTGGAAAGTCAAGTTATAATTGTAGAAAATACTTGGAGTAGGGGCTGGGGATTTAGCTCAGCGGCATAAGCGCCTGCCTTGCAAGCAGGCAGTCGTAAGTTCGATCCCTGGTACCGATAAAAACGAAAAAAAGTCCAAAAAAAAAAAAAAAAAGAAAATACTTGGAGTAGCATTTGTCTAAAGAATAAAAGACGGAGCTGCTTACTTAATTTTGAAGTTTCTGTGCATATGGAAAGAATTTTTATCATTTAGCAAAGTCCTGTGTCCTTTGGTGGAAAGCACTCTCAGATATTTCTGTACTTGCCAACGACATGTTTTTCTGAATTTTCTTACTGTGCTAATAATTTAAATTATTTCATTGTGAAACTATTGCATGTTACTAAGATTGTTGCTAAGTGAATAGAACCAGTTTAATGTGTTTATTGGGTAAGTGTGGGATCTGCTGAATTCAGATGTAGAATAAAACTAATTTTATATTTATATTCACTGTAACAAAGTTTAGATCTAGAAGCAAATAGAGATAATGACCTCTTGGCCAATATTTTACTGTTCCTTTGCACTTGGAGAGGTGAAATGGTTTTTACATATGTAGAAATACTGTTGTACATTGAAGTCTGAAAGATTCAAGTCCAGTGTGACAGTGATGTTTATAATCATGTATCATCTGCATGTATAATACTAATTATTGACATTTACTGTATGCCAGGTACTAAACCAGCTACTTTTACACACAGCGCTTCCAAATGTTTATGCCGATCGAGTACAAAGACTAAAAATTTTGTAAGCAAACAACAAATAGCAGTGTGAATTATAAATGTTGTTCATGTTTCTAGTACTTACAATTAATTCTGTTCATGTTTATTGAATTGTTTCACAAAATGAGGTCTAGGAAATGCAATCAAGTTTTAATATTTTAGTAAAAGAATTTTGTAGATCTGAACCTCTTTGTAATTTTAAAATCTACTATTTAGACCAATTAAATTAATATCTGATGGTGAAACTAAGAACATTGGAATTACTTTAATTTGTTAAAAGATTGTATGATTTGATTTGTCTTTTATATGTAGAGAAGCATTGGAAGTGATTCTCAAGGAAGAGCAACAGCTGCTAACAACAAACGTCAGCCTAGTGAAAACCGAAAACCCTTCAACTTTTTGCCGATGCAGATTAATACTAACAAAAGCAAAGATGCTGTTACAAGTCAAAAGAGAGAAGTGATTGGAACAGCACAATGTAAAGAGTTGTTTGCTTCTGCATTAAGTAATGATCTTTTGCAAAATTGCCAAGTCTCTGAAGAAGATGGGAGAGGAGAGCCTGCGATGGAGAGCAGCCAGGTAATAAAATGTATTTTGCTCGTTTTCAGAAACCTAAAAGTATAAACATTAAGATTTTAAACATTGTGTTAGGTTATACACATAACAATTTTATTTAAGTACAAGTAAAGTATTTTCCTGACCCCTTTCATTAATCTGTCAGGTTTATTTAAAACAGATTTTTTGAATCCCAAATGATTAGAGAAATAGCATATTCAAGTTTATTAAGTATTCTTTTATTTGCCAAATACTGTATTGCTAAATTTTAGTAAAAGGGGATTGGAAGTGGTGTGATTAGTAGACTATCATAAGAAAATTTTTAAATGATACTATTCTTTTAGAAAATATTTTTAAAAGTTCATATTTTTAATTACTTAGAAATATATAAATATTAGGAAATTTTATATTGAAATAATTTGGTATATAGTTTTTTATAAATAAAATTTTTCAGGTAATATGTTAAAGTAATTTAGAAATTTATTTTAAAATTGATGCTACTTGGAGTTTCTATTATTAACATTTATGTTTTGATTAAAATCTTAAGTTTGATTCAAGTTTTTTGCATGTATGAATCCCTGTGATAAATCTAGATGTATTTTGGGTTATTCTAGTTGAAACAAAAAATCTGAGCCAGGTGTGGTGGTGCACACCTATAATCCTAGCGCTCAGAAGGCTGAGACAGGAGGATCATTGCAAGGTTGAGATCAGCCTGGGCTACAAAGTAAGCTCAAGGCCAGCCCGATCTGCATAGGGAGACCCTGTCTCAAAAAAGATGACCAAAAAAAAATTGAAAATCTATAAAGTTGTTGCCATTTAATTATCCTCAGTTTTACATTTGTGCACTATCATCCTTATTTTTTCTTTCTCCCTTCTTTTTTTTTTTCTTTTTGGTATTGGGGATCAAACTCAGGGCCTTACGCTTGCCAGGCAGGTACTTATGCCCCTGAGCCCTCTTCTTTTGTTTCCCTTCTGATTTTCTTTCCTTTTTCAGTAATAGAGGTTGAGTCCAGAGCCTTTACAGTGAGATATATCCCCAGGCTTTTTTGTTTTGTTTTTTGAGACAAGATCTCACAAAGTTACTAGATTGAACTTGAAGGTTTTCTGGCTCAGCCTACACTACCATGCCTGCCTCTTAATTATCTTTTTCATATTTCCTCTGCAGATTGTAAGCAGGCTTGTTCAAATTCGTGACTATATTACTAAAGCCAGTTCTATGCGAGAAGATCTTGTAGAGAAAAATGAAAGATCTGCTAATGTTGAGCGTCTTACTCATCTAATAGACCACCTTAAAGAACAAGAAAAATCATATATGAAATTCCTCCAAAAAATCCTAGTAAGTTTTTGATGTTTTAATAACATGTTGAGTTACTTTTGTAACATCAGTATAGATACACTGATGATATTCTAATGCCACCCAGAGGAGGTAATATTTTCAAAAAAATCCTGCCATCCATTATAACATTTTATTGCCCTTTTTAATAGTTGTATGATTTATACTACTAAAATATTTCAGGCTAGAGAAAATGAGGAGGAGGATGTTCGGACTATAGATTCAGCTGTGGGATCTGGTTCTGTAGCTGAGAGCACATCGCTAAACATAGATGTGCAGTCTGAGGCTTCAGATACCACGGTAAGCCGCTTTTTGGTAATTAAAGTGATAGAAATGAAGATTTAAACTTTCCTCCTCTTTCTCAGGATGCTATTTTATAGGCATTCCTTAATGATTCCTTATCTTCTTCCAGGGAAGAAGCCCTCAAATTGTTAATGTTATATATATTTTTAAACACGGGAATTTTATTTCTTAGCATTAAAAATAGTTTTAATGGTTGAATTGAAAATGTAATTTTCAAACTTCAGTTTACAGAACTATTTTTCTAGTTTTGTTAAACAGCTTTACTAATTTTGAGAAGCACTGGAAAAGTAAAAAATTGGCTGTGACTGGAAGGGCCATTAGTAATCACTGATGATACTACTGATTGCTAAACATGTAATGTATTTAGAGAAATTGTGCATTTGCCACTGGAGGCTGATTTTATGGGTTGTGGGATTTTCATTTCTGAGGCTATAGTTTAGTACTATAGCAAATAGCTGAAAAATGAGATATAGACTAGTAAATAGTATAGGATGCGATTTATATTTTTATTTACAGTGAGAAAAATACTGGATTCTAACTGCAGAATGAAATTTTTGAAAATAGTATCTTTTTGTAAAAATCTCAGAATTTTTGATGAAAGATTTGTAGAATAGACTTAGCTTATAGAACTTAGTGTATTTCAAAGCAAATATACTTTTTTTTTTAAGCCAGTCAAATTTAGCAGTGGGGTGGGGGGTGTGCCAACTTTAGTGACACTAATGTTGATAAGTTCTGATAATTCACTGCCATCGGACCAGCCAGCAAATATACTTTTAACCATCTTTATTTTATAAGCATTTTATTTTATAAGAATGCATTATTGCATTATTAAATTTTAAAACCTATTACCAAAAAGGCTTTTCTTTTTAAAGAATAACCATGTATGTCATTTTTAAAAAAAGTTTTACTAATAATATTGTTCATCATTAGGAATTTGAGGGTTTGTTTCCTTTGAGTATGACCATAAGCCTCATTTTCCTTCTGTGACCTTCCTAGTTTGAAGAGGTAATTTTTTCTTGACCTTATTTTCACTAGGAAATACTCAAAGGGCTTGATCCAGACAGTTGTTGAAGAGTGGATTCTACTGTGAGGAACTTGTCTTTTTAGTTACAGTGGTGCTGGGACTAATTTACTCCTTAGATATCAGCAGATATGAAAGATTTAGGGCAATGTGGGTAAAGATGTTTGTTGGAAAGGATTGGGAAATGGTATAGCTGATTATTATAATATCTATACTATCATCTAAAGTGTTGGGCCAAGGATATAGCTCAGTGGCACAGCACCTCCCTGGCAAGTGTGAGGTCCTAGGTTTGATTGCTGGTACCACCACCGCCCCTCCCCCCAGTAGTGTTCACCATGATGAGAATTTTTCATAAGAACATAAAATCATGATCTTGTGGAAATTTATTAGTAGTGCATAGCAGAATAAATGTTAACATACACTTGTCATTTTGTATAGGTTGGACATTGCCTTGGATGTAATCTTTAATAAGCAACAATTTAGCCTATAGAAATATGAAAGTCTGATTTTGCTGCTGCTTGGGGGTGGGAGTGGATTAATTTTTTAAGGAAAGATTGGGAAAGTTTTTGTGTTTATTTACAAAACTGGCTTATATGTTAAAGCAGGAGTATTGTTAAGAAATTAATATGCTACACTATTTAATAAAGGTGGCATCATTTAGTCTGAGAATTTGGCCGTGCATTGAGGACAAACCAGGGAACTTAGCCTCACCAAAAGAGGTTTCAGACACTGACGTTACTACAAGTCCAAAAGGGGAAGGTGACAGACCTTAGAATGACAGGGAACTGAGGCCTAATAGGAAATACAGTCGAAAACATGGATTTCCCTCAAAGGTATACTTCATAATATTAACTGGGGAAGCCTAAACTAACATTTCTTTTGTTCATATTTCCTCTTCCTTAATTGATTTTTTTGTTGTTATTGCTATAATTCTAAATATATAAATTAACTAGTATGATTAATTACTGTAATTTGCTTTAGTAAAATCCTATACCTCACTGATTTTCTTTCTGCTTTCATATGTATTGCTTCATGGATTATATGTAGCAGCTGATTTTAATTTACATTAACAAAGGATTTGAAAGATAATAGAGAAAAAAATTTTCAAAGTGCTGTCAAAAGTATATAACACATTCTGAAGCACCATCAATCAGTTGCCTTTTGTTTTAGATATTAGTGTGCATGCATTAAAATGAAACTTTGCACCTTTATTTCTTTTGATCATTTATTAGAGAAAAAATAGAGCAAGCTATTAGCTTTCTTAACTACATAACAATGAAATACTTTCCTATTTTTTTGAGGGGAGTTATGTTTCTGTTGCTTTTTTGGAAACCTTTTTGAATCTTTTTTTTAGAAAAACAGTTATCCAGTTGACTTGTTTGAATTCTTTTACTGGATTCCTTTAGTGTTTAATTGTTATTTAAATTTTTTATGATTTGTATAAAGGCATTCAAGGTAAATTTAAAGACAACTATTTGTATACTTCTATTTATAACAATGAAGATAAAATAGCATTAGTAAAAGTATTTATATCCTGTTGGCAAGGACAAAGTACTGTTTAAACAGTTGAGTATAGATAGGAATTAAAAAACCCTTAATTCTCACCACCTGACTTAATTATGTTTTTTTCTTTGCTATACAGAATCTGTCATTCTCATCACCCTTTCCCCATTCCCTCCTAAGAATTCTTTCAAAACAGAAGAGGTTGAGTTCTGACCTGTTTTCAGAGCTGACAACAGTCTTGTGAGTTGCAGCTTGACAAGAAGTGATTGGTATTCTAACACTGCCTATAAAGGCAAATTCCACTTTATGGAGTATTTTACAGACATGAAGTTTTGTATCACTTTACAAAAGAAGCTTTCCACAAGAATTCATGCTTTTTTCTGCTATTAGTTTCATTAGTTCTAATTATTTCATGTGAACTGGCCTTGTCTTTTTAACTAGCTATGCTTTTTCACAGATTGTATCATGTATTTCTCTATTCAGAACCCAGGCATATAATTTTGGGGCGGACAGTATGGTGTAAAGAATACTAAACAAGAGATTAGGAACCTGAATTTGCCTGTGACATTGGATAAATTATAGCTTTACTTCTTTGGGCTTGTGTCCTCATCTTTCTCATCTTTCACAAAAGATTTGGAGTATATACTATCTTTAACTATAGATACTGTAGAAATATGTTTGGATCAATGAGAAATTGCTTAGGAAAGAGAGATGTAAGGTTTTCTGAAATTTGATTATTTAATGCTGTGCAACTTGAGATTTAATGCCTAAATTATTATTTTTTAATCTGTAAGCTAAAATGTACTTGGTAAAAGTGACCCAGAAAAATTTACAAGTATGTGTTAGAAAGATGGACATAGTTCTGACTTCCTTTTTGGATTTCTATTGCAAACAACATATGTGTACATTTTATTTCTGGATATTTTTATTTTCATTTTCTCATCTTCTCTGTATTTGATCATAATCCTCACCTCTTCCTTTGCCTCAGCTTTTTAAAGTATGAATCTGAATACTACTTAAGTGGATACAAAATTACTAAGAAGTAGTAAAACTGCACTAATTTTAAAAATTTTTGGGAATTCACTGTTAGGTTTATGAAAAGTCTGAACATGATTATACTTATTTTAACAAATAGCATTCTGTATTATTAGGGTGTCATACTTTTGCAAATAAATGCTAGTAACAAGGATTAAATTTTTTTGTTTGCTTTTTAAAAGGCAAAATATTTGTAACATTAAGTTATTTAGTAAACCTTTTAAAACTAAATAGTTGGAATGTTAACTAGAATCTAAACTATTTTAAGGTAGAAGGTTTGTAAATTAGGTAGAAATAAGCATTTTTGAGGGAGCTTATTTTCAAATGATATTTTTATTTGCAGAATGCTTCTTGTAGTTAAGTATCATGTATACATCCCCAAAGGATTATTAACCTGAAGACATTTCTCTGAGTTGCTCCATTGAGATCTGTTCCTATTGGATTTGGTTTTATATTTTACAAGTGACTTTGGTTAAATTATTACAGCATTACTTTTCATCACATTTGAGAAGGTTATTGATAGTTATCCCTTATCTCTTCAGTTTTTTTTCCAAGTTGAAAGCCAAAACTGAAAAAGTTGAATTTTAACAGGGATAAATATAAGTGATAACAAGGTAGCTCTACTTTGTAGGATGGCAGAGAACTGAATAAACAGTAGTTAATTTGGATAGTTTTCAGTTTATTAAAATTTTATGACAACAGAGAAACCTTCACTAAATAGTGTGTTAATCAAAGTAATAGATTATTTCTTTGTCATATTCAGGAAGTCTAGAGATAGTCTAGGATATGTTGATGAGGCCCTGGCTTACATCAGATACTCTCAGTTTAGTCTACTTCCTATTTCATTTTAATGCTCTCTGACTGCTTACCTCTGTGTGTATGACTTTTTAAATTGTTTTATGTACTAATCATTTTGATTTTCAAGTCATATTGTAAAATGATTTCATGCTTGCTTGTCCTTATGGTTTTAATGAGTTCTGCTTGCAGAAGCAAAGAGAAGAAACTTTTGCATGGTATTGGTAAGGTATGTCACCCTGAAGAAAACTCTTGAACCTTCTATGTGTACCATAATTTTGCCAGAATCAAATGAGTACAGGGAAAGTGAATCCGTGCATTTTTCCTTCAAAGGAAACCATTGAAACCTTACTGTCCTTAGTAATTTTAGAGGAGGAAGATCACTCATTGGAAACATGTAACTGCAATAATAATGTTACCAGGGCAGATTTAAAATGGACTTAAGTACAACAGAGAAGAATATTTTATGTATTAAGTAATTTGTGTGTGTACGTGCCTTGCACGTACATATGTCCTTGCATATGCTAGGTAAGCATTTTACCACTGTCATATCCACAGCCCTTAAATTTAAAAAAATTTTAATGGTAATTCAGTGTTGAAAGTATTTCATGCATAATTGAGCTCATAATTTATTGTTTTCAGTTTGTATTTAAATATGTCTTTAGTTGACTTTTTCTTGATGGGTTACATTTAGAATAGTTTTAGATAAACATTTAAAATTTGATCATTTTTTATGTGATACCTTTTTAATTTGTTACTTCTGGGCAGAGTGATAACCTTCTTTGTGTCCTCACATTCAGGTGAATGCACATAATTGAAGAGTAAAAATATTAATGACATTTATGATAAAAACAAAATTTTTAGCTTATATGCCTAGTAGTAGATACAGTTCAAGCATTTTTACACTTTAAAATGCACTTTAAAAATTTCAAAATGCACTTTAAAAATTTCTGTTCTTGGCTAGAAATTTTCATTTCTGGGATTTTTGCTTGTTTAGTGTTTTTAACATACTTTAAGAAGTAAGGCTGAAAGTTTCTTAGTTTGGTCTTTTTTACTGAGGCTTGTAGGGTACTTACCCAACATAATCTGTTCCTGCTTTTCTCCAGGACCTGGACTTTCTATAGGGTCTCATATTTTTATGTGCATTTGTATGAATCTCCTTTTGCTCTGTAGACTCATCTTCCATTTCATGTATCTTTTTTCTTTCTTTTTCAAATTCATTGTAAGCCATTGCTTACGATCTTTTACGTGAAATTACCAAACTATTGTATTGCAAGCTATCTGTTCTCTTTTTCCTTCAAATCTACTAAAACTATGTCTAGGGTTGTATACTTAATACTAGTTTATTATCTGTGTATGTACTTGCTGTTGGTAGTTCACACAGGAGCACTGATTCTAATAGATGTAAGTATTGTTGGTCTTACTTTTCAGGCCAGAGATCCTGAACAGGAGCCTATGGAAGAGATAGAAAATTTGAAGAAGCAACATGATTTGTTGAAAAGGATGTTACAACAGCAGGAGCAACTGCGAGCTTTGCAGGGACGACAAGCTGCTCTTCTGGCATTGCAACATAAAGCAGAACAAGCTGTTGCTGTAATGGATGATTCTGGTATGCCACACTATTTAAAATGTTTGTACAAGCAAGGCTCAATAAGAAATTATATTGCAAGGTGGATTCTCTTATTATATAATCAGGCTATGATTGCTGACTAATTGAGAAACCTGCCTATCAGCCTTACCATGTACTGAGCAAACACATGCCTTGCTCTCCTTTCTATCAGAGTGTATCTTAAAGAGATAAAAGGGACAGGTTGTAGTTCTGTTTTTGAACCTCAAACTGATAAGAGCTTTTGATACTCTTATTTACATTTTTTTATGTTTTATTCAACTAGGATTGTTCTTTGCTTGCTTCCCAAGGAATGGTTGAGAATCCTAACTGGGGCCATAATTTTATAGAGAATCTTTAGCAGTCAGTGTTGTTTGCAATTCTTGTTACCTTATTTAGGTATCCAGTTTTGTGTACTGGTACCTTTGAGTTATAATATATTTTATTCAGGTTTTTTGAGATTCAGAAATGCTTCTTAAAATTCGTGTTGATTATTTTCCTGTTTCCCTCATAGCTATGTATTATAAAGGTGAAAACTGTTGAATTGTTTAGTATTGGGTCTAATTATAATAAAGAATGTTTCAATATTTTCAAACCTGTGTTTTAATTTTTCATCACATTAAAAATAAGATTGTTAAAATTCAAGGCTAAGTTTTGTTTTTGTTTTAATGGACCAAAAATAACTATATGTATTTATTGGGTACAAAAAGGAATTGTTCCAATTTTAGTATATGTGCTGCTGAAGTGAGCACTGGGGTACAAAATGAGTTTGTGACATACTCTTCCAATAGCTAAGTTTTTGTTTTTTTTTTTTTTTTTTTTTTTTTTGGTCTTTTTGGGATAGGGTCTCACTATGCAGTTCAGGCTGGCCTTGAGCTCACTTTGTAGCCCAGGCTGGTCTCAAACTCGCATCGATCCTCCTGTCTCAGCCTTCCGAATGCTGGGATTACAGGTGTGAGCCACCACGCCCGGCTTCAATAGCTAAGTTTTAAGTTGCACTTTCAAATAGTCTGTTGCTGTCAGATTCTACTAATAATTTATGTTCTTGGATCACTCCATTTTTTGCCGGTGAGTTTGGATCACTTGTTACTGAATTCATGCTACTGTCTAAGCCTACTGGTTCAGCTATCAGATCACTGATAAATCTTTAATTTTATAACTTCATAAGGCATTTATGACTTTCAGGTAATTTACTTTTTGAAATATACACTTGTATATAGTAATAATTACTGGGTTTTGTCACCATTTTTCCATATAAGATCTAAAGAGCCACTAGCAGTTATATTTAGGAAATAGGTAAGAAAAAATGGTTAAAATATTTTAACATAAAGACTAATACTAATTTGAAAAGGACTAACCATTTAAACATTTTTCCAGCTTTATCAGATTTTAAAGACTTTTCTTTTAGTAGTCATGTTGATCTCAAGTGTACATTTATAGTTTGTAGTTACATTTATATCATCCTGTGATCAACATAGAAATTCTAGGTTAGTATGCAAAGACTTTATTTTACTTCCGTATTATAGAGAAGAAATTCACAGTTTCTGATTTACATAACCTTGTATAGAATTTTAGTAGAATTAGAGCTCTTGAATTCTAAGGGGTCTTTGAAATTCTAAATGTCAACTTTGTAAAAAGTAAATTATTTCTTTTTTTAAAATATGCTATCTTGAATTGGAATAAAAGTAGAATGGAGTTTGAATCTGAACTTGCTCTATTTTGTACCACAGAAAGAGTTTTGGCTTAATAACTTTTAAAAAGTTGTTCTTTATAGAGATTTTATAGGAATATACTGATGAAAACTTAGGTGTGTGTAAGGGAGACAACATAATTGTCATGGGAAAGAGTATTTTACGATTTGGAGAGTTGTACATTCGTTGTCTATATTGTCATTTCTTTTCCATGGAGAATTTGGACTAGATCCATAGGGTTCTGTCACCCTAAATTTAATTATTTAGCAGAAAAAAAATAATGTTTTTCTTAAAATTGAAGCAATTCGTAGCCCGTATTTTCTTTTAGAACTAGAGAGTTAGAAGTAAAGATAAGGGTGCGGTGTTTGAGTTGTAAGCAGTGAGTGTTACCAGCATTGTCACCAGAAACCCATTCAGAAGTAGGAGGCCTTTTTTTTTAAAATGAAGAAGATAAAAACCATGGTTTCTTAGTATGACTTATATTGTATGCAGTTCAGTACATTCTATGTTGTACTGCAGGGGTAGCAAGCGGGTAGCAAGCTATAGGTTCAGCCCCCTGCAGGAAATAAAGTTGCAATACAGCTGTGTCTATTTGTTTGCATATTGTTAATGATTGCTTTTGTTATGTAATAACAAGTAGTTGAGACAAAAACTGTATTTCCCAGAAAGCCTAACCTATTTATGTGAACATTTAAGTAAACTTTGCTAGCTTCTATATTGTAGTATTGATTTTATTGGGGAAACCAGAGATTAAGATCTGTCAGAATCAGTTGCTCAATTTCAGTCAGGCAATGACTTTGCACACTGTTCCCTCAACTAACAGACTGGTAGACTTGCTCTACCCTTCATTCATTCGGTCATAATTATTTTTTGAGGTAAATACTGTTCCCTTTTGTATGTTGGAATAGAAAAAGGTGAGTTGCTCTACTAGAGTTTTGCAGTTGGTCTATTTTTAGGTTAGATAGAAACTTCTAATTAAGTTGCTTATTAACAAAGGGTTAACTAGTTTCTTTTTTAAAATTTTTATTTGTAGTAGTATGTGTACTACATGATTACATTCATCGTGGAGAGTTGGCACATGTATGTAGGTTTAATTAGTTTCAAATTATGTTAGATTTTTTTGTCAGAGTGTGTTTAACTTTTCAGAAATTAAAAAAGTGCTTTATTTATATTAATGAATTATTACTAATTTCCTTTCCAGTTGTTGCAGAAACTACAGGTAGTTTATCAGGAGTCAGTATCTCATCTGAACTAAATGAAGAATTGAATGATTTAATTCAGCGTTTTCATAATCAACTTCGTGATTCTCAGGTGACTTAACTTTTTTTTGTTATGGTGGAGCTTATAGTTGCATTAACTAGACAGTGGTCCTCCAACCTGACTAAGCATTATTATCATCTGGCAGAATGCTTGATGATTGGTCAGGGTGGTAACCTCTCCCTTCATTCATGATCATGAGGGCTGGTGGGCTCCTAAGCAGCTGGGATGCTGAACACACAAGTTAGAGATTTACTTTGAAGTTTTCCTTTTGTATGCTATTAAGTAATACGTTAAGTCTAAGTTCTTGGAATATTTTACAATAGTTTTACCACCGATTTTATGAAAATTCTTATTTGAGAGTTAATAGATACATTAATTTAACACTTTGTAGATAATGATATAAGTGCAAATTTATAATATTTGAGCTTTGGATAAGAAAGAATTAATACCTCTCCATTGGAAATTAGTGTGCTTGAAGATGCAGTGTCTTGTGTTTTCTTGCTGACCAAGTGAAAATAAGAGATGTTTACAAGGAGGTAGGTGTGAGAATGCTCACAACAGTGTGGTGCTAGTAGCAAATAACAAGTATATAATGAGACACGTTTGTCATTTTGTAAAGGAAAATAATAGATTACAGTAGAGTGAAATTCTATATAGTAGTCATGATAGTAAATGAACCAGAGTTAATGAAACTGCTAAGTTTAAGAAGGGCGCTTTACCGGGCATAGTCGCACACGCCTGTAATCCCAGTACTCAGGAGGCTGAGGCAGGAGAATCGTTTGCAAATTCGAGACCAGCCCCCAAGGCCACTGCATAGGGAAACTGTCTCAAAAAGACAAAAAGACCAAACAAAAAAAAAAGGGTGCTTAGTCCTGGGAATGTAGCTCAGAGGTAGAGTGCTTACGTTCACGAGGCCTTGGATTGAACCACAGAAATGAATAAATAAATAAAAAGATGCTATTTACTTTTTAAAAATATATACTTACATAATTTTTATGGACATATAAACAGATATTACAAAGTAAAAATGTATGCAAAAATACATACAAAAATGATGGATCATCTAATTCCAGATTGTGATTACTTCTATAGAGGATAAAAGGATTTGGGAAGGGTATGTATAAAGGTTTAGCCATTTTTCTAATACTATATTTTTGTTAAAAAAAAGAATAGATATACATATGGGAAAATGTTAAAATTTGATGAAGTTTAGTGATAGATACTTGTATAGTTCCCAAAGCCTTAGTTTACTTTTGAAATATTTCATAATTTTTTTTTTAAGTAGAGGAGCAGCTGGGCATAGTAGTACAAATTTATAATCCCAGCACTCAGGGAGTGTGAGACAGGGGGACCACCTGGAGTTTGAAGGCCAGCCTGGGGTGATAGTGTGTTCAAGGCCTGCTACATAGTAAGACCCTGTCTCAAGAAAACAACAAAAAAGTAGAGAACATATGATGTAGGTCTGGAAGTTTTAAGTTTATGGTGCTAGTTCTAGAAAGATGAGAGAGTTGGATATGGTGCTGCGTATACAACCCAAGCATCCTGGGAGGCTGAGGCATTAGGATCTCAAGTTTGAGTCCAATCTCAGCAATTTAGTGAGACTGTTAAAACATAAAGGACATATATTTAGCCATCAGTGCAATGTAGGCAAAATATGTCTTATAAAGGATATTTGTATTTAAAATAGCTTAAAAATGAGGAAGCAACTTTTAATTGCCTTTGTCTTAATTTTTTTTTTTTTTAATAAGCCTCCAACAGTTCCTGACAACAGAAGACAGGCAGAAAGTCTTTCATTAACTAGGGAGGTTTCCCAGAGCAGGAATCCATCAGTTTCAGAACATTTACCTGATGAGAAAGTCCAGCTTTTTAGCAAAATGAGAGTGCTACAGGAAAAGAAACAAAAAATGGATAAATTGCTTGGAGAACTTCATACACTTCGAGATCAGCATCTGAACAATTCATCATGTAAGTAAATCTGGTTCAGCAATATTAGAGGACATAAGTATATATGCTGGTACATAATAGTTACAGAATATTTGACGAATGACAGTTTCTCAAATTTATCATTTCTGTGGGGAGATAAAACTTGAGTTTGAAGTTTTGAGATAACCCAGTATATAATAGCCAGATGGATAGTAAATTTATTCAGAAAAGAGAAAGGTTAAAGTTGGACCTTGAAAATTAATAGAATTCTAATAAGTGGCAGAAAAAGGGGTAATTTGATATTTCCACATGACGTTGCATTTAGTAGAATATTCAGAATTTTTTCCTAATGGGAAATGAATCCTGTTTGTACTTTGAAAAACCCCAAAACTATGGGCTGATAGTGTTATGCAGAGGTAGAGCACTTGCCTAAATTGTTTGAAACCCTGGGTTTGATCTCAGTACTTCAAAAAATAAAAATGCTGAAACTGAAACAGATTTAGAGACTATTTAGACATGGGGGGGGATAATGCAAAGCAAAAGAAAAAGACAAAATAACTTGCATACATATGGTTAGTGTAGAAAAGCTAGAATTTGCAACCACTGAACTTTTTTTTTTTTTTTTTTAAATATGTGGGTCATTTCAGGGAGCTGTTATTATAGGAAATGTCTTTTATACTGCATAGATATTCTACGTGCTCTTAATTGTTTTTTGGTTTTTATTTTGGTCCTGGCTTGGCACACACTAGGTATATACATAGCCACTGAGCTATATTCCAGCCCATTTTAAATTAGACCTACTTGTTATTCTTGCTGTCCTAATACCCTCTCAGGTGGTTTCAGCCACTTACTAAAAAAATTAGTAACACGGTTTGAACACTGGAAATTGAAGCCAGTAGGGGCAGCCTAAGTTATTTGTTATTCTTTAACATTCACTGTCTTACTTAAAAAAAAAAAAGATAAAGAATAAAAACATCGTCTCTGAAGTTCCTGTTTTTTCAATTCTCCACCCATTCTGCTTTTCTAAAACTTCCAAAAAAAACCTAACATTTCTGGTAAGCATGCAGTAGCATTCTGGAGGATGAGGCAGGAGAATCAGGAGTTCAAGGCCAGCGTGGGTCATGTGAATTACATATGAAGACCCTGAAATGTACTCCATTTCCCTGATTTATAGTAGTTCTCTCCTCTAGAGCATAATTTCAGTTTCTATCCTTTACAAACAGAGGGAGACAACTGGGAAAAACTTAAAATTTGAAATTTGTCCTAGTTTTATACACCAAAGAAAGCACTCTGCCTTCTGACGACTCCAGATCTTTTTTCCAGTGTAAAAATGGGAGTGCAATAAAAGGTAGAATGGTCAAGTGTCTACTGGAAACCAGCTATAGCAATTGTAGCATTAACATAAGCATCAAGCAATAATAGTCTCTTTGAAAAAGAGAAATGACAATAGGTTTGAAATTAAGAGACAAAGATGCTTCATCCATATTAATTGTCCTAGGAGGCATAAGATATCTTTATCTGATGTATGTGGACAGGAAATAATTAGAATTTATCAGAGTACTCTGCATATTTTTCCAATATGCGGTATCATAATTCTTGGAATTCCCTTTATCCCTGTTTTTAACCCAGTGATTCTAATGTAAAAGTAATAGGGTGCACGCCTGTAATCCCAGCATTTGTGAGGCTGAGGAAGCAGGATGGCTGAGAGTTGGAGACCAGCATGGGCTACCGAGGGCGTTGAAGGCCAACCTGAGCTGTATAGTGAGACCCACCCATATCAAAAAACAAGAAAAGGAATAGACTCTCTGGAAGAAAGAAAATCTGTTTTCCATGTGAATGTTGATGTGTTTAGTTATGGAGTTCATTAATAAGTAATGAGGATATATTAAGTTTGTAAACATTCTGTAGAGTTTGAGATGTTAATGATTTTAAGTTGGAATTTCTATTTGCCTCTCAGCACACTGTTGCACTATACCGTGTTTGTGTGTCTATGCTAAGGTGACTTTCCTCTTGTTTTTGTAGTTGTGCCTTCTTCGACCTCTCCACAAAGGAACACCGATCAGAGGAGTACCAGTGCAGCCCCCTCTGCTGCTGTGGGCTTGGCACCGGTTGTCAACGGAGAGTCTAATAACAGCCTGGTGTCATCTGGCCCTTATGCTGCTGCTTCTCTGGTTTCTCAAAATGAGACTGAACGTGAAGGACATCTAAATCCAACTGAAAAACTCCAGTAAAACATTTTTTACAATCCTGTTCACATAGATTAGAATAAAACATTGGGAATAAAGTTGGGCTTTTTTTCTTTGTGTTAAAATTTTGGATGACACTGAAGTTATTTAATAAACATTTTTAGGTTAGAAGGGTATGGTATGTTATATGGCATTTTATGAATTGTCAAAAAGAAATACAACTTTGTACACAGGTAACTTTTGCAAACTGATGTTATTTTCTTAAGAGAGAGTCAGAAATAGCTTGGCTATAGTTAAAGTATTTCTTAATCAAATGAAAGACCCCAGGCTGTAGAGTCATTCATCCCTGGAATTTTGTCATGCAAGGCTGTATTACTATGGACCAGTAACTTACTCTGCTCCCTCATCTGCAAAAGAGGCATAACAGCATGCCTATTTATAAAAGTTTTCTTTTTAGATATATTTTTAATTGATACATAATGATTGTACATATTAATGGGAGGTAGTGTGACATTTCAATTTGTTTTTAGGAACTAAAATTTATTGGTATATTTCTTAGCACTTAAGTAAACAAATCAGCAAACAGTTATTTTTGTTAAAAATATTGTACACTGTAGATTTCTTTTTATGTGGGAAGTTGGAAACCTGTAAATATATAGTAGTATCTGCATACCTAGTTGGCTAAGAAGGTAATAAATTGAATATTGATACTTCATGTCTTTGATATACATAAAGAAGCCTAAAAACGTTTTTCACATTGAGCTTTCTGCTGTTAATGTGTATACCTAAAATTGAAATTGTTTATGCCTTTTCCCTAAAACTACATAAGAAATTTAAGTCATTAATCTTTGAGTAAATCATACTTGAAATTAAACTCATTTCATTTAATTCCGAGTCCCTCAATATTGATAAGGTCTGTCTTGAGAGTGTGGTGTTTGTTGCCTGATATTACATGAAAATAGCCTTGTGCTCTTTTGTTTTTGCTAACATGATGTTAACATTATATGTTTATCAGGAAACTAAATGAAGTTCGGAAGAGATTGAATGAATTAAGAGAATTAGTTCATTATTATGAACAAACATCAGATATGATGGCAGATGCTGTAAATGAAAACACAAAAGATGAAGAAACTGAAGAGTCCGAATATGATTCTGAGCATGAAAATTCCGAACCTGTTACTAACATTCGGTAAGAATGTTTTTGTAAGTGCCTCAATGTATTCATCCTAACCTAATAGTTTTAGTGGAGTGGTGGTGGGCAGAGGGGATAAGAACCTCAATAAAAGTGCTCATTTGTTTGTCATTTAAGCTTTTCTCCTATTAGGGTACAGTTTTGGCCAGTGTAATCTTCCTTTCCCTCTAAAGGTAAAGTAGGGAAGTACTCAGTATAGTAGTATATTCAGTTTGCTGTTTGTTAGGTCCAAGACAATAAATTGTAAGAAATATCTCATCTTTCCTCTTTATTCTGTGTAATTTTGACTTCTCACATGTTCATAAATTTGGATGTAACACATATGTAAAAGTTAATGAAAAGTAAGAGCTGATTATTAAAAGTTCAAAATTAAATGGGCAAACCAATGTTCTCCTTATTTTGAAACTTAATAAAGCTCTGAAACTTTGATTTTTTTTTTAACTTTGGCTTTCTTTTTTCAGAAATCCACAAGTGTCTGCCACATGGAATGAAGTAAATAGTATTAGTAATCCACAGTGTGTTTCTAATAATAGAGATGGGCGATCAACTAATTCTAATTGTGAAATAAACAACAGATCTGCCACCAACATTAGGGCTCTGAACATGCCTCCTTTAGGTATGATTGATTATGTTCAAGGGTTTGGCCATATCATTCTTGTGAAGTGTATCTTCTTTGAGTGATAATCTTAAATTTACTTAAAAATTATTGACTGGATGATTTTATTTTTAGCAGATTGTCGATACAATAGAGAAGGAGATCAGGGGATCCATGTAGCACAAGGGGAAGATGATGAGGAAGAGGAAGAAGAAGCAGAGGAGGAGGGAGCTTCGTTATCTAGTCATAGGAGCAGTGTGGTTGAGGAGGCTCCAGAAGATGGAGAATTTGAACAGAAGATCTATAGACTTATGGCTGCAAAACAGAAACTTCGACATCTACAAGATCTTGTTGCTATGGTACAGGTAAATAATAAATTTTTTGGGAGGGGGAAGACTTAAATAGTACACACTTACAAAGTAAAATGTGTTTACATGTTTGACAATTGTGTTGGTACAGTATAATTAAACTAGTATGCTTTTTCTTTTTGTGGTGGTGAGGATTGAACCTGGGGCTTTGAACATGCTAAGCAAGTGCTCTACCATGGAAGTATGTCCCAGGCCTTATTTCTTACATGTCAGTTTTAAAGGCTTATCACTATATTGTACATCAGCAATAGCTAGCTTTCTCTAAAAAGATTGAGTTAATAAGTATTTTGGTCACAACTTCTCACTGCAAAATAGGCATAGATAATATATATAAAGTACTGCAGCTGTGTTCAGTAGAGTTTTATTTACAAAGCCAGATTATTGGTTTGGTTTTTGTTTTTGCAATAACCTTAGCCTATGCCAAGTAGATCTCATAATACCTCAGTGAAGTAGATCGTAAACAGGTTGAAGAGATGTTAGTTGTCCAGTGTTACATATCAGAATTTAGATAGCCTGACAACAGAGCCTGAGATCGTAACCCACTTGATGTAAAAGAAGAAAAAATCTGCTTGTTTTATTCTGCGAAGTCAAATAAGTAAAGTTGGAAGTTGTATTTTGTTTCATTTTGTTTGTGGTGTAGAGGATTGAATCTAGGACCTTCACACTGAGCTATGTACCCAGTCCATTTTTGAGACAGTCATTAAATTGCCTATGCTGGGTTCACACTTGGAATCCACTGGCTTCAGCCTGCTAAAGTGCTAGGAAGTTGGAAGTGATAATCATAAATTTTTAAAACCAATGTATACATCTGAAAATTTTATGTCTGAATGTAGTCGATAAACTTTAGGTTTTTAGTTTAATAAAGTAGATACAACCTGTCTACAGCAACCAAAATGATTTAACTTTTAAAATCCTTTTTATCTTTTCCTCAGCTGTTACATATTGCTGCCTTTTTTTTTAGTGTAATATAACCCATAATCTTGTTTTGCATCACTCTGATGAAATATCTAAGGCTAGGTAACATAAAGAAAATAAGTTTTTCTGGCTCACAGTGCTGGAGTGTTGCAGAGGCTTACATCTGGTGATAGCCTTTTGGCTGAGAGAACTGAGGTTGTGCAGGGCATCACATAGCAAACAATAGAGCACATACATTTGTGTCTGTTACCCTTTGATATCCATCCCTGTTCTTATAAAGCCACTAATGTTCAGTTATGCAGGCTCTCTTCTGATGATGACTTTGTTCAATCCTGATCATCTCCAAAGGCTTAACACTAGTGGGATTAAATTCCCATCCTTTTAATACTTCACAATGGGATTTACTCACACCATAGCTAAATACTTAAAAGGCTTAATATTTTATATTATAAATATAATCAACCAACTTTTAAATCGTAAATCAACCAACTTTTAAACCATAGTACTGAATAATTAACAACTCATAACACTGAATAATTAGCAATTCAGATTTAAATATGCTTATTTTGCTTTTAGAGCTTCATTTCTTGCCATTGAGGGAAGATGAAATTTGGTTTACTGTAAAAATTCTGTGCTTTTTTGCATTACTTTGTATGAGTTGTATAGCCTAATGTATTTACTGAGGTATAAATTGCATAGTTTTGAGTGTCAAGATAGTTTTAATATAATTATGTTGTTTCAGGATGATGATGCAGCTGAAGGAATTACCTCTGCCAATACATCAAATTTGGGTGATGTCTACCCACCAGAAGAGGATATCAAACAAAACCCAAATAATGCTAGAGGAAATACCACTAAAACACAGAAAGATACTAGAGTCAATGAAAAGGCAAGGTATGGTATGCTTTGGACTTCACTTAATAAAAAATCTAGTGCCTGTTTTATTTTTATTTTTTGTTTTTTGAGATAGGCTGTCCATCTGTGGTTCAGGCTGGCTTTGTAACTCGGACTGACCTGGCACTTGCAGCAATCCTCTTGCCCTAGCCTCTTGAGTGTTGGAATTATAGACACGTGCCACCATGCCCTGGCCCTAGTGCCTGTTTTAGAGAAAGTAATTGGCTGGGTATTACATTACTGTCAACATAGTTATAGTAGTTCACAAATTCAATGTCAATGTAATTACAGAGAGAAATTTTATGAGGCTAAATTACAGCAGCAGCAGAGAGAGCTAAAACAATTGCAGGAGGAAAGAAAGAAACTGATTGAGATCCAAGAGAAAATCCAAGCATTGCAAAAGGCATGTCCTGACCTACAGGTAATGATGACATGTATTTCTTTATATTTGGTGGAAAAGATGTTTAAAACCTATGTCACCTGAAAGTAGCCATTGTCTTTTTCTTTTAAATACAGTACTGAGACAGAGTTATATCTACTAATTTTGTGGAAAACTAATGAGATGGGTTTGGGGATATGTTTATACTGTGAGAGAGAGAGCATAGAAATTGACTCATTTCCATTCTTACAGTTACTGGGCTAGCTAAACATTGTTTCAGAACATGAGTACTTCTAACTTTATTATATTAAATATTCTAGTTTACACTTCGTAGTTTTGGACCAGTATTTTTATGTTTTTCTAGCCTAGTAATAAAGCCTTTAAGCCATTATAAATTATTATCTAAAGTAAATAATTATGAATATTTTGGGTATTAAGTGTATATACTTGTTAACTAGTTCTCTTATGTGGGTCTTTGAAATTAAATACAGAATAAGGTATCTTATTGGTTACACCAGATAGGTATAGATACAGGGTTAATAATGGAGTAGAATCATAAATTGTTCTTTGAGATTTTCCTAAACTTTATTGGTTAGCTTTATTCTTTGTTTTTAAAGAAAGGGAAACGCAATGCAGCAATCCTTTTGCCTCAGCCTCCCGAATGCTAGAATTACAAGTGTATGCCACCATGCTCAGCGTCAAATGATGTTACCTTTTGACTTTGTTTTTAATATCTATCCCAAATGTACATAATTCTCAGGGACAGAGTTAGGATAAATGTACAAAAATTTCCACAGTAACACTGGATCATTACAAAAATTTCCACAGTAACACTGGATCATTAGTGGCACTAATATTCCTGAGGATTACTATAGGTATTCATGAACTTTTCCCTGTGTTTTGATTTTTTGTTGTTATTGTTATCTGTGGGTAATGATGACAATTGAAGTCTGGTAAGAATAGATTAAATGTGGTACTAGAAGTCTCTTTAAAGAGGAAAAATAACTACTTTTATAAAGTTGATACAATTGCTTTAACACCTGATAATAGTTTTTGCCAATTCTTTTTTTAGCTGTCAGCTGTTGGTGTGAGTAATTGTTGTCCTACAAAAAAATATATCCCAGCTGTTACTTCAACCCCAACTGTTAATGAAAATGAGACTGGTACAAGCAAATCTGTTTTTGAGCCCGATGATTCTTCAGTAGTAGATAATGAGGTACAATACAATAAATTGTTTTTTTCCTGTGGTCTTAAGTCACATTTTAAGAAGGGAAACAAAATCTGTGAAATGTAGTTTTTGTTACTTGAGTTAGTTTAACATTGCTATAACAATACCTGAGAAAAATGACTTAAAAGGAGAGGCTTAGTTTGACCCACAGTTTCAGAGGTGATAGTGTGAATTAGTTGCCCGTTTGCTTTTAGGCCTGTGCTAAGGCAGAAACATCCTGGTAGAACGGTATGTTGGAGGAAGTCTGCCTGTCTCATGGCATGGGAAGTAGGGAGGGAACGAGCTTGTGCTGGCTAGCTTTCTCTTTCCACATTTTTTCCATTTGGGCCCTCAGCAATTTGCCTATATTCAGGTAGGTCTTCCCATCAGTTTGGTGTCCTGCATTGCCAGTTGTCTATAGAAACACTTTGTAGGTGCATCTGGAAGTGTACTTTGCTACTTTATTAGGTTTTTGTTTTTTGTTTTGAGAGTTTTATTTGCCTTATCAGAGATTGAGCCCGAGTTCTTTGCACTAAGCTACATCCCCATCCCTTGGTTATTTTTTTTTTTTTTTATTTAGTCTCACTGGGTCACTGAGTTGCCCAGGCTGGGCTTACAGTTGACATCCTTCTGCCTGAAATTCCTAGAGTGCATGAATTAGAGTCTGTACCACAATGCTAGGAATTCCTTACTCAGTCAAGTTGGCAAGATTAACTGTCACATTATTTGGTGGTTGTCTTTTGTTTTATTACTTTGCTGTGCTGGAGATCAGAACTAGGGCTTTGCACATGCTAAGGAAGTGCTCCATGTGGAGTATGTTTCTAAATTGTAGTGGGTTTTGTGCAGTTTAGTTGGGGGAGCAAATCACTTTTTTCCAAAAAATACTTGTGTCTTGAAAAACTCATACTCTTTATTAGTATACTTGGCAGGATTATATATAAGGAGATAGGTGGCACATACTGATCATTTCAGTTAGCCAGACCTATTCTTTGGCCGTTTGTTTATATACGGTGTATAGAAAAATACCATAACTTTTTCTGAATGGTCTGTGAAATATATTTGGGTGGTACCTTTTGTCATTAAGAATTAATGATTGTGTTTTTCTTATTTATCACTAAAATATTATTTTCACCTTTGTGGATATCTTAGTATGAAAAGGGTAGAAGGAAAGTAGAGTGCTTTGTGTTGGTGACAAGATTCTGTAAGACCATTCTGTAAGGCTTCAGCAAATCCAAATATTTATTAGATTTTGATTTTTAAAACAATAGTTGTGGTCAGACATGAGAAGACATGAAATGTTGAGGGAGGAGCTACGACAGAGAAGAAAGCAGCTTGAAGCGCTGATGGCTGAGCATCAGAGGAGGCAAGCTCTAGCTGAAACTACATCTCCAGTGGCTGTGTCATTAAGAAGTGATGGATCTGAGAACGTGTGTACTCCTCAGCAAAGTAGAACAGAAAAGTAAGAAAGTTATTTATGTTTTAAAAATGTCACTTAATTAAAATGTAGGTAAGGAGCCTCATTTTCCCTTTACATTACCACAAACCTGTTTCCTTTACCCTGGCTCTCATTACCTTTATGCCTCAGTTTAACTGAATCTGGCTGCTTTCTTTTCTCGTAGCATCAGCTTTCTTTAGTTGCAATTACTGTGGCATTTAATCAAATGATGATACAGATTTTCTAGTGTGGGTAAGCCTTATTTTCTTAGTTTATAGCTTATAAAAAATGCTCACTCTGTTACATTGCAAATAAGCACTTTTTTAATTTGTTCCATCCCTCAGGATCTTAAAACATTTTGCTACATGAAACTAAATGTTTATGGGCTTAACTTTGAAATTTTCATACTTAGAATATTTCTAAGAGTTGGTCCTCTGTGAGATTAGTTATTTGCTTAGCTGTATAATAATGTTTTGATCTGAAATAACAAATAGAAATTTGTTGCAGCTGTACTTATTCATATCTTCTTATCATTTCTAGAATATTATTCTCTTTTTTTCCTCTTGGAAGAACTTTTCCTATTCTTAGAGACCCAGTATGCATATTATTAGTCAAACTGTGCCTTCTGGGTACTGCATGTTTCTCTTTCATAGTTTTCTTCAGATAGTTTTGATGAACATCTAGCTTTATAACCATTGGTGTAGAGTTATTTATACATTCTGATATGGCATCAAGTAGATATTGGTGGTTATCTAAATAAAATTAAGTTAAAAATTTATTTTCTTTTGTGACACATTCCTGTAATCTCAGCACTCAGTAGTCTGAGGCAGGAGGATCATTGTAAGTTTGAGACCAGAGTGGGCTACAAAGTGAGCTCAAGGCCAGCCTGAACTGCATAGCGAGACTCTGTCTAAAAAGAAAAAAAAATTGTTTTCTCAGTCATACAAGCCACATTTTAAGTGGTAAATAGTCATGTGTATTGAGCATCTACTCTATACAGCAGCACAGATGGTACCAAAAGATTATTACCACTGTTGTAGAAATTTCTGTTGGACAGCACTGAAACAGAGAACTGTCACTCAAGAAAAAGTTGAGGAGGTTTAGTTTAGGCTAAAAGTTCCAGAATGGGATTGCTATTTTATTTAATGAATCATTTTGTAGTAGACAAACTAAGCCTTCTATATAACAGCAATCAGGATAGTACTGTTTATCTCATAGTTACTATGATTAAATATGATAAAAACTTAAACCTGTGTTTGATAAGAGTTTGACCTATAATACATTGTTGTTGGTTTTTTTTTTTTTTTTTTTTCTTTTTTGGTACCAGGGATCAAACTCACGATCTTATGCTTACCAGGCAAGCACTTGAGCCGCTGAGCTAAATACCTGGCCCTTTTGTAAAATATTTAACTAATCTTCATTATGGTATCTGTGATGTCTCATAATAGAACGATGGCAACTTGGGGAGGTTCTACTCAGTGTGCACTAGATGAAGAAGGAGATGAAGATGGTTACCTTTCTGAAGGAATTGTTCGGACAGATGAAGAAGAAGAAGAGCAGTATGCCAGTTCCAATGACAACTTTTCTGTGTATCCTCCTAACAGTGCAAATCATAACTCCTGTAATGTAAAGGAAACCAAAAACAGGTTAGTTTCAGTGTTCTCATTTTTTTGCTTTAATTTATGTATATATCAGGTGTTTCTGACACTGGGCAGTTCTTAAGACCAAGTAAACAAGTGTCCTAAAGTTCAATTCACTTATGGTACTGAGACTCAGGAGTTAGTGCAGACCCCACAAATTGAAAGACTCAGACCTACTTGAGTGTCTTCATTTTGGGTGCAAGTACCTGGTTCCCAGGGTAACTGCACTTCTGTCTGACTTGGTTACAAATTTAGTTGTTCCCATAGGTTCCTTTTTAGGTTTAATACCTTACAACTTACAGAACTCAGGAAAATATACACCTACTTACATTTATCAATTTATTATGAAGTATCCATATCAGAACAATCAACTAGAAGAGATTTAAGGGTAATACATGAGAATATACAGAGCTTCCATGTCCTCTCCGAGCAAGCCACTATCCTAACACTTTAATGTGCTCACCAGCCCCAAAGCACTCTAAATTCCAGAGTTTTTTGTGTCGGTTTTATTATTATTTATTATTATTATTTATTACTGTATTAGTCACTTTCTCTTGTGGGAGAAAATAGAAAATACCTCACACTCAGTAACTTAAAGGAGAAGTTTATTTTGGTTCACAGTTTAAGAGAGTCCCTGGTTAGCTGGCTCCAAGGCAGAAACAGTGTGATGGGAAGATAACGGTAGGGAAAAGCTGCTCAATCTGGGAACCAGGAAGCAGAGAAAAAGGAAGGGCCAGACACAGAAATGTATCTGTCTATGTCATGCCCTTAATGGCCTACATGTTGTGACTGGATCCTGCCTCATAACAGCACATTCAGCTAGGAATTCATCAATGGATTAATTTGTGTAATGGCCCCATGATCCAGTCACCTTCCAAAAACTCTGCCTCTAAGCACATAGACTTGTTGGGGACCTTTTAGATCCAAACCATAGCAATTATGTAGGCATAATTGTTTTAAGATGTGACCATTGATGATTGGACCAATCCATGGCCCTGTTTTCTTCCCTGGAGTTGAGGGGATGGGTCTGAAAGTTATAACACTCTAATGACTTAGTTGGTATTTCTAGTGGTCACTCTTCTTTCTCCAAGAGTTACTTTATTAATGATGTTGAAAGGGGCTTGTTAATAACTAAAGGTGCTTTACCATTTGAGAGATTCTGAGGGCTTTAGGGTCTCTGTGCTAGGAACCAAAGACAAAAACTAGATGTATTTTTATTTGTAAATTACATCAGAAGGTGTGCTCTACATCCCAGATAGACTATAAGATTCATACATAAACTTTCGTTTTTACTTCTGTTTTGGGGAATTATGCAAAGAGAAAAGTAAAAGATATTGAAAAAGGTCAACAGAAATATTAATTGCATTTTCAGGGACAGTGGTATATGCCTATAATCCCCAACTATAGTAGTACCTTGGTTCACAATGCTTATGTTTGCAAACAATTTGGTATTGTACTTCTGAGACTGAAATGGGAGGATCATTTGAATCCTGGAATTTGAGAACAGCCTACATAACTTGGTGAGGTGCTGTCTCAAAAAATAAATAAGGTAAATAAAAATAAATATTAATTGTGTTGTTATTTATAACAGGGAAAAATTTTTTGTGAGAAATGGTTAAGTAGATTTAATGGTTCAACATGATAGAATGTTTTGTGCCTAAACTAAAACATGAACAGAAAATGCTTGCAGTATATGATACTTTTATTTTGCAGAATAGAGTCATGTGGAATCTTCTGTGCAAAATGTTAAGTGAAAAAGATCAGAAAGCAAATAAAACTGTATAAACTGGAAATCTGTCATTTTTAAAAAGACTAGGGTATCAGTTGCTATGTTTTAAAAAAATACTATATATGATGACATAAGGCCTTAAATCTTATTAGGTGGAAGAACAATCGCCCTTTTTCAGCTGATGGAAATTATCGTCCTTTAGCCAAGACAAGACAACAGAATATTAGTATGCAACGACAAGAAAATCTTCGATGGGTGTCAGAGCTCTCTTACGTAGAAGAGAAAGAACAGTGGCAAGAACAAATTAATCAGCTAAAGAAACAACTTGATTTCAGTGTTAACATTTGTCAGACTTTGATGCAAGACCAACAGGTAAAATTTACTATAATACTGAATTTTTCATTTGTTTGCACTATTTTTGAAGCAATACAAATTTTCTTAAACTCATCATTGACTATTACCAAAAATTTTCTTTCAAATAGACTTTGTCTTGCTTGCTACAAACTCTTCTCACGGGTCCTTACAGTGTTATGCCAAGCAATGTCGCATCTCCACAAGTACACCTCATAATGCACCAGTTGAACCAGTGCTATACACAGCTAACGTGGCAACAGAATAATGTTCAGAGGTAAACCAGCTAACTTACTGTCTGTCTGTCTGTCTGTCTGTCTTTCTTTCTTTCTTTTTTTTTTTTTTTTTTTTTGGTACTGGGGATTGAATGTACAACCTTGTGTTTGCCAGGCAGGTACTTGTGCCACTAAGCTAAATCCCCAGCCCCAGAGATAAACTTTCTTAGAAGTATTGAAAGTATCCAGTGAGTACTGTACTAAAATTGAGAATTTTACTGTTATCTTCTATGCAAAAAGAGCAAGAGCTAAATTATATATTCAAACATTTTGTGTTTTTTGAGAATTTTATGATTTACATAGTGTCCCATATTGATATTTGCAAAATTTTGTATCATCAAATCATATCCTTACATTGGATGAATTGTACAGTTATTCTTATAATAAAGCTATAAACAAAAAATTAGTTACACCATACCTGTTATGTGACAAAAGAATCAAGTTCAAGTCTTACCAAAGGCTGTTAGTGAATTAAGTCATCAGAGCAAGGAAATATTTGTTGTAGTAAATGTGGTCCTGGATCATTTCTTCTATATGTAAGAGGATATATGTGTGCATATATATATGTATTCTTTCTCAATATACTTTTCTTTTTTGGTAGCGGGGATTGAACTCAGGACCTCATGCTTGCTAGGAAGGCACTTATGCTACTGAGCTAAATTTCCAGCCCCTGAATATACTTTTATAGATGATAATTTAACTGATTTTTAATTTTTTGAATTCCTAAATTTTTGTAGGTTGAAACAAATGCTGAATGAACTCATGCGCCAGCAAAATCCACACCCAGACAAACCTGGAAGCCAAGAAAGAGGGAGTAATGCATCACACCCTTCTTCTCCCAGTTTATTTTGTCCTTTCAGCCTTCCAACACAGCCTTTAAATTGGTTTAATCTACCTGGGTTTACTAACTTTTCATCATTTGCACCAGGTAGGTGACTAAATATCCAAACAGAAAGTACATGCAGGGGTTTTATATTATAATTTCTCCAGTGCATGATGGATTTTTCGTTTTGGTTGTTCAGTTAGTTTGTATTTTATGTGTTTTTTGCTTGGATTTTTAACATTCTATTTTGGAATGGTAGGAAATGGCAAGAGAAGTTACGTACTTTATGTTGTTTCTTGTAATAAAAATTTAAGCTTAATGTTGTTGCTAACAAAATGAGGTAAATTGGCTATGAATGATATACTTCAACTATTTAGCAGGGGAAAGGAAATTAACATATCCTTTGGCTGCTGCCCAGCAGACACTATAAAACATGATGAGAGTACAGATGACTAAATTAGCAGCGCTTCTGGAGAAGCACTGTATCTTGTTAGTGAACACAGCTTTTTATTCAGACTTTTTTTCCCTTTGCTTATTATGTGCCAGCCACTATATAAATTACTGAGATTAAAAGATGAGTGAGACTAACCCTTGAAGGAACTCAGGTCTAGTGAGAAAGTTAAGAATATTAATCCTTTTGACACAGTACCATGGGTCCTGTAGCCTATGGTTGGGGGGAGAGTGAGTAAATTCAATTTTTCCAGGAAAGGTTTTATTTAAACTAAAGAATGAATACAATTTACTTCCAGAGAGATTAAAAGGGGAAGGGCTTCCTAATCAGTGGAACTACTTAGTTGCAAACAGTGAATTAATACTCCCTCCAGGAATCTAGAGGTAAGTGTGACCAGTGTTTAGGCGTAAGGCAGGAAAAGTATAATTGATGTGTGTGGCTGAAGAGTGACAGAGGTCTTTTGTGATGTGCAGAAGAAGCTTAAACTGTATGTATATAAGAGCCTTTGGAGGGCTTTGAGAGGGGGATAACATTAGATTTATATTATAGAATGATTATACTGATAAAAATGTTGAAGAGAAATTGGAGGAAAGGAGCCAGAAGTAACTAGTGAATGAAAGACTTGTACAGTAATATAATGGAAAGAGTGATAATCTGACTTAAGGCACTGGCAGTGGCACTAAAGAAAAATGAATAATTAAAAAGACAGTATTATAGAAGTGGAACAAATAGGAGACCAATTATATGAAGTAATTCATCAAAGAGGAGGAGTTGAAGGTGTTTGCCAGGAAATGTAGAAGGAGAGAAAGGTAAAGGCTTTTATGAATTGTAAATATCCATAAAGCATAATATGTTTTCAAAATAGTGACTTAAGAAATTGAGCAAGCCATTGCTGAGTTGTTTTTTTTTTTGGAATGGGGATCAAACTCACAACCTCACGATTTACAGGCTGGCACTTGTGCCGCTGAGCTAAATGCCCAGGCCCACAAGCCATTTTCTTAAATGCACTGATTGAATTCAAGGCCTTGTAAATGCTTAAGTTGATTTTTAAGTGGTAATTGAGAAGCTGTACATGCTGTGCTTTTAACCCCATACCTACCCTGTACAGGTAGGTTATTAGACTACCTGTTAATTCCTCATATACTAGTTCAATTTTGCAAAGCTCTCTTTATCCTTTCCTGTGAATAATCCTTTGCAGTTACCTCTGATACATAGCCCTGTTTGCTAAGTACTTAATTATGTTCCTGATTAGGAAGAATATAAGCTTTGGAGTCATGTAGAACCTCTTTTTGTTAGCTATTTGACCTCTAAACCTATTTTCTCACTAGTAAAATGAGTATGCCTGTAGTACCAATCTTACACTGCTAATTTAGTCACTAAATGAAGTAACATGTGAAGTACTTACAGTTGAGTCTGGCACCCTATAATTTGATAAAGATCTGGTACTACTATTTATAACTTCTAGTTCTTAAAGAGGTAGCGATCATTAGTCATCTTAGTATCACAAAGACTTAAAACGTAGACTGAATGAGCTATAAGTGATTAAATGAATGTTAGTGTATTAATTTTTTATTTTGATGCATCTGAACAGAATATGTGATTTTATTTTAAGGCTAAAGCAAAATTTATTGTTCTTTATTGCTTAGGTATGAATTTCAGCCCTTTATTTCCTTCTAATTTTGGAGATTTTTCTCAGAATATTTCTACACCTACTGAACACCAGCAGCCATTAGCCCAGAATCCTTCAGGGAAAACAGAATATATGGCTTTTCCAAAACCCTTTGAAAGCAGTTCTTCTATTGGAGCAGAAAAGCAAAGGTACTTGGTTGTGAACGTAATGTTATTTGCTTAAACTTTTACTTTTGTAAAAACACTTTTGTAATTACATGTAATTATAATTTGAAAATGGAATTAGGGTGTTTGTGATTCTTTGGCTTGACAATGTTGGAAATACGAAACTTTTTACATGTTATTGAATATGACCAGGCCAATAGGATATCTTTGATGTCTGTCTTTAAGGTTGAAAGTATATACTGACTTAAAGCTTGAAACTAATATTAACTGATAGAGAATAGTTATTAAATAGTGAGCCTTTTATTTGACTTATATCTCTAATTCGAATCACTTTCTAGAGAGCATTCAAATTGTAATATTGAGTACTATTAAATATATTTGGGATGTCTTCTGTTTTTTGTCAGTACTAGGTATTGAACACAGGCTTCAGGCTTACTACTGTACCATTGAGCTACATTCCTAACCCTTTTTATTTGTTCTAATTTTGAGACAGGATGTTACTAAGTTGCCTGGGCTAGCCTTGAACATGCAATCCTCCTGTCTCTCCTGTCTCAGCCTCCTGGGTACCCTGGGGTTACAACTGTATGCCACTGTACTTGGCTCTTCTGGGAAGTTTTGATGGTACATGGTATCAGTCATAGTTAGGATTTTGTTCTTTCTTTTCTAATGTTTATTATTGTTTAATATGATAATTTCTCAAGTACCATTTCTGACACAGCCAGCTAAAAGACAAATTGGTTCAGACCAGTTCTGTAGGCATTTTTATGGCTATATAAATGATATTTTTAATAATTGTGTTAACTTAGAAATTCTTTTTGATAACCTCTGGTAGAAATGTTATGACATTATTATTGTTACTTTGTTTTTTCTTTCCCACTGTTCCTATCATGAAGCTTTTAAAATTTCTGCCAGTAAAAATGTTTATTAAGGATCCAAAATTAGTTTAATTTGTAGTATGTACTTATTTGCACATTTAATGCATATTCTTGTGAAAACATTTTATAGCTCGATGATTTTATGTACCTAAATGAGCATATGTGGAATTTTCAGCAAACTTACAATGTAATTTCCAAAAACTTGTTTTTATTGGTTAGGAATCAGAAACAGCCTGAAGAGGAAGCACAAAACAGTAAGGCACCATGGTTATATGAGCAAGAAGGAGAAATTGAAAAACCATTTACAAAGACTGGATTTGCAGTGTCAGTAGAGAAAACTACAAATAGTAATCGCAAAAATCAAATAGATGCAAGTAGGAGAAGACGCCAATTTGATGAAGAATCATTAGAAAGCTTTAGCAGTATCCCTGATCCAGTGGATCCCACAACAGTAACTAAAACATTCAAGACAAGAAAAGCATCTGCACAAGCCAACCTGGCATCTAAAGACAAAACTCCCAAATTAAAGAATAAGAAGAGAAATTCTGTTCAGCAGAAAAGCAGAGTTAAAACTGGTGGTAAGTATTAAAATTTGTTGAAAGTTTAACATAAACACTGGTAACCTTCTGACCTGTTGATATCTAATGTCAGTATTGCTGGGTGGGCAGGCACTCTGCTAGGCATACTTAAACAGACATTTTTAGTTACCTTTCTACTTTTTAAAAAAGTTTTAAAAATATTTCAAGTAATATTTAGTACAAATATTTTAAAACATGACCTTTTAACTTCTTGAAGGTTCTTATGTTTTCTTTTTTTATTTTGGGAGGGTGGTTTATTACATATGTAATTACTGTGGCTCAAAAGATACTTTCTCAATTTTGTACGTCACTAAGAAATTGCCATGATGCCTATGTGACAGCTAAGAGAGAAAATTGTAAAACATAGGCATCATGGCAATTTCTTAGCCTAAAGATTTTAGGCTTAGTGAGATCTTTTCTCCAAACTTAATTTTACAAAAGGGAATCAAGATTGGATATATAGCCCAGCAGCATGTCTCCTGCCTGGCAGGTGTGATTCTCAGTACTAAAAGGGCAGGGCAGTTGGGAGAGCTGGGGATGAAGCTCAGCACTGGAGTGCTTGCCTAGCTGTATGAATCTCTGAGCACACTCCCCTTGCCCCAGTTACGCACACGTGTGAAGTTTGTTAGCATTTATCTTAACTCTTTGAGTGATGTAACCCTTTCTGAAAATCCAAATAAAAACTATAGATGCTTACATTTTTTTTTATTTATGTGTTCTTGAAGGCCTTGGTTCCTACCCATTTCTACATGTGAAAAATCTGATAATTAAACAGGCAAATTTGAACACGAATAACATTTTTTATTAGCACTATTATCGCCATCCTTGAAATAATTTTCCAGTTATAAAAATTTGAGAGGAATTGACTTATTAGTAACCAGTGTTCTGAAACTATCCTCACAACTGTTATGTTTTTCCCAAGATTACTATTAGTACTACCAGAGAATATTTAAGTCAGTAACGGCCATTTTGAGAGATTCGTTTGTGTACTCAAATAATTTTTTGTTCACTGGTATCTTGCCCCCCAAAAATGTTTTCTGACATATGAATAAATGAATAAGCAATATTTTTTCTTCCAACACTCTCTTATTCAACTAGTGCAGTGATTGCATACCTTTTAGAGCTTCCGATAATAACAAATAGCTGGCTGCGGCACACATACCATAGATTTGCCATTACAAAACTACAACATTTGATTGTACAGGGCAGTGCTTTTTAAACTTCAACATTTCATTCAAGATTACTTGGGAATGCTGTCTTAGGTGTACATTCTAATGTAGTTGGTCTAGGAGGGATCTGAGAGTCTACATTTCTAACAGACTTGTATTTTGCTGATTTTGGTGTGCAGACTATGCTTTTAAGTAGCCAAGTTTTAGCCAGTTGATGGTTATGTTTACCAAAGCCTTGAAATACTGATTTTGTATCTTTTTTGAAATGTCTTTATTCTGGGGAATTACTGTTTCTTATATATAAGGTGCAATTGAAAGATATGGTGAATGTTTAAATTTTAAAAGTTGACTATAGTAAAAGCTGCATTACCATTAATCTCCCTCAAAATACTTCCCCTTATTTCAAACACACTCATCACCTTGCCACTTACTGAAGCAGCTGTGGATGTCCCTTTTCATGAGTATATTAACAAGGTGAGATGTGATCTTAAAAGTACAGGGAACGCCACTTCCCAGAGCCATCCAGTGGGAAGGCGGGCTTGTAACATTACACTGTGTCCTCATCCTCTTTTGTATACTGACTCTGGCACTGTGCAACATCTGGCTTTTTCCCAAAGCCAGATGACTGGCTTTTGACTTCCCCAAAGTCAGAATGACCATAAAAAGTAAATGTTAGAATCCATTCTTTTACTGTAATAATTTTTAAAAACTTAAAACATTCAACTATACCTCACATAATTCAACTTTTTTACTTTATGGCAAAAGTTGACATGATTTTGTAGTTCTTTTATATTTAAGAATATGTGCCAAACTATACATTCACATTTGTTAAATAGACACCCAAAACCATCTGTTAGTGAGAACCCACTATATGTTGTGCGCATGTGCACACGCACACACACATGCAAATAAGATCTGTTAGCAGAATCAAGAGACATGTGGCAAAGTCAAGCTAATATGAATCAAAAAAGTCAGGTAAACTCTTCTGATTCAGAATGTGAACTGTGGACGCACAGCATTAACTTCATCTAGACCTTGTTAGAAATGTATACTGTTGGGCTGGGGATTTAGCTCAGCGGCATAAGTGCCTGCCTTGCAAGCAGGCAGTCGTGAGTTCGATCCCTGGTACCAATTAAAAAAAAAAAAGAAAGAAATGTACACTGTTGTGCCTGCCATGAACTGAATCAGAATACAGTTTTTCAAATGTGCATTTTACCAAGATTTTACATTTTATGTGAAGATGCATACATGAAAGCCTCAGAAATGCTGAACTGGATAGCTGATTTATATTTTATTTTCTTTGTGGGATAGGAATAGCTAGGATTTGTTTTTTAAAATGGATGGTTTTTGTGTCATAAAGGAAGTAGTAAATGGAGATGAAGTGAGATAATACTGGAAAACATTCCAAGTGTAGAGTTGTGTAGAAGAAATGTGTAGAGTTGTAAAGAAGTGGAATATGAAGAATTGGGGAAGAGAAAAGGATGTGACACGTAGACCAGCAGTGGTACTTAAATTGCTGTCTTAGCAATAAACTATATGACAGCCAGTTATAATGTCCCAAAAGACTAGCATAGTCTAGGTATTACTTTCTTGGAAAATTGGACAGATTTGTTAATGTACTGAGTTTCTGACTTACTGATTTTGTGTGTGTGTGTATGTGTATATGTGTTTTGAGACAGGGTCTTGTTGTATAGTTCAGGTTGCCTACAAGTTCACTATGTAGCCCAGGCTGGCCTCAAACTTGCAGCAATCCTCCTGCCTCAACCTCCTGAGTGCTGGATTGCAAGCATGTACTACCATACTCGGCTTCTGATTTCTAACTGTTCTTGAATGTTTCATTTGTCCTTCTCTCTCCTGGTACTCACTAATAAATTCTGACATGATATAACTAGAAAACAGTAGGCAGGAAGAAGCCTGACAGGTTTTAGCTGGTTAAGAAAGAAAAAAACAAGGTAGGAAAAAATGCTTTTAAAATCCAGTATATTACTCAAATAGGCAGAGAAATAGCAGCTGAAGGAGCGAAGTCTGTTTCCCTTATCTCACTTGAAGAGAGCAACACTGACATAAAGAGCTAGGTGACAGTTGCAGAACGAGTGATGGGATGTTCTGTTACTGAGGTATCAGGTAAACTGCAGCTAAGCTATTACATTCTTCAGATGCCTGCCCAGAAATGAGACATACGATGTCATGTTTCCTCACAACCTAGAGAAGATGAGAGATTATCTCTTGGTAGCCTCCCAGGGAAAGGGAAGCCATGGAAAATGGCTGCAAAACAGCCTTATGTTCAGGCGGGTCGTAGGTCTTCTGCCAAGACTGACATTCAAGCGATGGGTCAGTCCTTAACCTCTGATCTCTTTGACCATGTGTGAGGTCTTCTAGGATGCTGTGACTGCCGTTTCTCTTCAATTGAGGCGCAAGAGGAAGTATTAGTTATTTCCTTGTATATTAGCTACTCGTGCTAAAAAGGACAGAATGGAGATAAGGAAAAGTGATGAAGTATAATAGAAAAGACAGCCTTAAAGTAATGAACATCATGTATTATTCTGTTGCTGTTATACCAGCTGGCCTAGTCAATGTTACCTTGAAGTGTTAACTTTCATTAATTTTACTACTTTCTCTGGATGCTAGTTATTAAACTGCGTCAGAGAGATACAAGTTAGTCATATATTACTTCCTTAACTTTGAAGAACTAGTCCTTGATGTGTTAAGCTTGAAACTTGTATACAAAACCATAGTCTCGCCCCTTCTCATAGCACCATATAGCTCTGCTTTTCACAGTTTTAGTTATACAGCTTTTTATGGTGCCTACTGGGTCTCTCTACATAGAATTTTGTATACGCCATATAAACTGTATTTTAACTTTGGTTGAAATCATTCAGTACTTTATATGTGATTCAGTAATCATCAGAAACAATTTCATTTATATATACGTTCGTGTTAGAATGACATACTTAAATGTTTTTCTTCAGTACATTGTATACTGTTAATTTAATGGCACTATTTTGGTTATGTCATTTAACATAATTTCAGCAGTTGTAACCTTTATTTTTGGACCTTTTATATGTGATTGTCATAATCAAGAAGGTTCTTTTCCCAATAAGTTTCTTGCAGTGGAAGGGAGTGGCTAGACTTCAGCCCAAGAGACCAGCGACCAAATCAGGAAAGTAAATTTGAGATAATGAAATCCTTGAATGGCTTTGAATGATTACCTTAAAAATAAAAAGGGAATGTTGAATCTAGACAAGATATCTTGGAGACCACACAGTGTCTTAGGAATTTATTTGCTGTCAGAGCAGCTGTGATGATTAGAAACATAAGGAATAAAACTTTAGTTTTTGCTGGCTCTTTGGTGAAATCTGTAGCAAGATCAGAGCTCCAGGGGATAAGACTGTGTTAGAGTAGTGCAGTATACCTCCTCACTCTGCCCATCTTCTGAGCTCTGAGAGTGCAATCTTTTGCTGCATAAGCTCGTAATGGGATGAGATGTACTTACTGAATGGCTATATTGAAATCCTCTCCAGTCTGGCATTAACCTTTCCAACCAAGAACACTAAGGCATAAAGAAAGTTACTGTCTTGATAGTACACTGACAACTTGCTAGCCGGAGTGTTGCCTCACCACATGGAAGAGCCTACCCTGCACTTTTGAGTATGCCACCATTAAATATACAACATTTGGGTATAGTCTTGAGGGTAGCTAAGAGTCATGACTAAGTTAGTAAATATAAAAGTGCATATAAGAGAAAACTACTAACAACCAGAGAGAAAACAGTTGCAGACAACTAAAACAGGCAAAAGCTAGTGAAAGAATTACTGAAAGAAGTAGATAGAACTTGTTTTAAAACTAAAACACACACACACAGAAACCCAGTGTTTACGTTATTTGAAAAGAAGATGGGTTCTACTAAATCCCAAATTTTACTAGAAAATCACAGGGGAGTATTATTATACAGAACAAAAAATCCTAAGATAAAATCAAGAGGAAAGAATTAGAAGCTTAAGAGATCTAATATACAAGGAAAGAAGGAGAAAAAGAACAGGTGGAGAATCAGTAATTAAATGCGTAAAAGAACAAATTGCATACCAAAAAAAATAAAATCACACTAAACTGACATTAGATAATATTTTATACAAGTACAACGAAGTAGAAGAAAGCAAAATCACTTAGATGCAGTCAAAAGAATTACAGCTCAAAAATTCTGTACTTAGCCAAGAGACCTTTTCTTTACCTGCCAGGAAGAAAAATTTTGTTTTGATCTGAGAAAAGCCATAGAAAACAATTTACACTGAATAGTTACTTTATGTAGGAAAGTTAAAGAGGAGAGGTAATGTTTTAGTAAAGAGAACAGTAGACCAATCTCACAGATACATTGTATTAAAGGAATACTGGACACTTAGTTTCTGGAAACTCTTAGTTTCAGAAATGTCATGTTTCCTTACTAGGAAATTTGTGAACATAATTTATTATATCAAATTAAAATGATTAAAGTTATAGTAATAGATTGGATAAAATTTGGTGGTCCCTAGTAAAAATTCTAAATAAAACAGATATAAGAAAGCAGTTATTTAAGCTGCATATAGTGGTCCATGCCTGTAATCACAGCACTTGAGAGACAGAGGCAGAAAGATCACAAGTTCAAGGCAATTCTAGACTATGTAGAAACACCCTATTTCAAAAAGAAAAAAGTCATTTAAATATAATACTTATCTAAAACAAATCAAGTATCACTGAAATTGAGGTACTCCAAAGGCATTTCTATCAAAATTGGAAACTAAGGGTTACCCTCTGTACCACTATTTTTTAACATTGTTTAGAAAGTATTATGATCAGAAATTAGTTAATTGGGGTTGATATTTTTATGTATTTAGAGTCCAAGAAACACTGAAAAATAAATACTAGAGTTAAGTGAACCGTTAAAAGTGGCAGGTTAAGTGTATGAATATTTCTCTGTATTAACATGGCAAATATTTGGTTTAAAAAAGCATGAAAATATTTTTTGAAAATGAAAAATGATTGAACAAAAGTGAGAACATAGCTATGTTCTAAAATGGAAATGGATAAAATTATAAAGTAACAGTCCTCTAAATATCTTTAATTTGATGGCTTTTTTTTTTTTTTTTTTTTTTTTTTTTGTACTGGGAATCAAATGCCAGGACCTGCTTACCAAGCAGGTGCTGTGTCATTGAGCTATATTACAGGCCTGGTGGCATTCTGATTGTTTTTGAAATTAAAAAGAAATTATCAAAGCTTATAAAGATAAGCATCTAAGAATACTCAAGAAACAGAAGCTAGGTAGGACTTTCCTTAACAGATGATAAAGTATACTGCATGACTTCATTAGCTAAATGAAACTGGCTCTGGAATAGATAAGTATGGAGGTCTTTATTTTTGTTCTGTTTTTGGAAAAGATAAGTTGAACAGTTAGAATGTAGAATGTCCAAAACCAAAACCCAGTAAATATGAGGATTTAATATATTAACCAGTATACATTTTAATGCTATGGGAAGTTGATAGATGCTGTCTTACTTTTCTCATTGCTGAAACAAAGTAGTTGACACCCAAAGTTAAAGGAGAAAAGGTTTATTTGGCTTACAGTTTGTAGAGGTTTCAGTCCATCGCTGGCTCCAAGCCAAGTGGTAGGGCAGAGGGCTTCATAGAGCAGAAACAGTTGTATTGGGTAGAAGACCTCAGGGCAGCAAAGCAGTGAAGTAGCAAGTAGTAGCAGCTCTCATTCTCTTGCTTACATTTTATCCAGGCCGTGTGTCCTTAGGGCAGGTGGGACTTGCAGCCAGAGTGGGCCTTCCCATTATCCGCATCTCAAACTGTGCTACACAATCAGGGGACTAATTTAGTAATCACTACGCTTACCACAGCATCACACACTGTAGATCCAGCCACCTATGTTAAAAAAGCTCACCTATGATGGCACAAGGCTTTGGGGGAACATTTAACTATAAGCCATAATACCAGCTATCCATGTAGAACAAAAAGAGTTGAACTCCAGTATAGGAAAATAAATTTCACAGGTGAAAAAAATTTAGAGGGACAATTTGTTAGAATACATGTATGGGTGAATAAGACCTTTTAAACCAAATTATGTCACACAAAAGGTTTAGTAAAGCCAGATGTATTTGATTAATGCCCATTACTCTTTATTATGGATATTTACAGATTAGATGGGATTTTTCTCTTGTTTGCTAATACTGAAAAATTGTTAAATTGGAGCCTGTTAAATACTTACCAAGGTAGTAGAGTGATAGAATATATGTGCCTCCAGAGTTATTGCAAACATGTCTCCATGACATGCAGTTTACTATTTTATTTTCTATTTATACCAGGCCTTCATAGCATTCTAAAGTGAGTTGTTTGTACTATTTCACTATGGATATCAATTTCCCTTTCATTTTGAGTTAGTAACAACTGATAACAGTTGTCACTTTTTTTACTCAAGGGTATGAAAGTGCCAGTATGTCTAGCACATGTGAACCTTGCAAAAGTAGGAACAGACATTCAGCCCAGACTGAAGAGCCTGTTCAAGCAAAAGTATTCAGCAGAAAGAATCATGAGCAGCTGGAAAAAATAATAAAATATAGTAGGTCTACAGAACTATCTTCAGGTATGTTCTTTCTTTTTTTAATTTAAAGAGTTTTTTTAGATTTAAAAAACTGTATTAAAGCAATTTTTAAAACTGAGTCAACACACTTCTGTCATGTAATCTATGAGGTTCTAGAGTACAGATTATTTGTTCTATGGTACACATTCCTTGGCATCAAAAAATATAAACTGGAACTACTTTTTCTTGTGATACTAGTTTTTGACATATTTTACTAAAATTATTTCTAAAGAAACAAATAACAGTTGACATTAATATGTAACTCCTAATTTAAATTCTGAGAATCTTACCTAATAAGAATTTGATATGAAATCTGATTATACCCCTGCCTGAATTTTCAGCTTTACCATTCCTATAGGGTAAAATGTAAATTCCTTGATTTAGCACACATGGCCTTGGGGACTTGCTACCTTCTTGGCTCTCCAGGCTTCTCACTACTCTACCTTATTCTTTCAGTGGCACTGAAGTTTTCCAGTAGAAGTCGTATTATTTTTCACCTTACCAATTGTCTTTCTGTCTAAAATCCTTTTTTGCCCTTTTTACAGCTACTTACATAAAACTTTAGTTCTGAAACCTTGAAATTTTGAGTCCAAACTAGAATAGCTATCCTTTTTTCCTTTTTGTTTATGTTGGAGCCTATATATACCTACTTCTTGCCTGCATCACATTATATAGTATTTACTTGAGTATCTGTGTTACCCTTTTGAGTCCCTTGGCAACTGATACTATCCTTTCATATTTCTATCTTGTTAGTAATAATACCTGATATCTGGTGAGCTCTTGTTGTTTATTGACTCAATGCAGTCTTATTTGTCATTACTTTAGTATAAATAGGTACTAATTTCCTAGTTTATAAAGAAATCTCAAGGAAATAAGAAGAAATCAGTAACAATAGAGACAGTCTCATTGATAAGACGCTTAGGGAAAATGAAAACATTGTGATTATTTTTTCAAAATTAATGTATTTTAATTTATTATTAAGGGAGTTATATACATGCCTCATTTTAGCCTCATAATGTGAGTTGATTTTATTTCTATTTTCAGAGGAAGAATCATAGTCAGAGATTAGTTTTATTTACATTTCCAGAGAAAGAATCATAGTCAAAGAGAGTACCTTCATTTTTCCCCCAGCCCTTGTAAAGTACTATCAGTGTAAATTGGTACAACTTTCTGGGATAGCTTCAGAAATCATTGCTTTAAGCTAGTAATTATTGCTGGAACTTGTCCTAAGGGAAAGAAGTCAGAATTTAGTATTGTTGGAACAGTATGATTCTCATAAACAAAACAGTAAATGAAAAGAAAAATCCAGAAAAAAATACACTAATAATTTAATCATAGTTTTATCATTTTAAAGCTCATCTATGTTTTCTAAATTTTTTGAGTACTTACTACTGTTATAGTCAGAACAGAAATATCACACTTACTTGTATTTTGAAATCACACTGGTTGGTATTTTAAAATGATTTCCTCAAATTCATATTGCTAGGAAATAGTAGCCCTGAATTTTGAACTCGTGTGTATATGTGTATGCGTATCACTGGGATCAAATCCAGGGCCTTTGTACTTAGTTAGGTCGGTAGAACCTATATTGATTAATTGGAGATAGGGTCTCACTAAATTGCCCATTCTGGGCTAGAACTTAGCAAGCCTCTGTGTTAGCTTCCCAGAGTGCTACAACTGTAGACATATGCCACTTCTGGGGGAAGTTTAAACTGTTAAATCTAGGATTCTTTGGGCAAAAATAAGAGTTCTATTGTCTTGGATCCAGATTTTTAGCAAAATTTTGTACTTTTTATCTCTTTATTGTCTTTACCAAACACTGATATCTTCATAAACAGTTGAGCAAGGGCACTGGATTTTAAAGACTTGAGTATCATTACATAAATAATTGATAGTCATGGTATGTTAGAATGTTTAGCCATTCTGTAAAATTCTTTAAACCATATACTAATTCTTGTTCTTATTAGAGTGTAACATTATTGCTAGTATTAAACTGAACAGTGCTCTTCTGTCACTGGAGCAGCCGTAAGTGATTTACTTTGCTATATATTTCAAAAAACTAGTAAAAGTTCATTATGATAATCATTATCAGTCACAGTAAGATTTCTAGCAAACCTTTTGAGATCTCAAAATGAGATTATTTTTAAATAGAATATAAACTATATAACTTGTGATAATATTTTACTTCGGGCAAACAGTTTCTTTAAAATTTGCGTATTCCTTTTTTACATTCACTTACTCATATTAAAGACCCTGTCTTTACTATTCAGTACACCTTTTATGTTCATCCTTCTGTCTGCCCTTTCCTACAGCACATGCTAGGAGAATACTACACCAGTCTAACAGAAATGCATGCAATGAAGCACCAGGTAATAATCTGCATAGTTTTGTCAGCTTGTGGGCCCCCCCCATTGGTTCTAAGATCCTAAATTATATGGTTCTGATTTTAAGATTTATGTGTTATGTGATATTATCAAGATGAAGAAGTTAATAAAATTGTGTAGCCTTTCATTTATAATTCTTATTTAGTAAAAATCGACTGCTTTTTTTGTTTGCTGTTAGTGTATAAACGTAACCCAACATATTTGTGATGGTAATAGGAACTTTAGCATTTAGTATCTGGAAGTTGTGTATTTGATGTTTCCTAAACATTTTAAAACACTCATATTTTATAAAAATAAAAAATCAGTATTTTAGAAACAAATACAAATGTTTTTATAATTGTTTTTCATTACCAGTCAACATCTATGAAAAATAAACCATTAAGCAAAAACAAATAGCATACAGGGACTACTATAAATAAAGATCATGGAAAAATCAGAAAGATTCAAAACTATTATTTTGATAACTGTGTATGACACACACCTATAGTGTCATTCTGTAGAAGGCTGAGGCAGAATTGCAAGTTCCATCCCATCTTGGGTAATTTGTGACTTTAAAGAGACTCCGTCTCTTTAAAAGTTTGAAGATATACAAGTACAGGATGCTAGGTTCAACCACTAGTGCTGCACAAAGAAAAAGAAAAGCTATTTTTGTCTCCAAACTATGTAGTTTTATTAAATATGATTTTGTGTTTTAGAACTAGAAATATTTTATAACTCCTCTTGTAACAATAGTAAGTGAAAAGCAAATACTTGTTTAAAACTTTAGGGCACTCTAAAAGTAAAATAAGAACTTCTGTGGATAAAACGAAATACATTGGTGATAATTCCAAAGAAAATAAGAAATAACAAAATATGATGAGGGAAATCCATTTGAGATTAGAGGCTTTTTATAGCAAAAGGTAATTATTTTTAGTTCAAGAGGAGAAACTGGTATTAACTTATCTTGTAATGGAAAAGGAGGATAAAATGTGATAGGCATAATTTGTATTAGGAATAATTTAGTTTTTAGTGTAGTGATAGTTTATGTTGTTAAAGTTTGAAGTTTCTTTTTTTTCTTTTTTGTGATAGAGGGTCTTGCTGTGTACTTTAGGCTGGCCTCGAACTCACTGTGTAGCCTACACTGTCCTTGAATTTACTGCCATCCTCCTGCGTCTGCCTCCCAGCTGCTGGGATTACAGGCATGAGCCATGGTCATCTCAAATTTTGAAATATAAACTGAAAGTTTATGTATCACATCATACCCTTTGACCTGGGCTTTTTACTTTAAGTAGAGCTTTGTTTTTTCTTTTCCTCTTACTCACTTTCCCTCTCTTGTGCTTTCCGCCGCTTTGCTGGAAATTGAAGCCAGGGCCTCAAGCATGCTAGACAAGTACTCTGTCACTAAGCTCATTCTCCATCCAACAGGTCTTACAGAAACAGTTTTCATTCCTGCTTAGAGTAATTGTCACTTTTGTAATAACTTACCAGATTTGAACTCTTGAAAGCTATTATACTTTTGTATATTATTTCATTGTATACTCATAAATGTCTGAGGCAAGATAGGAAAGTTGCATGTTTTTAATTACTACTGTATGCTTATGAAATCAAGACCTGAAGATACTGAACAGCTAATTGGTGAAATTTTTTCAGTACAGCAGCATACTATTTTTATGTTCTGTATTGTCTTTTATCTATTGCAGAGATGTGTTTAATCTTACGAACTTTTTTCTTTTTTTTGGTCTTTTTGAGCTAGAATTTCACTGTGACGTTCAGACTGGCCTGGAACTCACTTTGTACCCTAGGCTGGTCTTGAACTTATCCCCTGCCTCAGCCTCTTATGTGCTGGGATTACAGTCATGCACCACCAATCCCAGCTACTTCATGCACTTCTTGAAAGTATTAAAACACTCAGGTTTTATAATAATTTCTTAGAAATTTACCACTGATTTTGGTAGAACTCAAGGATTTAGCTACTTGATTCTCCTATTGCTGTAGTAAGCTTAGAGAATTCGATGGCTGTGAGAGAACTATTTAGAGGGATAGTTTTTCAGAGGGAACTCAAAATAGGAACATTTATGCTCTTTATGAATATAACTATGCATTATTTAAAGTTTACTGGTATAATTTAGATATACATAATGGTCACACTCATTATGGGGAATTTGTACCTAAACATAATATATCTTCGTTCCTGTTTTTTCTCATTCCCTTTTCCTCCGTTAACCTCTCTTCCCCTTATTTACAAAGCTTAATTTCCATTTTATTCTTTTCTCATCCCCCCCATTTCCCTTTTCTGTTCAACAGTTTTTCCTATTTCACAATTTCTTTTATACATTTGAGTTCCTATTTGCACTTTACTTCTCACACCACAGAGACAATGCAATATTTGCACGTGTCTGATTTATTTCACTGAAGAGTATAGTTTTAAGGTCCATCCATTTAGCTATAAATGTCTCAGGTTTCTCCTTTGTGGCTAAGTAGTTCTCCATTGTATTAAAAAAAATACATACATCTTTTTGTCCACTCATTGGTTGTTTGGCATTTGGATTGTTTGTAAGACTTAGCTATTACAAACTGTGCTGCTGTAAACATGGGTGCATGTATATAGTGTGCTATGATGCTTTTAATTCTTCAAGAAGATACCAAGAAGGCGAGTAGTTTCAAATGGGACTTCCACTTTTAGTTTTTTGAGGAATCTCCACCGTGATTTCCACAGTGAGTTGCCTTAGTCTACATTCCCACCACCAGTGGAGAAGGACCTTTTATTCCCCACGTCTCCTCCAGCATTTGTTATTCATTGATTTCTTGGTAATGACCATTCTTCTTGGGTTGAGATGGCATCTCAGCATTGTTTTCGTGTGCATTTCTGAATGACTGTGATGTTGAACATTTTTTTTGTATGTTTATTTGTTGTTTGTACTACATCTGAGAAGTGTGTACTCATCTCAGTACACACTGAGCTGTACTGAGTGTGTTTTTGGAGTGGGTCTTTAAATTTGGGGGTAGGTTTGATTCTTTTTCAAATCTTTGTATGTTCTAGATATTAGTCTTTTTAATGAGGAGCAGTTGGCGAAATTATTTTCACAGTGTGGGTTGTTCTTTCACTCTGTTGGTAGTTTCTTTTGCTGTGCAAAAGCTTTTTAATGTGATCCAAGTTGTTGGTGGATTCTTTGTAATATTTCCAGTATGATTGAGATTTTGTTCATAAAATCTTTGCCTACACTTACATCTTCACGAATTCTACCTATTTTCCCTTCCAGTGTTTTTGTTTGCATATTTAGATCTTTGATCCATTTTTGATTTTAATTTAATGCATGGTGATAGACATGGTTCTCAGATTTTCCAGCACCATTTATTCAAGTGGCTATCTTTTTTTTTTTCTTTCTTTCTTTCTTTCCTTTTTTTTTTTTTTTTTGTCTTTTTGAGATAGGGTCTTATTATGTAATTCAGGCTGGCCTTGAACTCACTTTGTAGCAGGCTGGTCTCAAACTCAAAACAACAATTCTCCTGCCTTGGCTTCCTGAGTGCTAGGATTACAGGCATGTGCCACTAAGAGGCTTTCTTTCAGTGAATGCGTTTGGCCCTTTTGTCAAGATATGTTTGGCTGGGCATATCTGAAGTTGTTTCTGCATCTTCTAATCTGTTCCATTGATCCTTGGGTCTGGTGTTTTTTGTTTTTTTTTTGTTTTTTTTTTGGCACAATAGCTTTGTAATTTAGGTTCAAGATAGGGATTGTGATGCCCTGCCTTGCCTCTGTTGCCCATAATTGCTTTTGCTACTGTAGGTGTCTTTTGGTCCCAAATGAATTTTAGGATTGTTTTCTTTAATTCTGTGAGATATATTATTGGAATTTTGATTGGGATTGCACTAAATCTGTATAACAATTTTGGAAGTACAGCCATTTTCACTATATTGGTTAGGATACCCAAGAACAAAGAATATCTTTCCATTTTCTGATATCCCTTCAATATTTTTTCAGAATACTGTAATTTTCAGTGTAGTTTTTGGTACTGTAGTTTTCAAAGTCTTTTACTTTCTTCATTGTTTACTAGGTGTTTCATTTTTATGGCAACTATTGTGAAGGTAGTTGTTTCCCTAATTTTTCTCTCCATGCGTAGGAGGGGTATTGACTTTAGAATGTTAACTTTGTATCCAACTCTGTAACTGAATTTCATTATTAAATCTAGAAGTCCTGGTGGAGTTTTTGGGGTCTTCTAATAGAATTATGTCATCCACAAATAATGATGATTTAACTTTTTTCTTTTCTATTATTTCTTTCTCTTGCCTAATTGCTCTGGTTAGTGTTTCTGGAACTATATTGAATAAGAGTGATACAGTGGACACCCTTGTCTTGTTACTGATTTTAGAGTGCAAGCTTTTAATTTTTTTCCATTTAATATGATGTTGGCTGTTGGCTTATCATTGATGGCTTTTATCAGATTGAGATAAAGACTATCCTGATTTTCTTTATCAAGGCATTGCTTGCTTCTAGGAATGCGTTTGGGGGTATTAGTTCCCTTTAAATTTCATTAGAGTTTGAGAAGTATTAGCTTTAGGTATTCTCTTGAATTTCTTGTAGAATTCAGCCATAAATCATAGCTGCATACATGTTAAAGTAGAAATTGTGTATTACCAACAGATACTTACAGAAAATTGCAGCTAAATAATAAGTGATGCTGAGATTTCCCTTGTATGCCACTGAAGACTTCAGTTGGGTCACTGCTCCACTTTACAGTATACTGATCGTAAATAACACTGGTGAATTGACATCTTATATTACAATTACCAATTCAGTTCTTACTAAATTATTTCTGAATTGTAGACAGGATTTGGAAATTAATAGATCTAATTAGATAGACTTTTTAAAATACAATAATAGCTTTCATTAGCAGTAGTCATTTTGTTTTCAACATTAATAAAAGATTTTCTTTTCTGTTACAAAGTTTGTTTTAGAATTATAAAAGGAAACTTATTTTCACTTGGCTTATTTCATTCAGTCTTCTTATTTTGAAGATTTTCATTTCTAAAATATTTTGAAGACTTTCAGTGATTGTTTCCATGAAGTGTATAAAGTTTTTCCATTTTTTTTTAAATTGAGGAATCAGAATATTCTAAGTAGTGGTCAGTATTCATGAATTAAGTACTTTTTTATTTTGATATTTTAAGATATTTTTAATTTGGTAATGGTAATCCTTTTTCTACCTTAAGATCCCTAAAATAGAATTAGTCTCTGATTTTAAGTATTTTAAGGCTTCAAGTAATGATGCTAATTAATAGAAATTGTCATGAAGGTATTTATCAATATTAACTTTCTGATTTTTTTTTTTTATATTTTCCAGAAACTGGGAGTGATTTTTCTATGTTTGAAGCTCTGCGGGATACTATCTATTCTGAAGTAGCTACGTTAATTTCTCAGAATGAATCTCGCCCACATTTCCTTATTGAACTCTTCCATGAGCTTCAGCTGCTTAATACTGACTATTTGAGACAGAGAGCTTTATATGCATTGCAGGTATCTGGTGCCTAACATTCTTTATCTTGCCCTATTACTACTTTACTTTGTGATATATCTGACTGTTTTCTTAGACAAGTATATATCCTTGTTCTATCCTTGTTTTAATTTGTTTACTGTCTTTCTTGATTTTTTTTTGTAAAACTTTTTTTTTTTTTTTTTTTTGTACCAGAGATCAAATTCATAATCTTGTACTTGCCAGCCAGGTGTTTATACCACAGGTATAAATCCCTGGCTCCTGTAAAACTTTTACATAGCTTAAGTAGCTTTTGAATAATCTTCATGAGCAGTTTTTCTATTTCATTTCTAATGTTCTTTCCTCCTCACTCTTAACCCATGAAAAGCACCGTATTCTTTCATTTGCTTTTATTTATAATGTCAGTTTGGGTTTAAACATGTGTTTCACATAAATGTCTTATTTTCTTATTCAGGACATAGTATCCAGACATATTTCTGAAAGCCATGAAAAAGAAGGAGAAAATGTAAAGTCAGTAAACTCTGGCACTTGGATAGCGTCAAACTCAGAACTTACTCCCAGTGAAAGCCTTGCTACTACTGATGATGTAAGATGATACTGATAAGTGAAATGTAGACCTAACTTCACTGTTCTGTAAAACTTAAATAGGTTGTTGCCAAATTTTGAATACACCTAGTTTATTTTTAGCTTTAAAAATGGATAGGTGTGATGCATTACTTTATTTGGAATGTGAAATATAGAGCAGAATCAAAATATGCTAGCAAACAACAAAAATTCCGTCAGTAATGGAGTGTAAGGTCTAAAACAGCCAAATTTATATCTCCAGCGTCCAACATAATGGCTGACTCTTAACATAAATGTTTTAAGTGTGTGGTACGTTTCTTCAAAACTATATACTGCAGCACTCAGATCACAGTCAGATTCCTTGAGTAAATAAATACAAGATAAATTAGATCTTTGGGTAAAAAAGAAACCTGGACAAAAGAAAATTAACTGGGAAAGAAGTTAACTTAATGTAGTCTACTTTGAGAAATTTTCATTAAAATTTTCCATTTGGAAAAGAGTGCTGAGGGGAGAATAATGTAACTTATACTGGTAACTTTGTCCTCCAAATGTTACCTAGCACATAGTTGATGAAATGACTGAATGAGAAACTGCTAGAATACTGAGATATTTGAGGAATAACCTATTTGAAGGTGTAGAGACCTAGATTCGGTTATAAAATATTCAATAGTGGTCCTTGGATAATACATACAGTCATTTTTAAATGATTGCTATAGCACATGAGATCCTTATGCATAACTGGCAAATCTGTTGTAGGTAGAAAGTTGTTATCGTGTTGTGTTTCTGACCATTGTTGAAATACCCAAAATGTTTTCTGAAAAGATGGTATATTTTCACAAGATTATTTTGTTGTTTTTCATAAAGTTGTAATTTTCTTAGAACTATTGAGGATTTTTCTGAATTTTTGTGTTTAAACTCATGTTGAAAACTTTTCCCTCAACTCACTTTTTTTCTGCTTAAAATGTTTCTCTACCAGGCTCCAGATCCTATATCCCTATGAATTCAAACCTGTATTTGAAAATAATATGATTTAAATTGACTTGGCAATGTCAAATAGTAATTAGAAAGTACCTGCTACTTTCTAATTACTAATGGATGATTATTATAATTAACAACTAAAAATTGTGCGCAACACTGTTCTTCATGGGAAACAAAAACTGATCCAGCCATTGATACTAGGTTACATTAGAATCCCTTGGGCAATAAATAATTGTGAGAGAAAGAAAAAAACTGTTTTTAAGGCATTGTCTTACATGTAGTTCAAGCCTGTGTCGAACTTGCTATGTAGCCCAGGCTGGCTCAAACTCACAGTACCCCTCCTACACCACCCTTCCAAGTGCAAGGATCACAGGCATCCACCAGACCTGACAAAAAGTCTTTTTTGAAGCATCTTTTTTTTTGTAATTACATCCTTAACTCCATTGTTTCCCTTGTTTCCTCTAACTTTCATACAGGCAGTATTACTTCATTTATTTTAGAAGATGAGCATATTGATCAACACCATTAACATTAGATTTTTAAACTTGAACTATACTATAGTATAGAATAAAGTTAACTTGACAGTTTTAAAATGAAATAAAATTTAGAGATCCTACACTACTTGATATTTAGGGACTTGCCATAAATAACTCAGTGTTATTTTCAAAGAGTGAAATCACTTTTTAAATTTTTCCTTCCAGAACTTAAATTCAGCACTATTATATTTTCTTTTTACCAGTGTCACTTAACAATAGCAGCAGAACAACAATCACAGCTCTAGACTAGCACTTTCTACAGTGATAGAAACTTAAAAGATCAATAGGCCTTATGCAGTGATACGTGTCTGTAATTCCAGCTGGTGTGGAGTCTGAGGCAAAAGGATCCCATGTTCCAGGCCTGGCTGGGCAACTTTCTAAGACTGACTCAGAGCTTTAAAAGAGGGCTGGTGGTCAGTGGTAGTACCCCTGAACTGCAGCTCCGCTATGGGGCAGGAATTAGGGGTTGGCTTGGGGACAATAGCTAGAAGAACAATACATACTTATAAAATATTTCAGTTAAAATATTATTGAGACACCCTATCATACTACACAAAATTCATTTGGAATGAGTTAAAATCCTTTAAAGCTAAGCCTATACAATCTCTTAAATGTAAATGGAAGAAAATCATCTTGAGCTTGACATAAACAATGATTTCTTAGGATACAGAAAATACTACCTATACAGGCATTAGTTGATTAAATAGACTTCATAAAAATAAAAATTTTCTTCCTTTTGAAAGGTCATAGCCTGTAAAGGGAAAATAATCCCAGTGCCATGAACACCATGAATTCTTAAAAACCCAACTATAAGACAGACAGTTCAGTAAAAAATGGGCAGGAGGTTTGAACAGATACATCTTGAAGGAAAATACATAAATGGCTAGTACACAAATTAAAACCATAAAAGATAATAACAGCTTACACTCACAAGTTATTGAAATTAAAAAGATTGACAGTAAGTATTGGTGAAAAGGTAGAACAGTTCGAACTCATGGGAGTATAATATTGCACAGGTACTTTGGAAATCAGTTTGGAGATTTTTCACAAAGTTAAACATAAACCAAGCATGTGACCAAGCAGTTTCTATTCTAGGTACTATATTCAACCAAGATAAATAAAAATGAATGTCCACAGAAATATATTGGTGTTCATACCATCTTTAGTTAGCAGAGCCTTAAATTAAAGCCTCAACAGATAAATGGATAAACAGACTGGTAGATCTACTACTGTTGAGAAAAAATAAAAAATTCTGAAACACAGTAACTTGGGTTAGTTTCAGAAACTAAGCAAAAGAAGCTAGTCTTTGAATATACTATGTGATTTCATTTGTATGACATTCTCAGAACCAATAAAACTGGTCTACAGTGATAGAAATCATGCAAGCAGAATATAGTAGAGGTTGACTTTTTGTGAAGGAACTCTCCAGGCTGATGCACGTGGTCTTTAGAGAAGTTGGTTGCATGACTGTATAGATTTGCCAGAACTCATCAAATTGTACATTTAAAATGAACACATTATTCTAAATTATATTTCAATGAAGTGTATTTTTTAAAAACTGATTAAAACTTTTTCTTTTGATATTAGACAGTAGTATAACGTGGTACTAGGCATATTATACTACTGTCTCACATCAAAAGAAGTTGTTAGAAGTTGGAAATGGAATGTCCATGAAGATGTTAAAGTAATTCAGAATGTTAATTTTGTCAGTTTAGAATATTAATCTGTAGCTGGCTGGGAAACTTGCCATGTATTTTTATATCATGGCAAATATTCTGCAAGGTTACTTAATATTGTAATGTTCTATGGGACAGTGTATTCAACCCTGAATAGTATCACAATCTTTTTTGGATGGAATATCTCTTCCAGGCATAGTTTTATGCAAATAATTTCTTTGTTTAATATTTATACAGCATTTAAAATAGTAATGATTTTTGCTTATTCTACTATATCAGGAAACTTTTGAGAAGAATTTTGAAAGAGAAACACATAAAATAAGTGAGGAAAATGATGCTGATAATGCTAGTGTCCTATCTGTATCTTCAAATTTTGAGCCTTTTGCAACAGATGATCTAGGTAAGCAGAGTTTGTTTTTCATTATCATAGCACATGACATTTAGTTAATCAGTATAGTTTTTGGGTTGCATGAATAAGGAGACAGCCAGAAAGGGTATGGTTCAAAGAACATGAACTTAAAAATAGTGAGTCTGAATTCAGGACTCTTAACTGTTTGAACGTGGGCAAATCTCTGCAGATCCTGTGGAAAAGTGTATATATATTCCCAGCATGAATAATAGGAGCTCAAAAATTTTTAATTTCCTTTCCCTTAAGGATAGGTAATCTGTAAGGTACTCAGTTAATGGGGGAAAAAATCAGGCCTTATCCAAACACAGTTTTCATGAAAATTTTAAGATTCATGGTTTAATTCAAAACTCAGATTTTTAGCATAAATAATCTGTAGTAAAACCCCCAAAGTTCGCCACGTTGCACTTTCTTTCCCATGAGTAGTAAAACAAAGAAAGCTGAGAGGGTTGTAGAACTCAATGAGAGAAAAAAGTTGCATTACAGATTTGGAAATGAAATTAGAAGGAAAAAAATGTGTAGGTACATGATACATTTCCTAAACTGTGCTCTGTCAGAAGTATACATTCATTCTGTCTCCCAGGCATTTAGTGGATAAAATAATCTTAGTGTTTATATAATAAGATGTAAAGAATTTCAGAGGTACTTTTCTACTGCAAGAAATAGGAAAGGCCAAATCTTACCCTATTATTACGTATCTACTTTGTATCAAAACAATGCAAGTTTTTTTGCTGCTTCTGGTTATTGTGCACTTTTTAAGCTCTGACTCCATTTCTATCAGGTCTATCTTGAGCTCATCCCATTATGGACAAAAATTACTCTGGGCAAGGGTACCCACTTTGGTTGTCCTTCTTGTTTGTTTCTTTTACTGGTGTTTTTGTTATTGTTTTATTTGGGGGGTTTTTGGGGGGGTTGGCTTTGTTTTGTTTCTGAAAAACCTCACCACTAATGATGTGGACATAGAATTGGGAAGTCTCATTAATAGTTTTAGGCCTTTTTCTTAACTTATTTATTTAGGTTAAGTTGAATTGTTTTCCTCATAATTTGTGTGTCATTTTGGAATTTATTTTCTTTTTCTTGTTCATATGAAACAATGTGATGTACTGAAACAAACATGGGCTTTATAGAGCAAATCTCTGCACCTGTATTTTAACTGCTTATGAAATCTTAGCCAACTTATGTTCTCTGAAAATGACAGTCTTACTTTATAGTTTTTTTCTTTGGTACCAGGGATGGAACTCACGACTTCGCACTTACCAGGCAGGCTCTAGGCTGCTGAGCTAAATCCCTGGCCCTTACAGATTTATTTTAAGTATTACATAAATATGGTAATATATATGGTAGGCTTATTAGTATAGATTTTTAAACTTGTTAAAGCTAGTTTTCCTTCCAGGTGTTCAAACTTTACTTTTTAAAAGAAATACATGAAAAGCTTTGCTTTTAGATATTCTAGAAGTATTTCTTTTTCAAATACAGGTAATACTGTGATTCACTTAGATCAAGCATTAGCAAGAATGAGAGAATATGAGCGTATGAAGACTGAGGCTGAAAATAATTCATCTGTGAGATGCACCTGCAGGGTTGTTGAGGACGAAGATACTGCTGCTGCCGCCACTATAGTTAATAATTTAGAAGGTGTGTTTTGGATTGATTCGCCATAGTAATCATTGTTGCATATCCAAAATAAAAGCCCTACCAGATTTATTGTAGTGATTTAATTTTTTTAGGGCTTATAAAACTACATAAATTTTCCTTTGAATTATTTTAGCATAAAATGTTATAACTATTACAGTGTTGTGCAAATGCAAATGTATGTCATAGGCTTTTTTGTTTTTGTTTTGCTAATATATCATTTTTCTTCAAAAACAGAAACTCCCATTATTGAAGATCATGGTTTACAACAACCTGTAAGTGAAATTTCTGCTGTCCCATGTCCTAGAATTGATACTCAACAGCTGGACCGGCAAATTAAAGCAATTATGAAAGAAGTTATTCCTTTCTTAAAGGTGAACAATAGCATTTTGAAATAAATAAGGTTTTTGTATTGTTTTTTAATTTTGACAAAAAGACTTCATTATCATACATCCTTATAGAATCCCTATTTCATGTCAGGTTTTTAAACATTGCAGCAAACAGGTCAAACCCTGTCTAGTAACTTTTCTCACTGCTGAGACAAAGTACTCAATACCCAGAGTTTAAGGAGCAAAGGTTTATATTGCTCACTGTTTATAGACATTTCAGTCTGTAATGGGTCAACTTCAAGAAAGAAATGACATGACAGAGAAGTAACTGTTTATGGTGGCCAAAGGCACCAAAACAGTGAGTGGCGAGAGCAAGTCTCTTTCTGCTCCGTACATTGTGTGCAGGTTACCCATCATCCTACGGCAGATGTACCACTCACATTCTTAATCCCAGCATTAGACCATGAATCAGTCACAAACTCCAGAGTCAACCACCCCCGAAAAGCCTGCCCCCGCCACGGCCACACGAGGCTTTGGGGGCACACCCAGACACAAACCGTAATAAGCTGTTACAGGTTTATGTGCTAGAATAGGAATACAGACTCAAGTAACATTAGCAAACATAAAACTATAAGTGGAAGTATATTGGATGCCTGTTGTATGTATACCTGTAATTTCAGCAAACTGAAAAGTGAAGGCAGGATTGTTGTTTAAGCTTAGCTTAGGCAATTTAGTGAGATTCTCTCAAGATAGGAAAACATTTTGTAAAAAGGCTGGGATGTGAGAAAGCACTGGGTTCATTCCCCAGTATTGCAAAAGCAAAAGAAAAAAAATGTATCAGGCATGTTTCATAGAGAAGTAAAATTGGTTAACATGATACCTATTTCAGACTGGTTGATTAGGGAAAGCCTCTGAACAGGGAACTTTAAATTCATTCTTTTTTTTTTTTTCCTTTCTTCTTCCTTCCTCCTTCCTTCCTCCCTTTTCTCTTTCATTCTTTCTTTTTTCTATCCTTCCTTTGTTCCTTCTTGCTTTCTTTTTCTCTTCTTCCTTCCTTCCTACCTTCCTATTTTTTTGTACTTCTTTCTTGTGATACTCAGAATCATGCTCAGCCACGTGCCTTTTTGTAACAGGGTCTCACCAAGTGGCTGAGTTACCCAGTCAGGGCTTGAACTTGAGATCTGGAGAGGAAATATTTAAGAACAGATGTGAATAAGGAGCCAGCTTAAGCCAAAATCATTCGACACAGGGAGAAACTGCTATAAAGAATTAACTTGCCATGTTGAAGAATTGAAGAAAGACCTGGGTGATTAAAGAAAATTTGAGAGATTAGTTGAAGAGGAAGTGGGGCCAAATTATGTAGAATATTAGAGGCTGTGATTAGAAGTTTGGAGGGAAAGTCTTAGGTTTTAAGTAAAAGAAGAAATCAGATTTATACTCAAGAACTGATTAGGGGTTAGGAATGTAGTGAAATCAGAAGAGAAATTGTATTGCTTAGATAAGGATGATAATAATGGAAATGCATATATTTGGAGATACACACAGAAAAGGGAATAGCATACATGTGTCATCTAAAGCCAAGCACTAGATATGAGGAAAGAAAGAACCCTAGATCTGGGGCACAGGACCAGGTGCTCTAACATTTACAAACTGCATAAAAGAGGAAGTTCCACAGTTGACCAAAAAGAACTGTCAGTGGTTGCTGATTGCTATTGAGGGTTGCATAATTGTAGAATAGTTTTCTTTTAATTATTTTACAAATCCCAGTCAATAAACTTTAACATTTATTCTGGGTTTTTTTTACTGTTACAAATATTTTTCAGTGAGCTAACTAAATCTAAAAAGAGATCTTTTTTTTTTTTTTTGTCTTTTTCCTTTTTATCGGTACTGGGGATCGAACTTGCGACAGCCTGCTTGCAAGGCAGGCGTTTATGCCGCTGAGCTAAATCCCCAGGCCCTAATGGATCCATTTTTATTTCTTTAGAAGTAATTCTTAGATTATTAGCATCTCTCTCCTCTCCGTCCCTCTTCTCCCCTCCTCCTTTTGGTATTCAGCCTAGCATTTCCTCATGCTAGGCAAGGGCTCTAGCCCCAATCCTTTTTAAATTTTATTTTGAGGCAGGGTCTTGCTACGTTGCACAGATTTTGGAACTTGGGATCCTCTTATCTTTGTCTCCTAAATAGCCTGGATTATATGCATGAGCTTTTCTCGATCTCAGTAGTGCTAGTCACTTTCTAACTTGTATAATAATGCTTATTTAATTTTCTTTTCCCTCCCCCTGTGTCAGCTCCATGATATCAGTGATGTTTATCTGTTGTAGTCACTGGCAAAGAACAATACCTACAGTTAGTACAGATTCAGTAGATAATTACTAAATGATTGGACACTTTGAACATCAACTGTTTTTCAAACTAATCAAGCTCTTTAGAGTCTATACAGTTTGAAAACAAGTGGCTCATAAAGATGAAGATCAGATTCAATAGTAATTTTTTATCTTGTTTTTATTGTTTGTGTTAAGTACAATTTAGATATGCATCACATTCATCACAGAGAATTTGTACCTATATGTGATATGTCTTTATTCCTCTTTTTTTCCTATTCTCTTCCCCCTCTCTTTAATCCTTCTTCCCCTTATTTATTTAGAAACCTTTGTTTCTGTATCATCCTTTCTAATTTTTTTTTTCTTTTCTCCTTTCTTTCCCCTTCCCTCCTCTCTAGTTCCCTTTTCCTTTTGAACAATTTCTTATTTCACAATTGCTGTTGTACATTTTGGTTCTTATTTATACTTTCAGTTTCTCACACCAGAAAGATGTGAAATCTTCTATAGCCTACTCCAATAGCTGTCTTATCTATGCCTTCTCACATGCCTACTTTATGTCCTCTGTAACATTGTTCAAAGATGCATATTGTGAGTTTATCTCCTTTGCCTAGCACAGTGCTTTTCCTCCTTCCCACCTGCGTGTATCTCCTCAATAGAATAACATGTATCTTTTAGTATACTACACACATCCAGTAGGACTTAGATTGGGTGAAGGGAATTGGAGGAGAAAAGACATGAATGTGATAAATATATCAGTTTCACCAATTTTTCTTTATATTTATCTCCTATTATTTATAAATATATATTCACTTCCCAAACAAAAATTTATGTTATGAATTACAAGAATGTGTATTTACTTTTATAAATAGATATTTAAGTCTAATACTATTGACTCGAGAATTGGCTTATATTTTTTAAGTTATTTCTTGCTTTTAGGCATAAAGTGTTTTTCTTTTATGTTTTCTGTTGTGAATAATACAATAAAAATTTGTAAGCTTGCATTTTTATCACTGTATAAATGGTATTATTGATTTGATATGTATAATTATCTTCTAATATTTTATACTTTATAATTTTTAAATGAAAATGATTGAATTGTATGCTTAGGAAATATAACCTGAATTCACTTAGGAAATGAATTACATTAAGTATTTAATGTCTGATTTGATGGCATAGTTAAATAAGGTGATAATAACTCTTTGTTCAGAATCTATTAGATATTAAAACATTTAATATGGCCTGGCATGGTGGCATACCCTGTAATCACAACACTGTGGGAGAGTGAGGCAGGAGATTGCAATTTTAAGCATTACCTGGGCATCTTAGCAACTTGGTAAGATCCTTTCTCAAAAGAAAAATAAGACAGGGTTAGGGAGTAGATCAGTGTGAAAGCTTTGTGTCTAATCCTCAGGACTGCAAAAAAAAAAAAGGTTTTTTAGTGTTTGAGGATAATGGACATTATCTTAAGAATTCATAAAATTTGTAAAAACTTAAGAGTTTCAAAAACTTGGAATAATTTTTTTAAGTAATCTTTCATAGATGTCTGAGGTACCAGAAAATACTGATGATACTTTACCTGGCTAAAGTCTAATGATACTCATTTAACAAGCTGTCTGCCAGGTATCGTAGTATACTTGGGAGGCTAAGGCTGGAGGATTGCTATGAGTTCAAGGCCAACCTGGACTACAAAGTGAGTTCAAGGTTAGCTAAAACTGCGTAATGAGAACTCATCTCAAAAAACCAAAAACAACAACAGAAAACTGTTCACTTTAGTAGACTAGCATCGTGGCACATGTGTGATCCCAGCACTTGGCTAAGTGAGGCAGGAGGATATCCAGTCATTGGAGGCCAGCTTGGGCTACGTAATGAGTTAAGGCCAGCCTCAACTTCCTATCAGGACTGTGTCTCAAAAACAAAAACATAAGCTACTAGAATTGCTAGAGATACCCAACATAAGTGATATTGTCATGTTCCTTAAATCTAAATTTTTTCTCTTTGTATCAGTTAAATAGTTCTGATTTAGCTTTTATTCTTTCATCAGGGTTCCTTTATTAAATTTAGCATTTCAGAAAGTTTGAGGTCAACCAAATGCAAATAAGTAATGTGATTTTGCTTTACTTATGCCCCATTCCATTTCAGATGTTGACTATTCCATTGCAGATTTTGTCTGTTATTGTCAGCATTACATTCAGTCATCTTATCGCTCTATCATCAGTGAATTAAGAATTTTTTCTCTCTCTGTCAATTTGCCTGTTTCTTTCTACAGTCACATAACCTTAATTCATGTCCTTATTTTTGTCTAGCCAGCTTGTCATGATAGATGTGAATGCATGTCCACTGTATCATAGGTCAAAATTGCCACATCTCTGTGTATATAGAGGAGAAGTTTGGTTGCTCTTATGAATAAATCTTTCCAAATGTATATCTAAGAATTTATGAGACACGTTTATGGAAGAAAAATTAAACTTTATATCATGTTGGTTAATATTTTGTAGATAAGTGTAAATTCTAACCAACTGGGATTTTTCTTAGGAGCACATGGATGAAGTATGCTCTTCTCAGCTTCTAACTTCAGTGAGACGCATGGTTTTGACGCTTACCCAGCAAAATGATGACAGCAAGGAGTTTGTAAAGTTCTTTCATAAACAACTTGGAAGTATATTACAGGTAAGAGTTTCTACTGTGTAGTTTATCAATATGTACTGTATCAGGATTTGTATTTTTTCCACATTTTCTGGCATTACATAGTTTATTCAACTAGATAAATCCATTTAAGCATGTGTTTGATACAGCATTTTAAAGCTTTTTAGATTATGCGTATACTGATTAAAAAAGTAAGCTAGCAACTGTGTCTCCATTTAATATAATCATCTCTAGGACCTAACTCTAATGAAACTTTATTGGTTGTAGTTTTCTCCAGTGAGAACTACTCAGAACATTTCAAGTTCAGAATGTTTAAAAGAATTCTATGAGTTTCTATTATGGTGTTTATGAACCTGAAAAATTTTAGAGACTAGAAACCAGCTACCAATTATAAAAATTTAACAGTAACTTTTTAAAAATTAACAATTAGCATGCATTAATTGTTCAAATTGCCAGTCATGGTGGCGCACACTTGTAATCCCAGCACTCGGGAGGCTGAGCCAGGAGGATCACCACGAGTTCAACCTGGGCTACATAGTAAGACCCTGCCTCCAACTCAATCAATCAAATCAATCAATCATACTATTGGAATACAACATGAAATTTCTATACATACATAGAGTATACTGATCAAATCAGGGTATTCAGCATTTCTGTGTTATTACCATTTCATTATGTTTGAGCCTTGAAGCTCTTCTAGATTTTCATAAGTATATAGTAGGTCACTGTGAACTGCAGTAATCTCCCTGTACTGCTAACATTAGAACTTTTAACTGGTTTCCCCTACCCCACCCTACCTGCTGGTGGTACTGGGGATTGAAACAGGGTCTTCTCACTGGACTGCATCCACAGACATTTTATTTTTTTATTGTGAGGTGGTTTCACTCAGTTGCTCAGGCTGGGCTAATCTTGCAGTCCTCTGCCTCAGCCTCCTTAACTGTCGAGGTTGTAGGCCTATATCACCATGCCTAGCTTCTATGTTTGATACCTGTTTTCTAATCTCCTTTATCCTTCCTTTCTTCTGCCATTCCCAGTCTCTGGTAATTAATATTCTCTGTTACTGGAGAGCTTGGTCCTATGAAGAACTGGCCCTGCCTTCATGCTTCTTTGTGTCTTTAAAAACAGAATCTAAACAATACATATAAGAGAAGTAATAGGCAGAGTAAAGCCTCTATGGAGAGGATTACTCCTGCAAATGAGAGAGCAGGCAGTGCCATGTAGGCTTCGGCATGGACTGTGAGTGTGACATCTTTATGCACACAAGAGTTCCTCCGGGGTTCATGGAACTGTGATGTGATGATTATGATGCTCTACATTTTCCTTAGTGGTTACTTTGGAATTACAAAATGTTTTCCTTGTTCTTTTCAGATGGTCATTGTTTCCTCAGAACTTAATTATGTAAAATACTTAGGGAAAAAAATTGAAGAAAGGCAAAGTTCTAGTCTAAATCAGTTGAAGGCTAGAGAGTCTTTAAAGAATGTTTCTTTTTTTGATAGTATTTGGGTTGTATGCTAAGGCAGCCAGCTATGCTGTGTGCCTTGTTCCGGACATAGTTCTGTGTCAGAGTGAATGTATACAGTTTATCACCTTAAAATGTTACTGTGCTCTGTTGGATCATTTTGGATTTGAGACCTAGCAAATGACTATAAATATATTACATACTGAGGTCTTGGTTTCATCGCGTAACTATGACTGACAAAGCATTCTGTTTTCATCCCATTTGTCCCTCAGATTCAGTAATGTCTAACTACCTGCCTGACATTCTACTCATATGTAGCAGTATGTGAAAACAGTGATTCTCAATTAGGGGAGATTTTTTTCTTCCACAGAGGTTTGGCAGTATACGCAGACATTTTGTGTGTCCTAGCAGATAAAATGGAGACAAGAAGGGAAAAAGGGAAGGAAGGTACTAGGTAGGGGACAGACCTGTTGCTAAATATTCTGCTATGTGCAGGACAATGCCTCACAATAGAATTACCCATCCCTAAACGTGGCTGGTGGATATAACTTGGGTAGTGCTTGCCTGCTGTGCTCAAGGCCCAAGGTTATGAATTCCTAGGGAGAGCAGGAAGAGAAGATATCCCTGTCTCCATGCTGTGACAGTCTGGGAAATCATTCCTCCACAGGAAAGAAGGTAACTTTCACCAGAAGCAGAAGTATTCAACAACCGTGTTTTGCAATATTTCTGAGTCCAAGCCTGAAAGCAGTCTGTTCTTTCTGCCACAGAGCTCATGACATTTTGTTATATTTTCTTGAGATTTCTAAATCTTCCAGCCTTAAAAATAATTTAAATCTTTGGATAAATGTACTTTTGTTAATTTAACTACCTAGCTTATTCCTTTTTTGTTTGTTTGTTGTCTTTTTGAGACAGGGTCTTGCTATGCAGTTCAGGCTTGCCTTGAGCTTGTTTTGTAGTCCAGGCTGATCTCGAACTTGCAACAATCTTCCTGCCTTAGCCTCCTGAGTGCTGGGATTGCAGATGTGCCCCACCATGCCAGTAGCTAGCTTATTCTTACAGGAATAAATCTTAGAATCTGCTTGAAAGAGAAATTATTTCTTTATAATTTACACTTTTTTTGAAAATCAAGATCTATGCAGGCCCCTCCTTCCTTTTTTTAAGATAAGAAAATTTGACTGCTTTTTTCCAGGCTTTTACCAAAGAAGTGTCTCTTGAGGGTTTCTTTACAGAGGGTTTCTTGGCATCCTGAACAGAGAATCAGGTAAAACACAAGGCAGAGGGCATAAGAGCATAGTTTTATTGAAGGTAAAAAAAAAAAAAAAGAGTATACTTTACAGTGGGGAGCATGGGCTGGTAAGAAAGGCTTATAGCTACAGGAGGATAAAGGGAAAGAAGCTTTATATTTACAAAACTTGCATTGGACATTGCATCGTGTAACTATGGCATTGGGATAGTTGGCCTAGCAAAAATTCACTTGGCTTCATGCCAGATGAGGTTGATTGATCAAAAAACTTGCATGTCCTTTTCTCGGATATAAGTGAAGGGTCAGGAACAGTCTTTTAATTGGTCTGTCCCATATGTATATAAAGGGTTGGGAATAGCATCTTCTGATTGGTCCTGAAAATAGCACTAAATTCAAATAAAGGATTAGGAATAGCACTTTTCTGATTGGTCCTAGTGCCCATAAGCCTAGAGTCATTTTAGGTCCTGTGCTCTGCATATGTCTTCTCTTTTGTAGGAAACATGTTGATCAATGATTTAGCTGGGTTTCTGTGACTTCTGACATATTCCAGTTGTTTGTCCAGTTTGCCGTAGTGCTAATTTCCTATCTGAACTCCATCCTCATTTTTCTCACAAGGGCACATACATAAAGAATAAAAGTTAATTTACCCTTAATATTTCCTAAATACTAAGTCTTTTTTTTTTTCACGAGCTGTAAGTTACTTATGGTTGCTTCCTATTCCTGACCAAGTCTCCTTTGGAGCCGCTGTCTGTCTCGCTAAGATTTTCTTCTAGTTCTCTGCAAAAATAACAACCAGTGAGGCTGTTTTAAAGATACTGAAATGAAGGGCATAGAGGCAGGTCAAATTATTGATTATCTTAAACAGCAGATTGCTTTTTTGAAGAAAAATACGGAGAGAAAAGAAAAAACTTCAAGTTGAACTAAGAAATTGAAAAACTGAAACAGGAGCTAATCCAGGCAGAAATTCAAAATGGAGTGAAACAAACACCATATCCATCTTGGACTCCACTAGAAGCTAATTCTGTGGTGAAAAAGTATAGAGTCTTGACCAATATTTGATTGTTCTGGTGTTAAAAAAAACAGGTAAAAGGAGAGGGAGAAGAAGGTAAAAAGAGAAAATTGGGAAGGTAGAGAAGAAAAGAAGGAAAAAGTAGCTGCTGTCTTCAGCAGGAAACTCAGACTTAAAGTCAGTAGGTATTTTCTCCTCTACTCTTCCAGTTGGTTGCATCATTAATGCCAAAAAAAAAAAAAAAAAAACCCATCCTGATGCAGGTTCTTTGTATGTATAAGAAATAGGTGTTGGAGAAACACCTCAAGAACAATTATCAGTGGCCTGGTGAATCATGTTCCATTTGAAAAGATGCAAAATCTGATGGCGGTTTTACTTTGTAACCTACAACATGCAAAGATGAGGAAAATCCTATCTTAAGCAATGGCAGTGTGTGCTAGTTCACCAGAAAAGGTTGAAATCTTGGCTTCTCCTGCAGACAGAGTTACTTTGATACTTTCCCTGGAGAGCCTCAAAAGGAGCTGAATCCTAAGAAAAAGACCTGGGAGCAGATAACAGCCTGTCCTGTGTATCAGAGCCAACTATGTCACCGTATACTAGGTGTTCCTTTAAGGTGAAAGAAAGGGGGCGTGCAGGGCTCAGACCATGTCCAAGAGTGAAATCAAATAAGATCAAAAGCAGCCGTTACTAAAGTACATCAGAGGAAACACCTGAGATAGTACAATGACTATGTTTGTCACTTACCTAAAAAATAAATTACTGTCTTTTATCCTTGTGAATTCTGTTGGGTTTTTTCCCCCACAGGGCACTCTAAATGTGTATGTACTTCTTTCCATGACTAAACTCGATAATGTCTTTGGATGATAGGACACTAAGCATCATAGTTCTTTGCCTGTTTTTTGAATAACATAGGACATGTTTTTAGGGAAAAGGAGGAAGGAGTTTTGTAAAAACTGTAGAATACAGGAGACTGTTCATTTCATGATGCATTCAACTTGAACTAAAGTTTACTTTTAAACTTATTCTGAAAAATAATTTAGATTAGAATGATTGACTAATGTGTAAAGGGGGAAACTAAAAACTCCAATGAGACCATTTAGATTTGGGACATTTTGTATTTTTCTCTCATCGTACTTAATTACTGTAGTGTATATCTAGCTCATGTTTATACTCTCAGGAATTATATTAATGAGGGACTAAATTTATGAATGACCATGTATTCTTTCCCTCCCTTTGTGTATATATTATTGATGCATATTCTTTCTTCTTAGTAATATAGTAATATTTTTTAATCATATTTGCCTTTCCTTAATAATCTTAGCCATTGGTTTCAAGTTTTTCAATAACTATCTATACATGTCATAATCTTTTAATCATCAATTAGTGTATCAACAGTTGAAGTTTCTGTGACCTCAAAATCATTGTGTTTATCTTTGAATAGGATTCACTGTCAAAATTTGCAGGCAGAAAACTGAAAGACTGTGGAGAAGATCTTCTTGTAGAGATATCTGAAGTGCTGTTTAATGAATTGGCTTTTTTTAAGCTTATGCAAGATTTGGATAATAATAGTATAACTGTTAAACAGAGATGCAAAAGGAAAATAGAAACAGCCGGAGTGATACAATCGTATGCCAAAGAGGTAAGTAACATCCATTTTGTATTTAGGAATGCTAAAAATTAAACTATGAATATAGTTCTTGACCGTTATTAATAACTATAGTCATCTTTAATCTTAGTATAAATACTTTTAATATCAGTTGATCAGATTATAAATCGGTACATGTTTTACAATAGTGAATTCAAGAGTAGCGGTAATAGCTAATAACAGCAATGCAGACAGGAATTGGGGCTAAATATACATTGTCAGATATCCAGTTCACTTCCTTGTCACTGATTCGGGCCTCCAAAGAGGAGAGGAGAACTGGGATCCAGTCCTTGACCAAGTGCCTGCAATGGGCTATTGCCAGTCTCCATAAATACATATCACCCTGAGTCACTTCAACCAATAGATATATTTACTGATTGGTTAGGAATTTAGGTTCACATCCCTGTAGTGTTTGTCTGTTCTGGCAATTAATTTTGATTGTGTGAAATAGAAAATTTGTTCCTTCTCAGTGTGAGGCTAATCAGGAAGCTTTTTTCCTAGACCTGCATCCTTTTATCTTCAGATTATGAAAGGAGAGACCAAGACTCAGACTGAAAGAGGTAGCCTTTCTTCTTTAGGATATAAACAAATTGCAGCTGTCTATCTTATTTTTTCATGATGTTTATATTCCAAAGATAGTTCAGTCATTGCTAAAAGTTTAAGGAAAATAAAACAGCATAATACCATTATAAATTTTTGGAAGGCAGTCTCTTTTCAAACTACTTTAGAGTGGTAGTCTCAAGAATCTTAGAGGGAGTACATTGAAAACAAAGGATAGTGAAGATGGAGAAGAAGATCATGTGCTAAAAACATGTGTAATGACTAAAACAGGAATGAGCAGTTGGAAAACCGAAAGAGAGATGGATTCAGAAGCACATTAAGCAAAGCAGTAATATTATAGAGACGTAACTCCCAATCTGTGAGGTATGCCAAGTTCATGTCAGAGTGAAGTTGAGGACAAAGAAAGTTAAGAGTGGGAAATTTTTCATTGAGAGAAAGCTCCTGAGATGCAGCGAGGGGATCCTGAAAGTGAATTGCTGAGACTTGTCTGGGGATGTTTTGAACACTAGCATCACATCACAGGTTACTTTGGGTCAAACTACAGTCAACCTATAGGACTACAGGTACAGTTAGTTAGCTAATACTGATTTTATAGAAAAACAAGCTATGTACAAGGGGTGCCTAACATGGAGATGAACAAAGGCATTTCTGGAAGGAGTAGGAGCCGGGGTCAGTTTGTTCTGATCATCGGTCAACATGGTGATTTGCTTGCTTGCTTGCTTGCTTGCTTGCTTGCTTGCTTTCTTTGGAAAACAAAACAGAACAAAGCAGATTAGATCAGAACAATATAAACAACACAGGAGTTCAAAACAAGACAACAGGAAACCAACAGTGACTACCATAATGTCTCTTGTTTTCTTTGAAATAGTTGTCCATATTTTCATGCACAGTAAATTCAAACAAAATGAAATACTAAAACCAATCAAAACAAAAGAATGAAAGCATTACAGGCCTTCAAAACCAGACAATAGGAAAATCAACAATGACTACCATCTCTTGTTCTTTTCAAAATAGCTGTCTATACCCTCACATACATTGAAATCAAATAGTAGAAAACAAAGTAGAACCAATCAAAACAAAGAATAACAACATTATAGGACTTTAAAATGAGATGATAGGAAATCAGCAATGGCTATCATAGTATCACATTTTCTTCAAAATAGCTATTCATATCAGCACACATAATCTATTTTTATAAACCTTTTAGGATGATTATATTATTTCTGTGTGTTTGCCATATTGTTTAGGCTTATTGAGCTTGTGACAGTACATATTTGAGCTGTTGTCTAATCTGTGGGATGGCATGCAGATCTAGCTATCGTGTCTGTATTTTGGGGGCCTTTTTTTTTGGCCTCAGGGACTCACAATCCTGAGCTTGCCAAGCAGGTGCTTATGCCGCTGAGCTAAATCCCTGGCCTGGGGCCTTGTTTTTATCAACTCAAATAAATAAATATAAGGATGCTATAATCTTTTTATCAGAGGCCTGACTCTCTGTGTTTTAGCAGAAATGTGGCCAGCAAGGGTGGAGTGGGAATGGACACACAGACAGACACAAAGACAGCGACAAGAAAAGAATTTATTCTTGGTTTGGCCAGACCAGGAAAACAAGTTGGAAACAGTTTTTCCCATTAGAATAGCTCTATGATTATACAGGGGGAGGACAAAACTGGAAGCTGAGAGGTGTGTGTTGCATAAGGTCAGGAATATACATGTGCATGTTGCACTTCTGGTTCCGCTGATCTCACCTGTTCCAGGGCTTGTAGAGCAGTTTCCTTCACATCATGACATATATGTGGGAAGAAAAGGGCAATTTAAAGAGACCAAGTTACAAGGCTGGACACAGACTTATGTCTTTTTTTAAATCTCTCGGTTTTAAAGGCACCTCTATTAGAATCTCATATGCAGTGTAAAAGAAATTAACTGGTTAACATATTAAACAGATACTGTAAAGACGGAAGTAGCTAGACTAGACTTTTTTTGCTGGTGTGTGGGTACCGGGAAGCGAACTCAAGGCCTCACACTTGCCAAGCAGGCTTAATGCCACAGAGCTACATCCCCAGCTCTGGGATCAGTTTTAAGAGTTGAAACTGTAACTTGTCATCCTGGCACTAGGGAGGCTGAAGTAGGAGGATTGCTGCAAGCTCAAGGCCAGCTTGACTACATAGTGAGTTCAAGGCCAGTCTGTACTATATAGCATGACCTTGTCTGGAAAAAACAAAAAAGAGTTGAAATTTTCCTGGTAAAAAATGATAAGCCAGGGTTGGGAATATAGCTCAGCAGCAGAAGTGCCTGCCTCATGAGCTCAAGATCCTCAGTTTGACTTGTGGTACCAAAAAATAATGACAAGCTAATGTCCCTTAGATTGATATGTGGCAATAGATGCATTTTAATAATTCAGTCAGTAACACAGTCTAATGATTCTGATATTGGATAATGAAACTAAACAAAGGCTGATTTCTAATTCCATAGTTTGTGTATCAGGGTCAGTAAACGGTTACTGAGGCTTAGAATACTAAGGAAGGGATGAGATTTGGGAGATGAAAAATGCGTGCTTCTTGATTTTGACCTGTAAGTTTTGTTTGCTTTTATATATCCAGCTAACAGGTGGGGAGTGTTACTTTTTGCTTTGTTAATTTTAAAGATTTAAGGAGGATGTGGCGCTTGCAGGGGCAGTAATTCTAAGGCCCGTAATTCTAAGGTTAGAGAATAGCAAGTGCTAGCCCAGCCTGGGCAGTTTAGCAACTCTATGAGATCCTGTCTCAGAAAACATTAAAAGTAAGGATGGGGTGGAGCTGAAGATACGATGTAATGGAAGGTCCTGAGTTCAATCCCCTGTGCAGCAATAAGTAAGATTAAAATAGTTGACTTTACATTTCTAATAAAGAATTTGGATGGCAGTTAAAAACAGAGAGCTATAGCTCAGTGGCACAGCACCTCCTGGCAAGCACAAGATCCTGAGTTCGATTCTTGATATCAAAAACAGAAGCAACACTTAAGTTTACTGAATTATGTAAATGTTTTGGTAAATTCTGTTTAATTGATTTGCTAACAGGCCAAAAGGATTCTTGAAGGAGATCACAGCTCACCTGCTGGAGAGATTGATGATGAAGACAAAGTATGTGTTGATGAATTTGTGCCTATAAATAATGCTTTTGGAACAAAATATAAATAAGTTTAACAGTTTTTACCTCAATATTTAAGACCAGAATGTAACATCTTTGTTCTGAAAAGTACTTTTCTTTTAAAAATAAAACTAGCTGGATGTGGTGACACATGCCTATAATTCAAGTGCTCTGGTAAGATAAGGCAGGAGGATCACAAGTTTGAGCCCAGCCTGTGCAATTTAGTAGTTCAGTGCGACCGTGTCTCAAAATGAAAAGTTAGAAAAAAAGAATGTAGTTCAGTACAAAGGTCCTAGATTCAATCACCAGAACCAAATTTTTAAAAAACTAGACCACCAAAAATGTTTCTGTATTTTTCTTACATAATGATCATTATTTTTATGAAAGTGTTTACTGTGTACCATTTTGAAGTACTTTAAGGAATTAGTAACTCAGATTATTTACTGCCAGGACAAGGATGAAACTGAAACAATTAAGCAGACTCAGACATCTGAGGTATATGGTGCCGAAGGTCCCAAAAATGTGAGATCTGATGTTTCTGATCAAGACGACGACGAAGAAAGTGACAGATGCCCAGTGTCAATTAGTAAGTTTAAAGGCTCTCTGCCATATTTATACCTTAGTTCTTTTTTATTTTAAAGAAAATAAACCTAACAAAATAAAAGAATAGAGGCAATAAAAGCAGCGAAAGTGGTACAGAACTTCAAATAGGAGATCAACAATGGCTGCTATACTATATCTTATTATCTTCAAAATAGTTGTCCATACCATCAGACATAGTAAAATTAAAAAAAAAAATTAAAATAGAACACTGAATAAAACAAAACAATAAAACAAAACAGAATAATATTGAATTTCAAAAACAAGACAGAAGGAAATCCACCACATTTGCTATATTGCATACTGTTATCCTGCTAATAGATGCTCAGACCTCCAGCTGTGGCCTGCAAAGTGAATCAGACAATACAAGCATTTAATTGTTTTTGTACCTTGGTTGCTATCAACTCAACTTGTCTTCCAATCAACTGGTTGCTTACCGTGAATGGGGTGGGGGTGGGGTGTTTGCACTGGTGGGATCACAAGAAGGGTGAATTGGCTTGGTCTGTCTGTCCAGGGCCCTTCATGGTTTGCCTATACCTTAGTTCTTTATATTTCCCTTATTAAAATCAGTGTGGAGAGGTGTAATAAATGTAGAATTAAGTGTCAAACTATTGGAGTTTTACTTATGATTTTGACTAAATTACCTGGTCTCTTTGCTCCATAATTTCTGGTACTTTTATTTACCAACTTGAAGGTTTTAGACGTTATATGTAAACACGTGTGGCATGCAATAAATGGCAGCCATTCATTATAACGATTAAATGGTGTGGACACAGTGGTGCATACTTAACGTGCCAGCTGTCCTAGAGGCTGAGGTGGGAAGACTGCTTGGGTTCAGGACCAGCCTGAGCAACAGCAGAGACCTCACCTCGGGGGTGGGGGGAGAATGAAATTTACTAAAAATTGTGTTTCAATCAACTCAGACTTGTCTAAAGCGGAAACTCAGGCTCTAACTAATTATGGAAGTGGAGAAGATGAGAATGAGGATGAAGAAATAGAAGAATTTGAAGAGAGCCCTGTAGATGTCCAGACTTCACTTCAAGCTAACACGGAAACTACAGAAGAAAATGAACATGATGATCAGGTATTCTAGTGTAGGGCTGCACACCTTCCAACTACTAAAAGCAAGAGCCTTCTGAAAAATGGCAAGATTTACAGCTTTTCTCATTCTTATTTTCATGAATACAAGCATGTTTAATACATAATGAGAGTCAGAAAAGAGTTAAGATGTGTTATGTACATGTACCAACTCCCCATGATGAATGTAATCACATACCACAGACATGCTAATAAAAAAAACTATTGAGAATTCCGAAACACCAAATTTTTTTTTGTATTCAGTAATGTTTAATTTGAAAACACTTTTTTATTTGTGTAGCAAACATGTAAAATAGTTAAGATATTTAGAAGATAAGGGTATTTAGTCTCTATATTTTTCCCGAGTCATTAAAGAAAATAATACATAACAAAAATAAAATCACTTCCATTTCTGCCTCTACCTCATTCCATTCCAGAGGCAGCCCTTTGTACAATTTCGTCTGCTGTTTACCTGTCCATATGTCTGCATAGTGTGTATGTGTCTTTTAAGTTAAATCTGTATTTATGCAAATATTTAGATTTAATTAAGCTGTAAATATTACTGCCTGCTGACGCAAATATATATTACTCTCTCCTGAATTTAATAGTTGTTTTATTTTCCTTGAGCATACACCCAACTTTCTGTGGATCCCTTAGTAGCTATGTAAATCCCGCAGCAGGATTTTCTATATGAGCTAAATTGCCCAGCTCCCCCTACTCCCAGGATGCACCTTCTTGTTGCATTCCAGGTTTGGCTAGTCTTCATTCCTGCTTAATAGCTACCAAGAGGAATCTGATTGTGTCTGTTTATGTTCCTTCTCAAATCTTTCTTTCTGGAATTTAATATTTGTTGTTTCTCTTGGTTTACTACCTCATTTTGAGGGGACATCCTTTCCAATAACTTTCTAAAAAAGAATTCAGAGTTGAGACAGGGTCTCCCTAAATTGCTCAGGCTGGTCTCAGACTTGCAGTTTTCCTGCGTCAGCCTCCCACAATGCTGAGATTACACACATGCAGCAACATGCATGGGTAAAAATATTTTAGAAAATCTTAATTCTTCTGTGATGAAAATATTTTCCTTCAGATCTTCAAAAGCACTGCCTCCTAGTTTAAATCCCAGGATCTTTCTTAGTTCTCATCCTTTGTGCCTTTTTTCCCCTCCCTATTCCAAAACTTTTTCTTCTTGGAGTTCTAAAATTTTAAAATAATATGCATTGTCACAACTCTTTAATATACTCTGTGGGTCTTTTCAATTTACATCCTGTTCTGCAATTTGGTAATATTTTCACCACCAGTTTCTTTTTTTATTCCTTCTGGAATTAATATTATTTCCTCTCGTGGATTGGTGATCTCACTTTCTTCTCTTTCCCTTTTATCCTGTCATTGCTGTATCTTGTTTATTTCCTTAAATTTCTTTGGCCTTAAAATTTGTATAAATTTTTATTTAAACTGCCACCTTTTTTATTTCTAAATATTTATTTCTTTTTCTCTGGTTGCTTTCTTATAATGCCATGTTCTGTAATGGAAGGAATAGCTTGTCTTATTTGAGGCTTTCCTTAGATATCTTTGAGGCCTTGAGTATTTATATTAAAGAGTGATATGCAGAAATCTGGTTTGGGTTCTTTTGGGGTTCTTGTAAGCCATTTGAGTACATGGTCAGCCTTCTGATAAATACTCCCTAGGTTAGAATCTATTAGTCTTCTTCAGAGTGTTTTAGTTTCTTCAAAGAAAAAATTCTCCATTCTTCTCCTGTATGAATTATATAAACTGGTATTCTTGAGTGAAATAAGGAAATGGAGCAGAGTGCTCCATTGTGCAGACGTGCACTAAATCCTACTGTTTCCACTGCATAGTTTAGCACATTCTGATTTGTGCCTTATTTATCGACCTTTTCCCTCAAAGTGTGACATTCTCTAGTTTAGTTTCTCTGACTATAACCTCCCATTTTCTATTGAGGTTGAACATGAGAACATAGGTGTCCACATTTTTCTGAAAAAGTTTTAAATAACTACTGCCACCACCCTCTTTTCATCATGAACCTCATCTCCACTATCACTCCTTCCTTAGCTCTGCTGCGTCTAATTGTGAACTCAGTCTGTTTCCTCTTGTTGAAAATGTCACATTGTTCCTCTTTCTCTCCTGGACAGTTCAGTTTTATATTCACTTAATGTTAACTTTATAGGGGTATTTTACTTTTATTAAAGATAGTCTAAGAAAAATAAATTTTAAAATGTGGAATCTATGATATTCCTGTTCTCCAAGTTGTTTTGAGTTTGTCCAAGAAGAAAAAGAAATTGTTTACATAGACATCTTGTAGTTGCTACCAAACCTTTGAAACACTTTTAGAAAGGTTTTTTAACTTCATTTTTAGTTCATTTAAGCTCTTAGATTGGACAAAAACCACACAGTAGTAACCGTCTCTTTTACAAATAAGCACGTATTTTAAGACCTTACTATTAAAACCATCTTTTTTCATTCTAGGTTCTACAACGTGATCTTGAAAAAACAGCAGAAAGCACAAAGACCCCATCAGAACAAGAACCCACTAGTAAAGGTAAGAAATCAAAATAAATGTTTACTTTAAAGATTATCTAAAGTATCTTCTGTGTGTATAAACCTTAAAAAAAATTCCTAGCTAATGTAATTTTGAAGGTACTTTGGCCTTGATATGTATCTTTCTTCTCCTAGTAAATCTTTTGTAGAAAGCTAAGAGGGCTTTGTTTCTGCAAACAGCAATTTTAAAAGCTGACAAATATTTATCCCCATACTGAAAAATTCTGCAAAGAACATCTTTAGATATAAACAAGGGTAATTTTTAAAATTCCTGGGCCTTACTCCTGAAAATCCTGATTAGAAATCAGGTAAGTTTCCAGACTCTAATTTTTAAAATGTTCGAGATGGGTCTAATGAACTAAGCTTGACTAAGAAAACTTTGTATTTATCTTTTCTTTTAAGTGTTCAGTGTCTTTCGATTGCTGTCATTCATGCATATTGTCTTTATTTCAGTTAATAGAGTAAAATTTAACTGCTTTCATTACAATCTTTTGATGACAGATGACCAAGATAGCTCTCCTGTGAAACCATGTTATCTCAATATCTTGGAAAATGAGCAACCTTTAAATAGTGCTGCCCAAAAGGACTCGCTTACTATTGTTGATTCATCTCAGCAGCCTAACCCCTTGCCATTACCTTTAACTGAAATTGAAACCTTAGTGCCTAGAGTCAAAGAAGTTAAATCTGCTCAGGAAACTCCTGAAAGCTCACTGGCTGGAAGTCCTGACACTGAATCCCCAGTGCTTGTGAATGACTACGTATGTATCATTTATACTTCCACATACTTTGGTTTTTATTTCTCTGCATATTTCTTCATTTTCAGGTTAACATTTTCTGCATATAGGGCTGGAGATTTAGCTCAGTGGCATAAGCACCTGCCTTGCAAGCAGGCAGTTGTAAGTTCGATCCCCGGTACCGATTAAAAAAAAAAAAGAAAAAATAACATTTTCTGCGTATAAACTAAACTCCACTTTGTGTTTAGGTTTAGAACTGGTCAAAACGTTTTTGTTTCTTATTCATACATAATTTTAAATTTTAACAAAAGAGTGATAGGATGATCATCTCAAAACCTAAGAATTATCCTTTTTATAGCTTTGTAACTTGAGTAGTTGATAGAAAAGTTGCACTTAGAAAAATTAGAAGTGCGAACTAGGGCAAGAAAAGAACCAAGTTTTAAAAAAACACAGTTTTATGTTGTTACAGAAGTGAAGTACTAAATTCATGCCTCGTGTTTTTAATTGGATTTCAACAGAGTTGAAAAGTTTGTAAATGTTTCCTTATAGTCCGCTGGGAATATAGCTCAGGTGTATTTTATAAACATTGAAAAACAAGAGTTGCTTTCTGGTTACCTTAACGTGTCTTGTGTAAACTGGCTTTTCTTTTTTTTTTCTTTTAACGGGTGCAAAAACTCCCACTAGTGTGTTCTCGCAGCTGCAGATAGTTGACCCTTCTTGGGAACTCTATAGATTTCTGATTTACTCACAGAAGTATGAAGATAGAAGAAAGTAAAATATAATAGAATTACTCATATGTACTTACTTATGAGTCTGTTTCTTGGTACAGATAATTTAGATTTAGATCAGAGAGAGAATGTACCTGTAAATTAAATACAGGGCCAGTGATTTAGCTCAGCAGCACAAGCACTTGCCTGGCAAGCACAAGGTCGTGAGTTCAATCCCTGCTAACAAAAAAATAAATAAATAAAATAAAATAATAAAATTTAAATATAATTTTTCTTATAGGAAGCAGAATCTGGTAACATAAGTCAAAAGTCTGATGAAGAAGACTTTGTGAAAGTTGAAGATTTACCACTTAAATTGACAATATATTCAGACGTATGTGCTCTCTTTAATTAAATTTACGTTTTCGTATAACAGATACTGTTGAAGTGAAAAATGATTTAAGCTTTAAATTTTTATTCTAAAGGCAGATCTTAGGAGGAAAATGATAGAAGAAGAACAGAAAAACCATTCATCTAGTGAAATACATGAAATGCAGACTGAAGAATTAGCTGAAAATTCTCACACTAAAAGCACATGGTAGGTTATCAATTTTATTTATTTATTTTTTTTGTCTTGTTCCTTTTTATCGGTACCAGGGATCGAACTCACAACTACCTGCTTGCAAGGCAGGCACTTACGCCGCTGAGCTAAATCCCCAGCCCCAATTTTAATTTATTTTGAAAAATATTGAATCATGCATGGTCCTACCATTTTGGCTTGTTTTTCAAATATTTTACCTGAGAAATTTAAGCCTAGTATTAGAAAAGAGTCATTCTGAAAAAATGTTAGTTTAGCTTCTTAATTTATTGACTTACTGATACTTAATTTATTGACTTAATGATATCAGGTACTTTTTTCCTGTTTTTAAAAGACTTAGTTTTAGCAGGATAATATATAATATATACGCATGTGGTTTAAGAAAGAAAGGCACAAAAGAATTAAGCCAGGCATGGTAGCACATTCCTGTAATCCAGCACTCTGAGATGCTAAATCAGGAGAATAACAAGTTCAAGTACAGCCTGGGAGACTTAGAGAGAGTCTGTCTCAAAATTTAAAAATAAGTAAGTAAATAAAAAGAAGAGGATGTAGCTCAGTGCAAAGGCTATGGATTCAGTGTTAAGTACTACGAAAGAAAAGTCGATAAGCAGTAAGAGCCTACTCCTTTTCGTTATTGATTGTTCTTTTGGAGAAAACTGTAATTTTGATTTTTGTGATTTTTTTCTAAGTGTTTCATACTCAAATAGTATTTCTCATATTTCTTGAATGTAGACCTCTCATTCTGTATTCATTTTATTTTTCTGCTTTTTACCTATGCTACTTTAAAAAAATACACACATACAAACCTTTATCTTTAATCAGTACCCTTCCTCTTATCTCCCTTTTATAACTGTAAAAAATTTTATAAACTTTTCTTGAGATTGATGCCAGATAAATATCCTCCTTTATGGAGCCAAGAGATAGTTCCAGCTTTCCTTCTCTGGGGAAAATAGCATAACTCATGAACTATTTAGAGAATATTTCTTGCATCAAGATCAAAGGATTTTCCTTATGCTTTTCCCACCAATTCATTTGGTTATATATACAACTTTTATTTTTCATTATTTTCCCCCTTTATTTTTTCTGACAATGGGTTCAGGAGAAGGGTAGGCCATTCAGATATCAAGCCTTCAGTTAGGACCGCGGTTATCTGCTCAGCTCTGCCTGTTTCAGCACATTGCATCTGTCTCAGCTGCGATCTTTCCTAATGTTCTAGACTGCATCTCCCTCTGTTCTGTTCTGCTATGCCCCATCTGTTTTAGACTTTCTAGTTATTTTTTGTTGATACCTTCTGTTCTGTTTTCTGGCCTCTCTTCTTTTGTTGGTCTATTAACCTATAGTTAAATTTTTTAATAGTTGTTTTTTTTTCTTTTCCCCATCGGTACTGGGAGGTTTTTTTTGTTTTGTTTTGTTTTTTTTCTGGTATGGTGTTTTAGTTCTTGGAGGCAGGAAGTATCTGCTTAGTCTGCCATAATGAAAAACAAACTGTCTCCTATTCCTTCTTCTTGTGCGTTATCAGGGAACTTTAGTTAAATTAGGATTGCCATTTTAATAATCTTATATTACAAATAAAGGCTTTCATGGCTGAAAACAATGTTATAAACAAATTTTAGTAAGTAGTCTTAATTCAATAAATGACTTATAAAACATTAATATTCTGTTTTTCAGAAACAGTGGGAGTCAAGTCTGCGAGATATCTTCAGAGGTTCATCTGATTCTCTTTACATAGTCAGTGCATACACAAAAATGATACTAAATAAACACATGTTTTGAGCTGTATAAAAATGTAAATTAGTTTGACACTGCATTTTTGATAGATGTGCTAATTTCTGCCCATGGCAGTTTATACATCAGAAACTGAATTCTGGACAGATTCAAGCCTTGATACACTGTGAGGTTATTGGGTTTTTTCCTTTTATCTTTTTCTTTTGTATCCTAGATTTTTTTTTTCTCATTGTGATGTTTGGTAATGTTAAATTTAAAGTATAGTCTTAAATAAAGTTTGAACTTACCTGTATCGTTCTTTGGAAATTATGTTGAATTCAATATAGCAAATTTCTGTTCTGTGTAATTTTAGGCAACTCTAAGCAGTGGTCAGAAATTAAATATATTATTTATTATAAAGCCCCAACATAGCCCTATCTTCCAACTCATACCAGTGTTGCTACTGCTAAGTCCAGTGTTCTTTAGGTACCTGCAGCTCCTATTTCTGTGTAAGAATAGAGCAGGCCTGGGGACGTAGCTTGGTGGTAGTACACTTGCCAGATATGCACAAGGCCTTGGGTTAGATCTCTAGAATCACCCCACTCCTCTTTAAAAATGTGCAGGTGATAAAGATAGTTAAGGTACCTGTGAAGTTATCAAAGAATATTTGTTAATAATCTATATTTAAAATGCATTAGAAGTTTAGAACATAAATCATTAGCACCTAGAATTTATATAGTTGTCTATTAAAATAAATGTTTTCTATATTTGAAAATCCTGTCTGTTGCCTCAGTTTAAAAGTAAAAAATATAATCAGGGAGTATTTCTGCAGAGACAAATAACATTTTGATGACTTTTAAATGAAAGACCAGACTCTTTCAAGTAGGAATAAGTAGATTTAAATTATGTAACAGCATTAAAATTCTGTATGCCTTTAGAGAAACTTGCCTTTTAAAATGATAGTTTAAGCCAAGCATGGTGGCGCATGCCTATAATCCCTGCACTTGGGAGGCTGAGGCACGAGAATTGTGAGTTTGAGACCAGATTGGGCTACAAAGTGAGCTCAGGCCAGCATAAGGAGACCCTGTCTCAAAAAGACAAAAAATGTGTAAAACCAAAGTCTAGCCTTTGATTCTGTGGAGTAAGAAAGAAGCAGGTTTACAGAAGTATTGAAGTACTGAATACAGAAAATCTATGATTTCACTAAGTAAACCATCTTTTTAAAGATGATTTACTGGTTTATCCCATTATTACCATAGACCGAGTTAGGCCTGACAGACAGAGCCAACTAACAGTGAATAAGTCAGTCTTACAGATGCTTCCTGGAATAAAATGTGAACAATATGAGGTATTAGATCTTAGTTCCAAAGTATCTTTTAAATGTAGTAACAGTTGTCTCAGATATTCCATATTAAAAAAAAACCATGTTTGACATTCTTTTAAAGTAGTTATTTGTGTGATAACTTTAAATAGCATAAACTATAATCTTGAATCAGGAAATACTAAATGAGGATTTCCCTATGGGGAAATTTACCAAATTGCTACTTAGTTTAAATTATATCTCCAACCTTATTAAAAACCCATTCAGAAAACTACCAGTCTAAAATGAGTTCTTACCTAGCTGTAGTGACTTCAGAAATTGGGGACAGTAAGTTACACTGTATGTCTAGGCAAGCTCTGTATTTTCTAAACTAGTAAGTAAAGGGGGAAACTTCATTTGGTACTTAAGCTAAACCTTGCATATATTGCAGCTGTCTTTCTCTGCATGCATAAGAATTGTGTTTAATACCTTAGTTATTACTGTAGTACCTCAAAGCCTCATTAAACTAGCTTATTTGACTTACAGCTAATATTTAGTTATTACCATGGTACCTAAAAACCTTATTAAACTTTCTAGTCTGTTGTTTGCCTATTTTAGTATATACTTTAGTTTTAAAATATCTAGGGTTTGGGAGCAGGTTACTTGTTCATTGTTTTTTTTTTTTTTTTTTTTTTTTTTTTTAGTAAGTATTTCTAAAGAGTTAGAAATTAATATTCTTATTTGTCTTAATTTTTAAGTTAAACATTTGGTTAGAGATAGAGGGAGAAAATGTCAAAATAAGTGAGAAAGAATCCTGTGCAGGTTGAGATAATAATTAAAATAATGAGCTAGCCAGACTGGTAATACCCTTTGTATTTTGTAACATTCAGTTTGGGTAAATGCTTTTTCACTGTTAATAAATGTATATACTACATACAGTCCTGAATTGCATTTTTATTTAAATTGATATACTTTAGAATTTATTTTAGAATTGTGGCTTGACTCTTAAAAAGAAAATCTGAACATAGAAAAAGGACATTTTTATTAGCCAGAAATATTTGTTAAACTTCATGACAGTTTCTCTTACAGTGAATACAGGCTTTGCTATTTCTTAGTTACATTTATTTTATATACTGTTCTAAGAATGTGAATGTCGGATATGATGTAGTCCTGTTAGTGTGGCTACAGAAGGAAAGGAAAATGAGCCTTGGGAGGAAGTTTATTGTGTTTTCAGGTTCTAGCCACGTAGAGGAAAAAGCTCCCGACTTACTAGATGTCCCCCAGTACGAGTTTATGTTCTCGAAAATCGAAGAATTAATTTTAGGAACAACAGAGGTTAAGAGCAGATTAGATTTATTAAGAGAAAGAAAGCTTCTGTCCCAAGAGAGAGACAGAGAAGGGGTCCTGGGTGGGTTGCCAGACTGTTTTTTCTAAGGACTTTATTTATAGAACAAAACCACAAAGTGAGGCATCTCCAAGGTGGGCGAAACATGGGCACTTGCGAGGTGGGTATATGGCCAACCAGTATGATTATAATTGCTCATGTAAAGTTAATTAAATCAGGGATAAATTGGAAGCATGTCACATAACAAGTGGGCATGAATGTAGAGCAGGAGCTCTTTGTAGCGGGTTGGGTTAGTGGCTCCTTTTGGCTTTCTCAGGGTGTAGAGGCCTATTTAGAATATCATTCCCTGGTGTTTTATCCTTAGGATGTGACTGCCTTTGTTTTATCTTTTGTTTTGAGGTCTGGGTCACAGCTTGAAGGTGTCACAGTTGGTCTTCTGCACTAGTTTCTTCGAGGGCCCAGCCATATATGACTGCTTTTCTAACTCAGCTGCCTCTAACACTAGCAAGCATGTCTGCTGCTGCCACATTAGGGTTATAGGGAAAATCACGTTTTGATCAAGAGGCCAAAAACTGAGTCTGGTTAGAGTCTTTATTGAAGTTTCCTAGGAGAAAACAGGGCAGAGTGAACAGTTGAGCATTGGCTATTCCAAATTCTGGAGGAGCTGGGGTATAACTGTGGTCTCTACTGCCTGGTACCTTGCCTTGGGATAATGTAAAAGTAAAAATACTGGCTTGCACAGGAGTTAAATAAGGAGATAGATAGTTGGCACTGCCGACAAAGGATGAGTTGGTTTACATATGAAAGACCTGCTTCTGGTCTCACCCTTTGGCATTCTGTAAGAAAGCTTCAGAGCCTGTAGGAGGGTGACCTTTCCCTACTAAACAAGTTTCTTAAAACGTCAAAATATAAAATATAGTTGGGCATAGTGACACACATTTATAATCCCAGCAAAGTGAGCTCAAGGCCAGCCTGAACTGAATGGCAAAAACCCGTCTTATAAAGGGAGAAAAATTCATATATATATATGAAAGCATGATTAGTGGCCAGGAATATAGCTCAGTGGCACAGCACCTGCCTGGCAAGTGCAAGATCCTAGGTTTGATTCTGGGTACCCCCCCTCAAAAAAAGCATGATTAGTATGTATATAAAACATCATTTTTATTCCAAATAGTTGAGTTTAATACATAAACAGCTGCTTCCATCATAGGAGTAGTGGCTCTGGATTTCATTTATTTCCCTATACTAATAAAAGATTGCCCTAGACACCTGGACTGGAAGAGCCAATATTTCCCATTGTGGTTGTGCAACTCTGATTGTTGCTTTAAAATCCTCTGTCAGCCACTTCCTATTTAATTCCAGGTAAAAACGAAGACATCTCTGCCATTTTTCATTTTCTTCTTTATTCACTGAGCTTTCATTGCACTGATCTCTTTTCTGTTCAAACATTTGTGGCACCTTCTCCCTATAAAGGCTTTGTATTTTTTGTTCCATCTACCTCCATAGAAATGCTCTTTCCTCTGATACTCATGTATGTTTATGATACATATTTAATAGTGTTTTTATTGAATCCTACCTAAAATTTCATGGGCTGAGGATGTGGCTCAGTTGGAAAGTGCTTGGCTAGTATAGGCTTGATCCAAAATAAACCACATACCACAATTTATTTTTACCCTCTTACCTTTTATTTTTCTTACAGCTATGTTTTCAACAATTAATACCATATACTTGTCTTACTTTGCTTGTTTTTCTGTTTTGTTGAGAAGTCTGCTGTTAACCTTATCAAGAGTTTAAAGATAAATAAACCTTAAAGGTAAATAGACTTGGTTAACTAAGACAAGAGAAAGAAGCTGAAAGAAAAACAAAAAGTAGCATTCACTCTGTCAGTCATGTTAATTAACCTGTGAGGGAATACCTGGGAGATGGAGATTGTGGGAAAAATGAGATTGAGTTTCCTGCAGGTACAGGCAGGCTGAAATCTGTGGATATCCGCAAATATCTGGAGGGGAGGCTAGGCATATATGCATGGATTAGGGTTAGGGGTTGTAATCCAAAGGGACTGGATGGTATGTTTGAGGTCAAAGTTGCAAGTGTTACAGGCAGCCTAGTTAATTAGAGATAGCATAGGCAGTTAGGGCTAGGCCTTTAAAGGAGCCAGTGCGGAAGACCAGCAATCTTACAGCATTGGAAACAGACACCACCTGCCGTGGGCAAGAAAAAGATCAGACAAATACACCTGCATCCTAAAGACTGCTACTCTAAATAGGTCTCTATCACCCTGAGGAAGCCAGGAGTTACCATCCCAGTTCCCTACAGGAAGAGTCACTGTCCTGTGTTGATGCTACATGGCTCTATGACTTGCTTCCCCATTTGTCCCTGATTTAATCAATTTTAACTGAGCAGTTAATCTCATTGGTTTACCATAGTTCTGTCCAACTTCATGTCCACCTTGTAAGTTCCCATGTTTTTCACATCTTGAACCTGCCTCACCTTATGATTTTGCTCTATAAAAGCCCTTAGAAAAGATAGTCTTTGGCCAACACACTCAGGACCCCTTCTGCTCAAAAGCTGTCTCTCTCTATATAAATATATTCTGCTCTTAACCTCTGTTGTTCCTAAAGTTCAGTCTTTGATTTTAGAGAACACAAATTGGTACGAGACACAGGTCGAGTTTCATTCCTCTATGTCACAAGGACAATCAGGAGGGGTGTATGTATAAAACTTGAGTCTTCCAGCATCAGGGAGACGCTGGTCCAGTACTAAATTTCTTTATGGCCTTCAGTTTTGTTTGCTGAGGACAGCATGGATTCCTGTTGTTTAAAAGGTATATCCTTTTTTTTTTTATTTATTTAAAGGAGAAAAAAAACAGTATAAGGGTATAAATAATACAGAATTTCAAAAAAACAAATCCCTAGTTAATAGATTACATATTGTCATTTTAGAAATAGTTGTTCAAGGACTTCTGGGAGAACATGGTGGATAGATTAACAGCAGCTATGGAGGCTCTCTGAGAAAGCTAGCTTAGAATCCAGGAATGGTATGGTGTGAGGAATCCTAAGCAAGGGGAGATATACCCTGCCAACCCAAGAATGAACTAAGCTGAGAGAAACCAACTGGAAATGCAATCCTGGTGCTATAACTGAAACAGATAACATCTCAGCACTGAAGCTGGAACGCACACCTCTGGAAGCCGTGACTGGAATTTCCTGCTGCCGCTGCTACGTCTGAATCGGCACAGCAGAGACAGAGAAGCGAAACCTCTGAGAGCAGGAATTGGTGAACGGAGTTGAGAGTTGGACTGGCGGGGAGCCCTGCATCGACCTGCAGTGAGTGAGAGGAACAGGGACCCTTCCATAGACTAAGAGGCTTCAACAGAGGACATTCTGGGACCAGGCAGGCTAGCCGGAACAGGACACTGCAGTGACTTTAGTTGCATATTCTCCTCAAGGGGGATTGGTGGGGAGCCCTGACCTGGGTGACGCCGCGGACTAAGACCCAGTAGGCTAGCCCAAACCAGGTCCCAGTGCCTGGCAGTGCACCCTAGCAGTGAAGCCTTCAATAGGTTGACTGACCTGGAGGGGCGGGCCCAGCAGAGGCTGCCCAGATCTGTGTCTCCCTAGTACACTGCAGTGGGCAGGAACACCTAGCCGGCGCAATTCAAACAAACTGTAACCGACAGAGAAACGGCCTCCTATATACGCTTGTACAGAAGAAACAAAAAGTATGGAAAGAGGGAGCAACAAAAAAGGGTCCTCGGCCCCCAATCCTGAGAACACTGATCTAGGAAAGGTAAATGCAAAGGAGGATGAGGACAGAAAACATGCAATATCAGACACAGCGCCAATAGACATAAAGCACTATCTCCAGAGCCTCATAGACAAGTTCAAAAGTGAAGTATTTAATGAAGTAAGATAAGATATAAGTAGAATAGTTAGAGAAATGCTAAGCACTGCCCAAGAAAAAGCGGTGGAATGGAAGAACAGAAAAAAAAGGGGAGAATTTTTGATGGAGAAAATAGAGAAAACATAGAATACGTGAAGCAGGTTCAAAGAGATTACCAGGACACTAAAAACTCTTGAAAGCTGGCATAACAGCTTGAAAGAAACTAAGGATAGATTATCTGAACTGGAGGACAGATTTGTAATGTGGGAGCATGAAATGAAAAACTTCTTAAAAATAACAAGAAAACAGGGCTGGGGATTTAGCTCAGCGGCGTAAGCGCCTGTCTTGCAAGCAGGCAGTCATGAGTTCAATCCCCGGTACCGATAAAAAGGAAAAAGACAAAAAAATAAAATAAAATAACAAACAGCAATAATACAAAGGTTTGAAGATGATAAGAGGATCTATAATTTAAGAACGTAACAGAAGAAGTAGGGACACAAACAAATGAACTACAAAGGCTATTCACAGAAATAATCCAGGAAAATTTCCCTAATTTAGCAAAAGGTAAAGATACTCAGATGTATGAGGCATACAGGACCCCAGCCACCTATAACCCAAACAGAACAACAACCAGGCATATAATAATCAAAATTCCAGAAATCCAATATAAGAACAGAATATTAAAAGCCGTCAGAGACAAGAAACAG